ATTAAATGGTTAAGTTTTCGTTGACCTGACCATTTCGAGCATGTCGTTAAATTTCCGTTAACGAGACGATATCGGGGTTAACTTTTCGTTAGAAATCTTTGTTGAATCGAAACGACGTCATTTTAAAAACAACAAAATGACGTCGTTTTAAATCTATTTCCAATTAAATGACATCGTTTTGTAGTTTTCAAAACGACGTCGTTTCGATTCAACGGAGATTTTGAACGGAAAATTAACACCGTCAACGTCTCGTTAACGGAAATTTAACGATATGCCCGAAATGGCCAGGTCAACGAAAACTTAGCCATTTAATCAAAAGTCAAATTAAACTTTATGATTTAAATGACATTTCGAAAGTTCATGCTTTTTTTGTCCCAAATTTGAAAGTTCGCGCATTTTCCGACATTTTTCCCAAATTTAAATGTATTAATTTGATGCACGAATGAAATTGATATGTAATTATTTATGAATGGTTAACTCTTTCTTTGGGGGCAGGTTTTCTAAACCTTAACCAAATAAGAAAATATAATTTTTGATTGAATGATTAATATATTACTCGTCGATATGTCTGAACAAGTCGATGACTAATGAGATATGTTATTAAATGATATCCATACGTGGGAATGTCCTGAAGTTCTTTCTTCTTGTTCATTGCATCGTACCCAACTTTGGATTTATATATATTTGACATACAATTATATACAATTTTGATGTATTTGTTCCCCTATAATATTTATATTTTATACGTAAATAAACGTTGACATTTAAATAGCAAATATCAACTGAATATGTCCTCGAACTCATGAACTGTTGGTGCCACACCACCCTCAATGTGTATGATGATGGAGCAGTAAACACATTTTGTTTTTGTAAGTCTTCCACATTGAACTGGTTTTACTTGTCTCTTCTTTTTTTGGTCAACTCGATGTACCAGCGACTTGAGGCAAGTTAATCAGTTAAATTAGAATTTGGATACATCGGCTAAGTGAAATCGTTGTTTGCTTTATGTTGTAATGTAAAAAACTAAAAAATATGAATCTCTCACACATATATAATATTAATTCATCACGAGACGATACTTTTTCTATTTTTCTTATAACTACAGCGCAAATGTACAAGTTATATAATAATGATTCTTTCACGTGTCAGATTTATTTATTATTTTTGTGCATTTAGTGGAATATTTCCAAGTGTCTGATTTTTAAACTAAAAACAAATGCAAATGGTGTCCCTAAAAAAACAAACACACTTATATTAGTAAAATATTACTTCTTCATTTTTCTTTCATTTCCTCACAATCAATTTAAAATATAAAAGTACCAAGTGGATGTTATTAGATGCATATCCGAAATGCAAAAATGGCCATACTGCAATCCGAAGTTACAAACATTTGTTTTTATTGCGAAAATGAGATTCTCATTTAATTTAGTTTTAAACAATATCTATAAATGTCCTCTTAAACTTTGTGCCCATATAAATATTTAAAAATCTATTTTTCATATTTATTATCACTACAAGATCTTTTTCCAACAAATTTTGTATTAACTGAATATTTTATTTTGGTCAACTAAGAAATTGATCTACCAAAATGATTATTGAAATTCTCTATAAAGATTTTGTAATCAAAATATGTAATAAAGAAGGTATGTTTTTACATTATACTGTATATTACGATTTCCCTTTACAAAAGAATTCTCCTTTTTTGAGTATTGACCCATTTATTTCACTCAGCATCTCTCATTAAATCCAAATTTTGTTATCTCCATAATGAGAAAAAAATAACAACTTTATAAGGTCTCTTAAATTCTCTCCAGCTCCACTAGTAGACCCTTGGCCTTTCTCCCCTGTTTCCTAAGCTCAAATTTCTCGGAAAATTTTAGATCTTTCTTCTTTCTTCATCGTTTCCTAAGTTATGGGTTCCGGAGAAAAAATCTTCAAGAGCGTCCATTCAAATCGTTCTAATAACGTGAAAAGCAATAGCAAACAAGGAATCAAAGATGTTCCAAAAGGGTGTTTAGCAATCAAAGTGGGATCAAAAGAAGAGGAGAAACAGAGATTTGTTGTTCCTGTCTTTTATTTTAACCATCCATTGTTCATGCAACTCTTAAGAGAAGCCGAGGAAGAGTATGGATTCGAGCAGAAAGGTACCATCACAATCCCTTGCCACGTGGAGGTTTTTCGATACGTTCAAGACATGATCAACAGAGAGAGATCGGTTAATTATCAGAATAATCATCATGATCATCGTCATAATCATACCCATAATCATCTTGTTGGATGTTTTAGAGCTTGATGATGATGATGATGCAAGGAAGCAAAAGGGTATAAAAATTTGTCTGTCATCTTTAGTTTTTTTTTTCTCTTTTTTCTTTTTCTTTTCTAATGGGTTTGATCTTGTGGAGTTGTGGAGCCAAACACGGCCTAACCCACAAGATTAGGAGTAGAAGTTCTAGTGGTGTTTGGAAATAACCATAAATATAAATAAATGTTAAATTATGAATGTTAATTGTTCGATTTATAAATTTTCTAGTGATATATGCTTATCCGATTGATGGTGATGATGATTGTAGCGAGAGATGACGAACAGTCGAACAAGTTTTGGCAATTTGCGTTTGATATTTTGTTAAGAGACGTATAAATTTGAAAAGTGTCAAAGGGATAGTCACTAATAAATTAAAATTAATTCCCATAATTTATCTGTTAGAAATAAAGAAGAGGAGCGTACCGGTTAATTTCAAATTAACAACGTTCCTTTTTGGCATAAAAGTAATTTAATAACGTTCCTTTCTCTTTCTGTTGTAACGGCCGGTTTGTACATCGCATTAAATTTTATTGACCCGAAAAACAAATCTATTTGTCCATAGAGACTAGATAATTACAGATTAAAAAAAAAGATTTGTCCTTAGAGAGTTTAGAAAAGAAATCTCTTTCTATAAATAATGACCTAAATTACCTACTACTACTAGTTTTGACTTTTTGATATAAAGAAAAGGGACTTAAAACGAATATTGGGATAATAAGAAAAAATAAGTTTGTGTATTTCCCAAAAAGTGAATAATGGAACGGAAGAACAAAGTCGGCGAAAGTGGGTACCTCTCTTCTAATCGGTGTCTTTACTCAACAATGCGTTAATCCCAAAGATTATCCTATTCTTTTGAAATTTTAATACTAACCATGAAAATTAAAGAAAGTCTAAGAAGGTGCTATTATTTTCTTTCACTTTCTTTATTGGATATTGGCTTCCAACACAAATAAATAATTATGTTATGTATCATTTCTACACGGCAAAAATGATTTTTGCCAGCACTGTAGTTTTTCTTTTTACAACTAGAATTAAAATTTAGGATCTCCATGACCCCATACACCCTTTAAAAAAAATCATTTGGATTCTTAATTATGTGTAACATCTCTGTAATAAAGAAATACAAAGGTATTTTTTATATCAAAGTAGAAGAACAAAAAGTAAACCATACACATTCATAGGTTGTTTGAACTCTGGAGATTCCCCCAAAGTCCCGTAAGCAAAAGAGTACGAATACGAATCCACTCAAGCTGAACGATCATGACATGTAATATGTGGCCTGGATTTAATTGTCGGTCCAGTGTGTCGCTATTAGTGGAAAGCCTTTATTAATTTGTTAAATAATGCTTCTTACAATAATTAGCATACCTTTTAATAAAATTAATTAATACGCCTTTTCTTATTCCTGTTTGAATTTTTTATTTTTTACTTTTAAGTCTTTAAGTAGACACTGAAAGATAATCCTGGAAAGCCTTTATTAAATTGTTTAAATGATGCTTGTTACAATTTTTTGTTGTGAAGTCGAAATTTCCAGTATTTGCCTCACCAAACAGTTTATGTGAGAGAAGAGGAAGTGATGATACGAGAGAACTCTAGTCTCTAGGAAGTAATAAATAATCAAAGTTTTGGTCAAAATATATTGTGTCAAATAAGGCATTGAGTGGACCTACACTCACTGATATCGGCCTATTAATAAAATAGGCCTGGCCCAATAGACTTGGACGATTAACCAAGCAGCACTTACAGGTACAGCCCAGCAGCTCATACATTTTTTAAATGTATTTCCAAATCTTTTTTTATATTAAGGTTTAAATACAAAAAAAATAAAGATTTTTTTTTTGACAACAGTGAAAAATTGATGCCTCGAAATTAAAGTTTCATGTAATTGTTGCGTTAGATATGTTGTAATTCCATAATGCTAAAGTGGAAAATGAAAGGTCAAAAAGTATTATCACCTGACAGAAAATAAGATGTGAATATTGGAAATTTAGAATTTTCCATTTTTTTTCTTCAAAAGTAAGATTCCGCACCTTGAAAGAGATTATTCAACAAAAAGAATAATGTTTGATTAAATGCTATAATTGAAAAGAATGAGTGTGATTAGCTTTGATGGGTAGGTTAATTAGCTATGATTAGGCACTTGGTGCATCTTAATCCAAGTTTGTTGGGGTGATTAATTGGGTAATTAATCTAATTTCTAATGATGAAAGAAGCAAACTATTTGTTGACCAACAAAAAAAATATTCAACATCAAACTAAACATTTACCAACTAAATATAATTAGCCGAAGATTTCCTTAGAAAATAGAAATTCAATGTAAAAAGAATATAAATGATAAAGTTTTAACAGAAAAGAACGTGATAGAAATTATTTGTTCAAGGTTAATTTTCCGATTAATTAATTCTCATACTGGTCTTTTGTCTCCTTCGAGATGATAATCAACATTTGGTCAAAATCCTATTTTCATAATTGTAATTAGACAACATCCGGCAAACCATATGACAGACTATGATTTCTCACAGTGGCAAATGTAATTGCTTTTTTTCGGTCGAATGATAATGAAGTTTCAAAAATTAAAATTCTTGAACGAAACAAATTTAAACTAATTCTTTTTGTATAAAGTAAATCATGATATAAAATGTACGACAGACATAGCGAACTTTTTCTGTAATGATTTCACATAGCTACTGTAATTATCACAATCTGACCATTTTTATTGTAAATGTTTCAACTTTCAACAACTACATCTATAGTATGATGATTATATAATATCTTTCTACACAATGTTTTGGTATGTCTCTTCCATTTCCGTTATCCACTACCGTTCGACACGTGGCACAATGGGTTGGACGATGACGTTGTCGTTCTCCCGAAATCTGTATCGTTCCATAAATCCATCTCCGGTACATAATAATCCGGCGTTAAACCGGACCGGTTTAGTCCATGGGACGGTGATTGTGAGGTCTCATTGACGGCTGGGAATGAATACGAGTTGGGCCCATTTAGTTGCGAGGCAACGAGCCGATCCAAAGCGGCCCAGCTAGTGACGACGCTGGGATCCATAACTTTGCTGACGTGGCAGTTGTTGACTTGGTCGTCCGTTAACCGCTGATAACTCGTGATGGTGGTATTCTTAGGCCATTCGAGGTTAGGGAGTTTTAAGAAAGGGTCTAAAATTATCTCTTCTTTACAAGATTGCCCCATAACTTCAAGAAGTTGCTCGATAGTCTCTTCGTTGAACGACGACGTTTCCACCGAGCTGCTAATCATGTTTTTGCAAAGGCTCTTCTTCTTGAATACACGACACACCACCCATCCTTCGTCACCTCCTATGACATCACACGTTTCTACGGTGAGGTCATCATCGCCACTCGAGGAGATTAATATACTGTCGTCGAGTCTATATTCGTGAATGATCCAATCGGATTTCTGACCATGAGGGGCTCGACCTTTGTAGAAGACAAGCGTCTTTCGCATCCCGATCCTATCACCATTGGTATATATGATCTTGTCACGTCCCGTAGCTTTCCAAAATCCCACCGTGGTGGCTCGGTTAGTTCTAGTACCCGTGGGATACTTCTTGTCCTTATGGCTAAAGAAGTACCAATCGTTTTGCGTCGTCGTTCCAATCTTACACATCTCTACATAGAAAAAAAAAACAAGAGTTACGTTGAGTTTTAACTGATGAATTGTTGTAACGGATGAAAAATGTATAATTTTATGTCTTTTTCCAAATAGTATACTTTTAATAATCAATCAATTAAATCTTGTATAAACTTTCCCGAATCCCGTGAATCAAGTCGAATAATTAAGTTTGTATATATTACTCTGCAAATTTTCCTGAATTTTGGAGCTTTAGTTTATGACTCAACGAGAATATATAGAAGAACTAATATAATATATATACAACTATAAAAGCCCTAGCTAATAATACGTTTGATCAAGAATAAAAGATAAATGATGAACCTTGAATATCCCAAGGTTCGAGCTTGTTGAGATCAACTTCACGAATAACATCGAGATCGATCTTGATGTTAGAGATTTTCTTGCGGAGGTAATAATTCAAGAGCTCTTCCTCGGTTGGGTGAAACCTAAAGCCAGGAGGCACTTGTGACTGTCCGTTTACTGATATGTTCATTGCTAAAGACAGAAAAAGAAGAAGAATATAGAACGAGTTTATAACTAACCAAAGTGTGTCTATATATGTGTATTTTTTTTTACATCAATTGGCCAAAAAAAATAAAATAATACATGCATGAGGAAATGCATGTGGTCTTTCCTCTCATTTTTAATTTTCTTGTTACGTTTTCCTTTTAAAATAGAGTATTATTTTTCCCCGAGTATTTGATGTTTTCATGGTGTCATTATAAGTTCGCATGAGCCGCCACTTACGAATAAACATATGAGCCTCTAAGACCATATTTATCGGAATAACTTATTTGGATGTTCTTAGGGTTAATTAAGTATTAAAATAATGTAGATAGAAGAACAGTTCTTGGGTGGAGAGAAGAACATGTCTAAACAGTTCTTGGACAAGAACAGTTTTTGGGTGTTCTAAGACCATTTTCTTTTATTTTATTATTTTTTTAATGGTAAGAACATGAGATAAGTTATCCCCTTGCATATGCCCTAAGAGGTTATTTTAATATTTTGAAATGTCGATTTTATTCCCGAACTTGAACTCATAAGAGCATGTGCAGTGAGAGGTTCTCACAAGTGTTCTCAAGAATATAAAAAATGAAAATAATAAAAAGTAAGAGAGAGACATAATCATAGGTTCTCACATGAGAACTTTTGAGAACCTCTTGAGAGACTCATATCACACATGTAATTGGTTTTAAGAACATTTTATTACTTAAAATTTAAATATATAATTAAACTAATTTATATATATTATAATAATATATTTTGAGAGACTTTGAGAGTCTCTACCACTGCACATGCTCTAACGAATGTATTTGCTTGGAAAAAAAAGAAAAGTAATTGCTTGGAAAATTACCACCTGTGAGCTAACCGTGCATCGGTTTTTACTTAGTTCTTACCATGTATCTCGAGCAAGCTTCTTCAGCTTTTGGTTTTGCCGACTTTTTTTTTTTTTTTAATCTCTCTCTAATTGCATAGATTGGCAATTTTGTTGTTTTAATTTGGTTTTGCTTTTATTTATGAATATTTTGTAATGATTAATTCGTATGAGTTCACATTGTATTTTAAAAATCTATCTAAATTTAACTATCTTTTGCATGATTCAGTAAAATATCTCTCTTTGATAAAAATAAAATAAAATGATTCAGTAAAATATATCCGTTATAAATACAAAGATGCAAAACTTCATTAAATAAAATTTATACTAATGGTCTCTTTATTTATTTATCACAATTATTTGTTCTTTTTGTTCGGTGAGTTGTTTATCGCAATTTCTAAATAGTGAGGGAGAGTGGGACCAGGTCACGTAGCTATTGGGTAAAAGAAGGGTCCACGTGGGATCCACATGTCAACTGTAATGTAGGAAGCATGCCCACATCGCTACATGACCATCGACCTTATTTTAAAAAATATATATATAAATATATTCTTTTTATTTCATTTATTTTGTAGTTTAACCAAAAAAATTATTACAAAATAGAGATATATTGAAATGGATATACGTCTTTTTTCTTGTTCAACAAAACGAATTAGTGTCTATATCAAATATTATATATATTTGAATGAACGGTGAAGGCGAAAAAAAAAGAATGTAATGTGATGAACAAAGATTTCATATTATACATTATTGTGTTACATATGACATTAAAACTCGTAGCTTAGGCTTATTGAAGGTGATGATGCGAAGATAATGATAGACTTGGTGAATGTTGAGATGTATACGACATGATAACCGCAACCTCCTTAGAAGATGGAGAGAAAATTAGAGATCAAGATCTGTTTGAAGAAGCGTTTATCAAATATATGTGCAGGTAACATTGCAACAAAGGTCTAAGATTCGTATATCGTGCATGTGGTTCACTCGAACTAATTATAAAGTTAACCTATCTGGGTATTCAAGAAAAGACGGTGTGGATTCGATTCACCCAATTTTTTAAAAATTATTGTATTTATTTAAATTCGAATGACGACATGAATCTAGATGAACAGTTGTAAACAACTGTAAGCGAAGTATCTACGTATTATGTAGATTTTGTGGGGGCCTATTTACAAACGGTTATTTTGTAAATTTCTTTTTTCTCTTAACATGGTTTTAAGTTTATAATAGATTAATACGCAAATTTGCCATGTGTTATAGGACAACATTGGCCTTTATTATGCCAAGTACTTAATAAAATATTAAATTATGAGAGTAAAATTTGAGTTATCTGAAATGTCTTTTCATTTTTTTTAACACTATAATTAACAACATAAGACAGTAAAACGGATAACCAGGATTCTTAAACTACTTTTTCTTAATTACAAGTTGTTACATTGTATCCATGTATATACTTCTATAAAATCATATTATGCACTGAAACCTGGCGAGTTAAAAACAATAATTAGTTAATTGGGTTACATTTCTTTATAACATATATAATCTGATTAAAACGAACGTTGTTGCGGCACGGAGCTATGATGAATTGATAATAATATACTGACAAAAAAACAAAATGATATAATTTAAGCATTATACGTACGTACAATAGTAAATTTTCTAGAAGATGAAGAAAGTTTGAATGGGAAACAATATTTTGGAGATATTTCAAAATTTATTAAACCCTTAATGGTGAGACGTCATATAACTATATATATACTCGTCCTTGTCGGACCATTTTTTTTTTAAACTGATTTTACGCTTACAAGTTACAAGTTACAAACACTGAAACACTTCACATCTTCATATCCCATGGGATTCAATGACAGAGTTCAATAATAAATAATAAATGTTCAAATTCTTTAGCTAGCTACATGGTCAAGTCTCGGAACAATTTTTGTTTGTTTGTTTGTTTATAAAAAGATTTTTCAGGAACTTATAATAGTTTTGCAGGACTTGTAACTTTAGCCTAATCCTAAACTGTTTTTGGCCAACTTTGGGTTCTTGCGCCTGAGATAAAAGAGTTCTGAGTACCCGAGTGAACGATATGTCTCCCTTTTGTTTTGCTCTTTTAGCATTGAATAGGAAAAAAGATTGAATAATCTCTGACTTTAACTACGACTTCATAAATTAATTGTTTCATGAGAGATAACATTGATAATTCACATATTTCTAAGTTGATAAACTTATATAATAGCTCCAAGTCTCCAACGAATACGGAAATCAACATAATTTAAATGCTTAAATCGTGAATCAGTTTACAACATATAATTAACAACCAAAATTACATATACGTAGTTTAGATAATTCGAAATTTTACCTCAATTTCCCTTTAAAGCTACTCGTAACGCTTAGCTGGTCTGAATTCGCTCTCGAATGAACTCCTCCACCGCAGCCGTGACCGCCGCACTTCGCCACCGTCCTCACACTTTCCACCAACGCTTCCGTTTCCACATCCTCCGCAAGAATTTCCGCCAGCTGCTCCGGACTTATCACAAGTCTCACCTTCCATACTCCACCCCCTCCGGCGCCACCACTCAAAGCCGCCATTACCGGCGTTTTCCCGAAAGACATTCTATACGGCGTTGATAACTGGTCGGAGGAATGCTGTTGAGCGGTTGAGGCGGCGCAAGAAAGAGGGAGGAGGTAGTAGATGTTACCAGGAAAGAGTTCTTCGCCGTGGAGAAGCGGTGGAGATGAGTGGCGGAGGCTTAAAGAGTCGTGGATGACGTGGCCGGGAAATTCGTTAGTGATGAATTCGGCGAAGATGGGAGGATGAAGCTCCATCACGCCACCGTTTGGGGTCACAACTTTTATCAATGAATCATCTTTATCGAATAATTTTCTTAAACCACCATTGCCTTTGAATACGCAGTTACCCATTTTTTCTATACAAGTTAGAATAACAACTAATTATTTTGTGTATAAGTAATGTTATGTATGGAATCCAAAGAAAACCCAAGACGGAGAAGGGTTGGGAATGGTCCACCACTTTTCTTGGTAAAAAAGGAATGAAGATCCGTGCTTGCGATTTTTTTTTTGGTAAAACCGTGCTTGCGATTTAATATCATCATATTATTATTTTAATTCTTCAAAGATCAAGATTTTTTTTGGTTATTTGAGAGTAATTGGTAATATAATATATATATTAACGTCTATTTGTTGAACAATTGGCAACATATATAGTAAAAAAATTTAGGTAATATGGTCTATTTTGTAGAATAATTGGCAAAAAAATTATTAAAAAAAAAAAAGAAAAAAAAAAAAAAAGACGTAATTTCTAAAGGAAAATGGGTAAAACCATTTATAATTCATTTATAAAAAAAAATAAAGAAAGTTACCTAAACAAATTACAAAAAAAAGAAGATAAATGGTTTTACCCATTTTCCTTTAGAAATTAAAGGTAGTGTGATAGGGATAATAATGTTCACGTGAGGTCAAAAGGTAAAAAGGCCGACAGAGACAAAAAGACGTTAATCTTTATAAAATTGTGGATGATTATAATGAGTGTGGTAAATGAATTTTACCATTTTACTTTCAGGTGAAACCAAATTCTTAGAAAACCTCCACGAAAACTATTACTAGAAATTTATAAATGGAACGTTTACGTGTTAAACTATGGACCAAACAGAGTATACCTTATCAGATAAACAGAGTGTATAATTTAATTGCATGTTGTTTTTTACTTGGATTGATTATTTTAATGACTAATACCTTGTGGATCCATGTCCTACAACAATATAACATTTTGTCTTCTTATATTATACGGAGATCAAAAAAGAAAGATTATGGAAATACGAAAGAAAAAACAGTACCACCTTTCGGTGCACTCAATTACGTACACCAACAATTTCTTGGCTGGTCATTATTAATTTCATGGGTCCTAATTGGCAGTGGCCCATATTACATACTCTCTTTTTTCCTATTATTTAAATTGCTATTAGAGAGCATTGAACCCACCATAGTGTAAAATATATTATATAAAAAAGACCACTGGCTACTTGTCTCAGTCTCTCACACACTACATGCTGAAATTTCAAATACTAGCAAAGAATCAGGATCTATAGAAATACAAATGAAATTTTATTCATTTATTCTTTTTGTTTGAAAAAATAGAAGACTCAAGTGAGATAGTGTATTGGTGTTTAGTCCAAAACAACTCAGTTTTTTAATTACAAAGAAAAGAAGTTCATTTGAGCCTTTAAATTTCAAATTTGATATTTAACATTTGGTTAAAATTAGGTAGTAAATTTATTAGGATTGGCAGAGTCGCACGTTTAGCCTAAACATCAACAACTATATGGCCCAAACCAACACTACATAATGGGCTAAAGTTAACTAAGTGGAACTACATAATGGGCCTAACGAAAAACTACATCATGAATTTCTTCTTTATGGTCCTGATTATATAGATTATGACATTTGCCTTCTTTTGTGAACAAAAAAAAACAATGACATTGCCTTCTTTAATGAGCTTTGCTAAATGGGGATCTTACATATAAGAGTTTAATCAAATCGAAACCCAATCAGAAAAACGGGGAGGTTTTCCGTTTTCATTCGATCTAATATTTTATTTGAATAAAAAACGAGAAATAGGTGATTATTAATATTAAATTAGAGGTTTAAGGTGACAAAATCCCGGAGATAAAGACCGTACTTTAAGATAGTTGACGCGTGAAACACACCCCTGTGTTATGTTATAGGTTTTAATACTTGGATTCCACGTCAGCAGATACGTGAACCAGAACAACACTTAATAATTCCGTCTAAAAACCTCGCATGCCCCATGCATCGTAGTTCACATTCTTACTCCAACTCCTTCCTCATTTATCATTCCAATAAACTTAACCCAAATGGTTTCAAACCGAGATCTAACCGTCTTTTACTTTTAAAATCGAATAACGCTAACAATTTATATACCGAACCAAAACTAAATTTAGTAGATTTATCAAGAATAACATTTTTAATCATATGGATATCAAGATTATACTCAGTTATATATAAAGATGGTATTGAGTTATATATAGTTAATTATGTATTGTTACTTTCATTAAAAAAAGGTTAAATAAAACCGAAATAAATCAGAAATTTCAAACCGCATCGAACCAAACTATATCATTTTTTCTGGTTTCGTTTGGATGGCAAAACCGAAAAACCAAATTGCCCACGCCTATATAAAATGCCCTCGCCTATAGAAAATGCCTAACAATATCTCATAGTCATATATAGAAACAAGTCATACACGTATCAATTAATGCAAGCGTTTGGAAAACAAGAAAGATCAAGAAATGGGGAATTTTCTTAGGAGAAGCTGCGCTGTGCACCCGGCTTCCGGCGAGGGAGGAAGAGGAAGACACGCGGAGGATCCGCAGCAACAACGTAGAAGGAGTGTGCGGATTAAAGTGAGGATGAGAAGAGATCAATTGGAAGAGCTTTTGTATTTGGCGCGTCGTGGTGATCAATCGGACGACGGTGGTAAGATTGGTTTCTTGATTCTTAAAGAATGTATGGAAGGTCGCTTACCAGCGAGTGTTCTTGGCTCCGGTGGCGATGTTCGATCTCAACGGTGTGGAAGTTACTTGGTGTCTCGAAGATTGGGTTCCATCACAGAGGAATAATTAATTAATACATGTGCCTTCGATACATATAGTTTAAAAGTTTAGATAGACGACACTATAATAACGTTTTCTAGATCAACAATTATATGTAAGGCTAAAGAAACCAAAAAATAAAAAAGAGTTTCGTTATAAAAAAATAGAAAAGAAAAAGAAATAAAAGCAGTATGTTTAATTTGTGTTATGCATTTAATTAAAGATATAAATGTAAATCTCAATACTTTTTATTTTTCAACAAATATAAGAGTTTTGATGGCGTTTTAGCATCGCATATGTGTGGACATCTCAAAAGGTAAACTTACTGACAAACTTCAAATCTAATCGACAACTTTAAATTAATCAAAGAGCCTTATATAAAACTATTTCATCTGGTTCATCCAAGCCGTTTATCGACCTATCGAATCTACCGAATCTCCGGAACGTAGTTAAGTTTTTGTGCTTGGTCACAGCTGCTCTTTGGGCCTCTTAAGATCTCATTGGCGGCATCGGAAGGCTTCAACATGATCGCATTCTTTATTCTTGTACCAAATGATGTAAAATAGAATTAGGATAATTAATAATCTTTATATTTTATTTATCTATTTAGAATAATTACAATGGTTATCCTATTTGAATTATGATAATGTTTTTGACTATATTTAGGGTTGTGTGCATGAGTTTTTACATATCTGGATACCGGTTCAGAATTCGAATATAATCCCAACGTTTCCACTAGTCGAATATAGTCCCAACGTTAACATTCCAATCAATATGTAAATGTTAATTTTGAAGGCTTTTTTATAACAAAGAAGCATTTGAGTATACATGAAATTGGTAATGTTAAACGTTTTTCTTTGTTTTGTTTACTGTTTTTGCATTTTTCGAGATCTTAATTAATTAAGTCCCGTTGAAAGTCAAAGACGTCTAAGATAGACCGAATAATTTTCGTCGTAAACATAGCAGCCGAAGTAATTCTGTATATTACAACCACATGGTGGTGGGCGAGTGGTTCTCGTTTGGTTGGAAGGATCGCCCTGTTGGTCTAGGCCAGGGATCGATCCTCCCAGACGCAGTTTCGCTCTCTCACTCCTGTGGCCACCTGGGAATTTACCTGCGGACTTGCTCAGGCGCCCCAGACCACCAGTTTATCAGGGGGCCCTTAAGTGGAGGCTTAAAAATCCCTGTGACGCGGGCTTAGGCCCAGTGGGCTAGTCAGATCACTGTGTGGTCTGGATACTGGGTTATCAAAAAAAAAATTCTGTATATTACTTAGCCTAGCATCTATCATTAGCCCATTATATAACTTTCAAAATGGGCCTGTTATTTTGTATAGCCTAGTAGATTCAATTGTTTCGTTGAAAAACAAACAATTTCGTGGACTATCATCAATAAGAATATAAGATTATCCAAAAAATAAAATTCGATTAAAAAGTTAAAAACTTTAATGGAAACTCAGACGATATGGAGAGAGAGAGAGTTTAGCTTTTGTTTCAAGATTCTTTCCACTCTCTGTGTGATATCAAGAATTGGTCTAACTCGGAATCTGATGTCGCTTGGATTTCGTCATTGTTACAATGGGTCTTTGCTTAATTATGTATATTCTAATGCTTTTACGCATGTTATACTATATGATTCAGGTTTTGACTCTCTGTTATGGTATGAATATGTTGTCATATCAATTACTTCATGGGTTTTTAATTAATAAAACAAAAAACTCTCATTTCTTCGTTTGTTGCAATGTGAATTTTCGGTTTGCTCGCATCCTTGTGGGAAGCATGTCCTTGTTACTTCTCTGTTTTTTTCCACCTTTAAAAGTCTCCTTCATGTCTCAAACTCTAAAAACCTTACCCTTGAATTGAGTTTCTACTATCTTGTTTGTGCAAGGTAACAAATCTATATATTGTATACATATAATTGCGTATAGTCCATTGATCCAATCTCTAAAGTTATTATTTTTGCTGCAGATGGAGTCAAGAAGAAGTAAAGTCTGTGGAGAAACAGCTTGTGGGTTTTCAACATCGACAAGTGATGCTAAAGAACGAGCTGCTTCGATGCGAAAGCTCTGTTTCGTTGTGGTGTTGTGTCTTTTGTTCATGAGCATAGAAGTTGTTGGTGGCATTAAGGCTAATAGTTTGGCTATATTAGCAGATGCAGCTCATTTACTCACTGATGTTGGTGCTTTTGCTATCTCTATGCTCTCCTTGTGGGCTTCTTCTTGGGAAGCAAATCCGCGACAGAGTTATGGATTCTTCAGGATTGAGATTTTGGGCGCTCTTGTCTCAATCCAGCTCATTTGGTTACTCACTGGGATTTTGGTCTATGAAGCCGTAACTAGACTCGTTCAAGAGACCAATGATGATGTTGATGGTTTCTTTATGGTTCTTGTTGCTACTTTTGGTTTACTTGTAAACATCATAATGATTGTTGTGCTTGGACATGATCATGGACATGGTCATGATCATGATCATAGTCATAGTCATGTGCATGGTCATGGTCATAGTCATGGGGAAAAAGCTGAGCAATTGTTGGAGAAATCAAAGGAAATGAGGAACATTAATGTGCAAGGGGCTTATCTTCATGTCCTTGGGGATTTAATCCAGAGCATTGGGGTAATGATTGGAGGGGGTATGATTTGGTATAACCCTAAATGGAAAGTAATTGACTTGATATGCACGTTAGTCTTTTCAGTTATTGTTTTAGGGACAACCATTAAGATGCTTCGAAGCATACTTGAAGTTCTAATGGAGAGCACACCGAGAGAGATTGACGCGAGGCAGCTCGAAAAGGGATTGATGGAAATTGAAGAAGTTGTGGATGTTCATGAGCTGCACATATGGGAAATTACAGTTGGTAAAGCTTTGTTTTCTTGTCATGTCAAGGTTAGACCAGAAGCTGATGATGATATGGTGCTGAACAAAGTGATCGATTACATCTGGAGAGAGTATCGTATCAGTCACGTTACGATACAAATCGAGCGTTAAAACAACAAAAGAGTTCATCTCTCTGGTTTTCTGTCATTTTCATGATCAAAGTTAAATCTTTTTTCGCTTTCTCGTGTGCTCTCATTACATTGTTGTGACATATGCCATTGTTTTTCTTGTCTATGAATAAGTTTTTTTTGGTCTTGTCTTGAAAAGGTAATTAAAAGGACATCATAACTTTATTTGAGATTAGGGCATTGTGTTAAGTTACCATAGAAGAATCAGAATCTTTAGGGTTTATCTTTGATAATAGACCTACCAAAAAGAGTGGGGCATGTTTGTCCTAAGAGCAAGTAACCATAGCTCGTGTGTGACAGTTAACAACCATATCCAGTACACAATTGATAAAAAAGATTCAAACTTTCTTTTTTTTTTTTTTTGGTTTTAGATTCAAACTTTCTTTGGAGTTTTGATGTGTTGATAAGGTTTCTAAGGTCTTAGTTAACTAAGCAAAGCCCGAATGTTTTGTTTCTTTGCTCAAATTTTGTGAGACCGGATATGAATTTACACGTTTGGATTAAGCTTGTGGACATGTTGGGACATTTTTAGAGGACAAGCACTGTTTAATGCCGTAGCAGCCAAGGCATTTAGAGTCAACCCTTTTTTTTTTATAATTGTAATCAAGATATGTATTGATTGCAAAGTAAAATTCAAAATCCCACACTTTAGAAACCTTACATCTATTAAAGGTTTGAATCATTAGAACATGATGGATGCATGCAAATGCAACATGGTTTCTGTATAAAGTTTTAGCTTTTTGAGCCTTGAAGAAAAGGAATGGTGTGGTATGGGAATAGTGAAGAAAGGATGATTGAGACATCATGAGAAAGGATGACACAAACCCAATGGAAGCTCTCTTACCCATGACATGTCTCTTTTTACCTTCTTCTTCTGTGTAATTTAGAATTGTCCCCACAAACTCTGTCTCCACTTCAAGACAAAACTGCTTCCACCAATAATATCTCTCTCTCCTTTGCTCTGCTCAGCCTCACCAACTCTTACAGTACCCAAATACATCGATTTTTTCTTACTCTCTGTTTTTTACAGCTCCTCTGTTTCCACTCTACTCTCAATAGCTTTAGTAAAGACTCACTGTTCTATATAAAGCTAACAGTTACAAGTCCAGAAAAGCTCAGAATCAGAAGAGAGTACATGAGTTTCCTCTTCTGCCTCTTTGGTGATTCTTAGCATTTATTATTACTCACTCCTCCTGTGTTCATTACATTACATACCAAACAAGAGCTCTCAAATGGAAAGATTTCAAGGACACATCAACCCCTGTGTATGTATCTTTTGCTTGATTTAGAAAGCTTTTGCTCTCTTTCTTCAATCTTTCTCTCTTCCCTTGAATCATTTTTTTCTATACTCAGAGCTACTTGCTTTTACTCATTCCTAATTAGTCCAGATACTGTGCATTTAATGCTTTTCTTGTTTGTTTTATAGAAAACAATAACAATTTTGCAATCATTTTTGCTTCCCTCTCTTTTGAAAACATTCCATTTTCCCTTCTACTTTTGTTTATCTGTGTACTAACCCACCAAGAACCAAACTAACCCACAGTAGAGCTAAATTACACTTCTCTTCCAATCATTTGCGCCTCACCGGTAACCTCAACATTCCTCTGTCTTTCTTACAGTTTTTCGATCGAAAACCGGATGTGAGAAGCTTAGAAGTTCAAGGATTTGCAGAGGCTCAAAGCTTTGCCTTCAAAGAAGAAGAGGAAGAAAGCTTACAAGATACAGTTCCATTTCTACAGATGCTGCAAAGTGAAGACCCCTCAGCGTTTTTTTCAAGCAAAGAGCCAAACTTTCTAACACTATTATCTCTTCAAACCCTCAAAGAGCCTTGGGAACTCGAAAGCTTTTCGGAATTTCATTCACCGAGGCAATCCGAGACTAACCACTTCTATCAGAAACCAATTTCAGCATCATCCATGGAAGGAGCCAATCAAGCTTTGTCAAGCCAAGAACTTTTCTTAAGCCAAGCAATCATGACACTCCCTTCTTCTACCTCATCACCACTCACTACAAATTCAAGACGTAAGCGCAAAATAAACCACTTGCTGCCTCAAGAAATGACTCGAGAAAAGAGAAAGAGGAGGAAAACAAAACCAAGTAAAAACATTGAAGAGATTGAGAATCAAAGAATAAACCACATTGCTGTTGAACGAAATCGAAGACGTCAAATGAACGAACATATCAACTCTCTCCGTGCCCTTCTCCCACCTTCCTACATCCAACGAGTAATAACCAAAAACATACATGAAAGTTTCATCCTTTAATCATCAAAACCTTATCAACTTTTCCTGCAGGGAGACCAAGCTTCCATAGTAGGAGGAGCGATAAACTACGTGAAGGTCCTAGAGCAAATCATACAATCTCTTGAATCGCAGAAGAGAACGCAACAAGAAAGCAGTGAGGTAGTAGAAAACGCAATTAATCATCTCTCAGGCATTTCGTCGAACGACTTGTGGACGACTCAGGAAGATCAAACTTGTATCCCAAAAATCGAAGCTACAGTGATACAAAATCACGTCAGCCTCAAAGTTCAATGCCCGAAGAAACAAGGACAACTTCTCAAAGGAATCATTTCACTCGAAAAGCTTAAACTCACTGTTCTTCATCTCAATATCACTACTTCGTCTCATTCCTCTGTTTCTTATTCCTTCAACCTCAAGGTAAACACTAATTTCCATTTTTTACTTCAACTAACAGAAACCCAACATTGAAAAATTGAATCTTTAATTAAAAATCTTGTTTTTGGTTTCAATTTTGTCGGAGCAGATGGAGGATGAGTGCGAATTAGAATCAGCCGACGAGATTACGGCGGCGGTGCATCAGATTTTCGATATTCCGACGATTTGATTAAAACAAATATGGCCAAAATATATTTCCAAAAAAATATTAACAGCTGACAAAATGGTATCTTTTTTTTTTCCTTCATGTACCATTTTTTTTTTAAGAATTAAGAGAATAAAAATTCGTTTTTCGTTCTTTCATTTTCCTACTGACAGAATTAAATTCTGTTTTGTTCGTATATTATTGGATTGTTCGATTATTATTTTTCACGATTTGGGTGTTTTTTGAGATTGGGGTCTCATCTAATTAAAATTTTGACCTTATTCGCCTTTATTATTTCATCAATTATGGTTTGACTTTTGTCTCTATTTTAAGTGTTGACTTTACGATCATTGTCAATGGTAAATAGTGTCTATGGTGGTGAGACCTCACAGTTTTAAGGGGTGTTATTGGTTTATTAATTTGTAAATCCATATAGAATTTGAAATTTTCTATTAATTATGAAATCAAGATATATGGATTTTGAAATAACATGTGTTTACCCATGGATTTGAATCCTTCTATTTTCCTCTTTCAATTCCATTCAAATCCATTTAAAACATAATTTGGATTCTCAAATCCAAAAACAAATGACTAAACGAATAACATAGGAATTTAACTAGTATTTATAAATGATAGAACCAATAACACATGATTTTAATTAAGATTTTAAAATCAATGATTGAATAACAAATTATTTTTGTTTGGATTTCTAATTCCTTATAAATCCATGAACCAATAACCCCTCTTTAGTATTTTAAACTGTTTCATGTTGAAGGATCAGAAAGGAATCATTGTTTTAGTTTGCTATATAGCCTTATGAGCTTTGACTACTATACTGATAGGCCCACAAAATAAGCCCATACAGTCCAATTAGCTAAAAGAACTGTGAGTGGTGGAAACAGAATTGGAATTCTTGGCACCAACAAAGCTAGCATCTTTGGTATCTTAAGCTATTATTGATATTGGCACTATACAATGGGGGAGGCAAATACTTTTGGTCACAGCATCATCAATATAGAGTGTAACCATTTCGAAATTTCAAGAGAGTATAAGGAAAAGCCACAAATGTTATAGACTTGACTCAAGCCAGAGCCAGGAAAGTTTCTTATGTACAATGCCCGCGGTCGATTTTCGCTAAAGATGAGACCGACGATGCTGCAAGTTAGAGATGTAGTAGAGAATCCGCTTCTTGTCGTCAGGGGTTAATGAGAAAGGAGGGTTTAGAGATAGAGTCACTGCTTCCTCGATTATAAAGGAGAGTAGAAGAATTGCTTTCTTGTATAATGTTGCTGCACTTTCTTTGTTACTCAAATATTCTTCAGCCTGATAAACAAATAAAAATGGATCAACCCACAACGTTTCAGTTCACACTTTTAGGACAAATGGGTAGATAAAAGGTGGAAGCTTTTCACAAAAGTTTCAGACTTTAGAACCAATTGGTAAAAACAAAAAGTAAAAAGGATGGAAACTTTATACTTACCCCACCACTCTTGCCATATGCTAGTGCCCTCTCGTATATTGTTTCCATGGCGTCAGGCATATGAGTGGCAGCTGTAATGAAACAAAGGAGACACCTTCAGATAATTGTAAGAAGCATAACAGAGAATTGCTCGGTTAGGAACTAACCGCTTGTTTCGTTTAGTTGAGTTGATGAATTCTCGGCTTGGTTAAAAGCAGTAACAAACTCTTGTGTCACCCAAGTTTTAGCTGGTGCAGGTGAATTTAAATCTGGAATTGAAGTCTCAGGAGCTGTGGTTGGTTCTGGGCTCACATTATCCTCTCCAACGGAGATCATCCAAGAATCACATATCTCTAAGGCTTTTCTCCAGACAGCTAAAACGACGAGCGTAACAGCAAAAGATTCCTTTACCTGCCCTGTGTTGCCCTGTATGCAATAGTGTTAGAAGCTCTAATGTTATCATTTAAGACCCGAGAATTTAGGAGTTCAAGTTACCATCTCGCGAGCTAGTTCTGTGAGTGCTTGTGCATACTGATGCAAAAGTTGGAGCTTAGTTGGAGGATGGACAATCGTTAAGCGTTGTACTTCTGTTAGCAGATATGATACGCTTGCTGGTCGTGAACCTGACACATCAGATAATGGTCTCTGTGCTTCAAGTGAACTTGATGAAACTTTTTCATTCCTGGGTAAGATATTAGGAAAACCGGAATCTTGCAATGATGTGTCGAAACAATCTGATGACCCTTCCAGCGAGGCAGAAGGACGGTTTACAAGAACATATTCTCGCTCTATCAGCTCAAGTGAGTCAACAACTGCACGAATGACAATAGCAAGAGATTGTGGGTAATAGGATCTTATACAGAGCAACAGAGATCAGACACAAAATAGCGAATAACAAACCTCCAGATTGGTTTGATGAGCATTGTCCCTCAGTGTCTTTTCTAGTCTTCTCAAAAGAGATATGTGGCATTGAAATTTGAGAATTTGAGGCACTGGAGGAACTCCCATGTTTGTGAACATTCTCTGCACTTGATTTAAAACGGTTTGTACTAGTACTCGGTTGTGCGGAGGGCAACGATGATTTCCCCGTAGAGGTAGTAGAACCAGAAGGCACAACATCCGGCATTTGTCTAACAACATTTAGTATGACATAATTAAGGGGAGAAAAATTAAGGTTTTTGGATGATGAAGGTTGGTTTCAGTCAAAATATCCAGACATTACCTTGGCTCTCGAAGGAACATGTGATTGAAGAACTCTCGAAATGTCAAGCGTTCAACTGCAGTAAGAAAACCAGACATTTCCATGAAAATTTTGAGTTGTGATTTGACTGATCATAAAGAAAAGTAGACAAAAAGAGAATCCTATAACAATTACTTGGGTTTCGGCGGAGAAGACTTCTGCATAGATCAACACAATCTGGATGAATCTCATTCCTCGTATCTTCAGGAAATTTCAGCTCAGTGTCTCTCACAATATTATGAAAAAGCTGTAGAGATCAGACCCCAAAGCTTAGTAAAGGTCACAATAAGTTCACATATGTGGCAATTCTATCGATTTAGGGTAACAATGAACCTGTATGTGATTATTTCCATCAAAAGGTGGTTTCCCAGTAACAAGTTGAAACAAAATCGCACCGGCACTCCATAAGTCAGCCTGAAACATCCATTAACAAGAAAATAATGAGAAGTTCAAAAAACAAAGTGAGAAATCTTTTCTTAAATTGAGGAAGTCTCTTCACCTTAGCATCATACTTTTGGTTCCGGATAATTTCTGGAGCCATATACAATGGAGAACCGCAAAATGTTTCCGCCATGCTCTCCGGTGTTAGAGACCTACCAAAATCCAAATAACACACCAAATGGATTGGTGTAATATATCATCAAACTAACACCTTTTCCATAAAAAGAAAACATATTTATGAGATATGAGATCTAAATCTTACCTAGCAAACCCAAAATCTCCTATCTTTAGCAATGGAGTAACTTCCTTGGACGATAAAAGTAAATTCTGAAAATTTTGAAGAAGAACAGAACAGTGATTACAAATGCAATCATCAAACTACAATATAAGAGAGAGTCAATTACACTTTTAAATTACCTGAGGCTTTAAATCTCGGTGAATAAAATGCTTCTCTTGAAGTACTTGTAACCCTAAAGCTACACAACAACAACAAACAAAAAAAACAGAGATTCAAACATCAACAAAAAACTCCAAATTACAAACATGAAAAATACCTAAAAAGCAGATAAATTTCGTTACCCAATTGCCTCATAAAATGTTTAGCAACAGCTTCAGGTACTTTCCCATGGCGATTGATATACCCAGCAAGATCACCTCCACTACAATACTCCAACACAAGAAATATCCTATCTCCAGTCTACACAATTCGAATCAAAACCCTCAATTTCAACTTCAATTTCAATCTCAATTATCCCAAAGGTAAAAAAAAAGAGATCAAACCTCGATTGCTTCGTAGAATCGGATGATATTAGGATGATCGATTGTGCTAAGGATCGAAATCTCTTTAAGAAGATTATCTCTGACTTTAGGGCTAAGAAGTTTCTTATCAATCTCTTTGACGGCGACTTCTAAACCAGACGATCGATGCTTCGCTAACCACACCACCGCAAACGAACCAGACCCAATTCTCGGGCCAAGTTCGTAGTCACCCACAAGTCGTGCCGACTCCATCCGGATTTTTTTGGGTTTTTTGACCCGTTAGACTTTCGGATCCTTACTTGAATCAACCTCCATTGTTTCTATTACTACTCAAACTCACAGAAGGCAAACAAAAAAACAGAGAAAAATCAAAACTTTATCTTTCTTTTTTTTTTTTTTCCGGATTAAGGAACAACGAACTGTTTTTGTTAACGAAAGGAGACGATGTTGTTTAAGTGATTTGATTTTTATATATGTTACACAGTAAAGCAATCAACTTTTTTCTTTTTTGTTTTGTTTTGTGTGTTGTGTTTGAGATTTGGTTTTGGCTTAAGAGCAAAGAGTTTCTTACTTGTAGTAGTCCAGAAGAAACCTTCTGAAATTGACGTCTTGAATCCAATTTCCACAAGGAAAATACGCACGAAATATCTCTCATTATTACCTTTTTTTTTAATATATACATGAAGTATAATCAAATTTTTAATTCATACCTTATAAAATTTTAGTATCATCAAATCTAGCAAAACAATAGCTATTTTCAATTTATTTAAATAAACTATAAGTTAGTTTCCTTAAAGTTCAACAATAGATCTCAAAATATGGTTCTAGTATATTTCAATATTCTATGGGCGTCGAATTTTATAATTTAATTGTTTATGAATATGTCATTAAAGTCGAAAGATGACTATTAGTTCCATTTATATTTACAGTAGTGAAATCTTCCTATACAATAATGTTGGAAAAAATAAGTTACAAAAAAATAAAATAAAAAATACTAATTTAATTTATATAGTCTATAGTACGATATTAAGTTAAAAGAAAAAGTAGAAAATCATTCTTAGAAAAAAAAAAGGGGTTACAATTTAATTTTTAAAATCAACATATACGTTTTACCATGTCACCAGTGAAGCCATTGGATTTAAAATAGTTGACATATTTTTTACCTATAACGTTGTTTTGATGTCAATATATAATAACAAGATTTATTCATGATTTTGAGTGACGTACACAAATATTATAATTTCAGAATATGCTATAAAATTATTTAAATGAATAGTTATTGCTAATGACTATTTCTACATGATTTTTGGTGAGGTGATAATCTGAAAATTTTGATTAATTAAACTAATCGTTTGTTAATGCCACATCACCTTTGACCTGGCACAATCAATGTCACTGGGACCATCTCTAATTATCATGAAAATAATCATTATCACGTGAACGTGCCACGTAACTCAACCACATGTAAAGCCCATTAGAGCCACTTTAGGCCCAATTCTGTTTGAAGAACGATATTAACCCGCCGAAGAAGAGAAGTAGAGAACTACCAAAAGGAAGATCTAGTCGAAACGGCCCATAGTTTATAATTTTGTCAGGCCACTAATGGGCTTTACATTGACCCATACTAATTGGGCCAGTTAAACAATCTCGATTTTGAAAAAGTTGAATGTAAGAGAAACTAAATAAATCTGTAGTTAGGATCTAATGAGGCTTAAGAGAAATAATAATTAGGTGAATGAATAGGCCAGAGGGTATTTAAAATAACATTTACAAAATCTTGGCATTGTTGTTGGTGGAAGAAGAGAAAGCGACTAAACCTAAAAAACAAAGATATATGAGATTTGTGAAGGGACAATGGAGACTCTTTGATCTTTATCTATCATCTTTATTTGGTTGGACCACCTAATTCACCTTCTTCTTCATTACATCTTTCATATGTAACCGAATTAATTTCAGATCAGAACTTATAGTATGATCAAATGAAGCTAGAGGTTGGGATCATGAGCAGCTGACTTTTGCAGCTATTGCAGTGGCCATAATTCGTATATCGAAGGCGTGTATATGTATTGCCAAATTCGCAAAGTGTATATTGATAATATAGAACAGTCAATAATGTGAAGGTTCTTACACGTGTTATAATGGTAAAGCATATTTTTGATATATATTATAACAAGAAAATTACATGATATTGAATTTAATAATTAAGACATATCCAATTTTTCATACAATTGAATCTCCCCTTTCTGCAGCTAACTTGGGCTTGATAATGATTCCTCTGCATCCCCCTCTCCATACAAAACCTGCCCCACATTCATATATTTTGCATCTATATTTTTCTAATCCCATCTATATACTTTGTTCTTATGTTTATTCTAAGGTGATCAATTAATAACACCCTACCACCAAATGTACTTTTTAAAATAAATCAATGCATATGTGATCATTGTGTGTGTGTGTGTGTGTTTGTGAATCCTTAAGGTTTAAGAGATGAAGTCAAGTCAATGCTAAAACTAAATTGTATATACCTATCAATTTACATGTCTTAAATTGTTTACGATAAGACTCTTTCATTTCCAAGTGGTTGCACTTGTTCATCTTAAAACGAATTGTTTTTTTTTATAATTAAATATCAGTTTGAGTCTAACTAGATTCTTTTCAATATAAGATTCCTCTATAGAAATAACACATTAGTCGATTTGTTCGTAGAGATGCAATATTCTCTCGACGGCCATCACTGAGATATGCAATATTAATCAAATTAAACTAAAGTCGAGAAAAGAACCAGTATACAAAGCCAATTCCGAGAATAATGTGGAAAACAAAATCAATGCTCGAAAACGTATAAAGCTTTTGCTATCAGAATAAAAGCAATTCGGAATTAGATACCAAAGGTAAGATTTTATAATCTACATGAAACTTTCCAAGACCCATGCTATATAAATAATGTTATAATTGAATTAATTTAAGTTATATATTTAAATTTAATAAATAGACGAAAGGGTTGGCTAGGGATAGAGAAAGGGTCCTAGACCCTGGGGGGCAAATGACAGTTGGAAAATGTTGTCGCCATTATCGCACCATCCATCCTCCAATTTCGTTATTATTATTATTATTGAATAAAATGGTCCGCCTTTTTTATTTCACCACTACCCTATTTGATTGCGACTTATCGTATCCATATACAATCAAATATTTTGTTATTTCGCTTTTGCTTTCCTCTCCCATAATATGGTCGCGGTATATAAACATATGATACTAGATTTGATTAACACGGATGTACATGTCGCTCCTGTCCAAAATATCCTATACTACATTTAATTACTTAGACCAAAAAAAATAAAAAATGAGAAACCCTAATTCATTTACATTTGAAATACCATTGTATATTGTATTTATCTCCCACATGCACATCTCAATCGTTCACAAATAAAATATAATCATCGGTATTATAGAGAAAATTTATAAATCAAATGTTCGAAAATCATCATCCTCTTCTTCGCACTATACTCATTAATTTCTTTCTTATCTTCCTCCGATTTAAGGAAGTATATATATATATATGAAAAAATAGAATAAGGGAGACTATCTAGTGGGAAAAAAAATAGATAGGGTTAGTTAGCAATGGTGTAGGTGGAAGAAGGAAATATATAAAAAGAGCAAGTAGACATTAAAAGAGTTAAGTGCAATGCAAAAGCTAATTGGGTTTAATCTATTTATAAGTTGTGGTCCTTACCCTAAACTCTTCTTTTAATATCCCTACCTTGCATATCTCCACACATACTCTATTACTCTTACCTCCACCATATTACTCTCCATCTTTTTCTTTTTATGTTTTTAATTAAACCGCACGATTTCAGATATTTCTGAGTTGTACAATAATGTTTTTAAGTTATGGATCACGTCAAATTTTTACAAATAAGTGAAATAACTCTACTTCTAATGTATATTTTCTTATGTTGTACTACGTTAATTGTTTTATCATGCAATGAGTGTATTATACAAGAAGAGAATAGTAGAGGAAAAAAGAAGAAGGAAGCGGATTCTCTATATCTTAATTTGCATTATGATATAATTTGTTTATAAATATGATATCGTCTTCTCCATTAATGATATACATGTGTATCTATGGAAAAGTTTTTGCATCTGAAGGTGCAAATTCAAATTCAAAACAAGAATGAAAAGGAAGATTTATAGAATAATAATAGAACTATAGATAGGTCCCGTGGCTATAAGGGTATATGCTTTGGAAAGGGCGATGCTACAACGTCCCCTTCCTAATTTCCTCTATTTCTAAAAAATTAAACATTTCATTTCTTCTTTTTTTTCATCATTTTTCAGAATTTATAAATAATTTGTTTTATTCGTCATTATTACTTTGCAGAGAAACACTAAAAGAAATCCCACTGGCCAGCCGGATGGAGTAATATTTGGACCGATTAATTGTTGTGAATACTAACTTTTAATTTTGGGGGCGTTATCATGAAATAAAGAAAAGAAAAGGTGGGTGAGTACAAATATCATACTACCATATATTATAAGTTAATAAGTAAATATGTAGTTGATATATATTTTAATCTCTGATAAAGAACCATCAAACCAAAAAAAAAGAACAGGTTATCGCCTGAAAGTTTTGTGACCATTCAATTATGTAATGTGAGATGAGAGTTTGGACCACATTGATCAATGTTCTTTCATGAGTTTCACCTACTCTTTAATTTTTTAAATTCAAAAGAAAACACGAACTTTAATTAACCTTTGCTTAAACCCAGCCTTGGTTAATTAAGACTTACTTAATTGATTATTCTCCCTTAATTAAGCCGAAATTAGCCATAGAGACATGAATGATGCTTTGTCTCTTTCAGGACCACTCACCACGTACGTAAATAACGATAAGATTTAACATGAATTTACGTGAATTCTTTTAAAACAAGCTTATACTCCCTCCGTTTCACAAAGAGTGTCGTTTTAAGGTTTTATTTTTGTTTCACAAAGAGTGTCGTTTTAGGTTTTCAATGCAAAATTTAATGATTTTTTATGTTTTATGACTATTAGTATTCTGCAGATTGTTTTACTATTGGGCAGATTGTGTTTAAGTATATAGGTAATGATGTTTTTGTTTAGAAAAAACAAAAAATTTAATGTTTTCTTAATCTGTGTGCAAAACTCTAAAACGACACTCTTTGTGAAACAGAGGGAGTAGTTTTTATTGGAAGGTTCATGTGAATGCCACGTCTCTTGTTTTAGAACTACATGTGTATTATGTAGTAATGTTTACGTCGTGATGTCGGTCTAAATAATGAGCTGTACCCAAAACTAAATTTGTATCGATTTCCGTTTGATTTTGAAAATATTATATAATCCTTCTAACAGATACTTTGGTCGGTCCACGATAACTACACTCTAATTTTTTTTATTTTTTCACGTGATATGATATATAAATATTAAAGCATGATTTATGTTAACGTATAAATCATTCTTTGAGCTTTCAGCTTCGTAATAATAAATTTTAATATGATAATGAAAAAAATGTTTGTATTTTAGGTTCATAAAATAAATTCAAAACATTAAATGAAATGGATGGAGGGAGTAAAAACTAATAATGACGATCAAGATTCGTAATATAAAATAAAAAACACAAATCAGCCCACCATTTCACAATCGCAGATGGTGATGAATCGCTTTCATCTAGTTTTATAAGTTCGAGGAAACAGAAGACAATTCTCCGTAATACATAGACCTTATCTATTAGGCACAACAATAAAGAAAAAAACGGAATCTAGCTAGGTCCGTAAATTGCAATCATGGTTTCCAAAAGAGATGGGTATGAGTTTAAGTCGTCAGGTCCTAACTTTTCTTTTCTAGTAAACTTGTTAGGTTCAAACTTGAGAGCCCAAATGTACATAGTATATGTGGACAATATAATGTTTTGATTGGGATAACAAAATTGACAAGTGGTGGTGAGTGTGATTAATAGAACAGAAGAATATGCATGTGTTACAACATTGTATCACATATACAGATGTATTTTCTTTTCAACTATACTAATTATACACATGTATACTATTCAACTTTTTTTCTTAATAACCGAGGTGCGTATATATATCACAGACCAAAATTATGAGTTAACCTAAAATACAATAACCTAAAATATACTACAACAATCCATATGGCAAATCCTCTATTCACTTTACTAGATCATACACTATTGGTTTATAAGTGAATTTTCTCACTTATTTGTTTGCAATTAATTAGATTTGTGAATCTTTTCATTTAAATAAGAGTGAGGGCAAAGAAATAAAAAGTCAACAGTAAAGACGAAAACTATAAAACGACATGTCATCTTGTCCTTGTAAAAGCAGATTGAGGCAACCCATCCCAAAAAGCCTTACCACAGAGCTCAATAATTAGCATTTATTATTTAACTGTTCATAAAAATCCAATAGTCTTCTCTTTACTAGTAATTCTTTATATTGCAAACAAAAAACAAAACTCTATTGATATTCCTAAGCCCACGACATTATCATATATTTCTCCTTATATCCCAACCATTTAGCTTTATACTCTCATCAATACAAATTTTGAAGGGTTGGCAAAAAAATAAAAATCACAGGCATATAACTGTTGTAATTCCGTCAAAACCTAGAGATGGTATATTAAGTTGATTTTTTTTTCGTTTCTATATATATTTTCACTGATTAGGACTATATACGTAGATTTTATTTTGTAATTCAAAACATACTATGGAAAAAAAGAAAAGGCCAAATAAATGTAAATGAATAAGTCCATATGGAGAAAATTGAAACGAGGATGGTAGAAAAAGGACAAGAAGCTCACATGAACAGAACCAGATTGTTCATGGGTCCCCCTCTCACCTCTCTCCTCTCTCCTCCCAACCCATATCTCTATCAATCTTATATTACATGAGCTCTCTCTCTCTCTCTTTCTTTCCTTCTCTCCTTCTCTCCTTCCTTGTTCTTGAGAGATTGATCCTAACTTGTTTTTCCTTTCTTGGAATTGAAGAGCTTCTTGCTCCATAAACAGTAGAGAGAGAAAGCTTCAAAGAGAGAGATAGAGAGATCAGAGAGAATCGTGCTAATCAGTGAAGTTAGGCAAACACCCACTTGCCATTTTTGTATAATTAGGTCAATCTCATCCACCACCATACTCAATTCTCTTCCTTTTTCTCAATTCTGAAATTAGGGTTTTTTTTTATCTCTTCCTCTCTCTCTTTATCCTCTTCTTTCTTGTCTACCATAAAAAAGAATTGAAGAAGTTTCATCGAATTACTCTCAAATCGTATGGTGAGGAAGTCAAAATCTTGAAAGATCTGAGATTGTTTCCACAAAACAAGAAGATGAATCAAGAAGATAAAGAGAAGCCTATTGAAGAAGCTTCTTCATCAATGGAAAGAGAACACATGTTCGACAAAGTAGTAACACCAAGCGACGTAGGCAAACTAAACCGACTCGTGATCCCAAAGCAACACGCAGAGAGATACTTCCCATTAGATAACTCCACAACAAACGACAACAACAAAGGTTTGCTTCTAAACTTCGAAGATCGAAGCGGAAACTCATGGAGGTTCCGTTACTCTTACTGGAACAGTAGTCAAAGCTATGTCATGACTAAAGGTTGGAGCCGTTTCGTCAAAGACAAGAAGCTTGATGCTGGAGACATCGTTTCTTTTCAGAGAGACTCCGGTAATAAAGACAAGCTTTACATCGATTGGAGGAGAAGACCTAAGATTCCCGATCATCATCATCATCATCAAACTTCTCATCAGTTCGCCGGAGCTATGTTTCCTAGGTTTTACACATTCCCTCATCCTCAGATGCCGACAAATTACGAAAGTCACAACCTTTATCATCGATTTCATCAACGAGATCTAGGAATTGGATACTATGTGAGGTCGATGGAGAGGAGTAATCCAACGGCTGTGATTGAATCTGTGCCAGTGATGATGCAAAGGAGAGCACAAGTGGCTTCTATGGCTTCGAGAGGAGAGAAGAGGTTAAGGCTGTTTGGTGTAGATATGGAGTGCGGAGGCGGCGGAGGAGGAGGAGGAGGAAGTGTTAATAGTACGGAGGAAGAGTCGTCGTCTTCCGGTGGTAGTATGCCACGTGGCGGCGTTTCTATGGTTGGTGCTGGTTCTCTCCTCCAGTTGAGGTTAGTGAGCAGTGATGATGAGTCTTTAGTAGCAATGGAAGCTGCAAGTCTTGAGGATCATCACTTCTTTACAAAGAAAGGAAAATCTTCTTTGTCTTTTGATTTGGATAGATGATGATTACGAGATTAATCACTATTTAAATGCATATATATGATAATTTATACATAAATCTATATATATGACACAAAGTTGTCTTTCAAGATTTAATGATATTATCAAGAAATAACAAAGATGTTTTAAAGATTCGTTGTTGGTTTTAACAAAGTGTTTTGTTTTGGATCCTGATTTTGTTCTTCAAAAAAGCTTTTTCCTTAATGAGTCTCTTATTTAGCTTTGGTTTGGTCGGTGTTATACAGAACAGAACTTTGGATAGCTAGGGATCAGTGTAAAACTTAAAAACCCATGTCCCTCTAGTCAGAAACTAATCAGAAGATATGGGCTGTCTCATAAAAGTGAAATGTGTGTATACATATATAACATGTGATTGCAGCATTGTGTGTATAAAATGACATTAAATGGTTATCAAACTTTTTTACTTTGTTTAGTTTATTTCATATGGCTGCTGTCCTGTTACTGCTGCATTTTTCTGAAGCTGTTGCTGCTGCTTAATAAGTCAAGCAGATTTTGCAGCTTGCAGGAGATGGGCAGAGACAAAAAATGGATACTTTTTATTTTACATTATATATATCTGATTTTTTTTTTTTATAAAGAAGAGCTTTTTTCATCTATGTAAGATTGAAAAGGTATGATCTGTTTTCACAGACATTGCTGATGCATTGATTGTTACAGAAGTAAATGATTTTTATATAAATTTATTTTCTGTTAACAAACTGGTTTCTTGGTCTGGACCATTTTACAACTCACACACATATATATACAGGCAGGGATTGTTAATGTTAGGTCTTGTTCGGTGTGAGTATGCGTGTGATTAATTCTGTAATTGCATTCTCTTGGTAACATTCAAGAGTTTTAATTAAAGACGAAGTAACTCTACTAGCTACTAATACATGTGTGATGAAGTTATAGAATATATACACAAAATTTTGATATCGTATAGTGTTTATGTGTGTTTTCATGTTCTTGCCGTCTTGCGTTTCATGATTTGTGCATATATCTAGTCACAAACGTCCATTAGTCTATGTATTTCGTCATTATATCTAGGGCTTATAGCTAGTTCCAGATGAGTTAATAATATATCTTGATAGGTCTAGATTTGTTGAGCCTTAGTGTTTTGGTAGAATGTCACAACAAAATTAAACATTCAAGTTTTTCACGAATAATATTACAGAATACAAAAAGCTATAGCCTTTTGGAAAGGTTGAAATAAAGTTTAGGTTTTTCAACAGTATTTGTTTATTAGAGGGGTTTTTTAAGCAAACTAATAAGTAAGCCTATATACACAATAACACAAGCATGGACGCATGCAAAGATGAGTATGGGGCAGTTAAAATTTTTACAGAAAAAGTTTTGTCATAAACTATAACGAATTAAGATGTTGTTTCACAATAGTATAAGATCATTATTCTTTAATTTTAGACTTTTAGTTGAGGGTTTTTTTTTGTGTATATCTATGACTATGTGTGTATGTGTAAAAAAAAAAAAAAGTATGTGTAAATATATACGATTTGCTATTTTTGTGAGGAATCTTAACTTGAAAAAGGGATAGAAATCTATAGATTTATAACATTTATAGTTCGTTAAACTAAGCAAAAGCAGGAGCATGTCAGCTAAAGTCATTAGCCTATTCATACCATAGCTGTGAAAAAGGCCATCGAAATCAGCGAGGGCTATATACCTATAGATTACATTATGTAATCATATAATTGCCTATATATGTGAAGAGCATATGAGATATTAGACCTGAGCTACGAATAATGATGATGATTTACATGAGCTACGTATCCCCCAAAAGAAAATAAAAATAAAAGAAATCAAATTTAAAATTCTTATGTTTTTAGCATCCTACTTTAGTGAGAGCAAACATGGGCAATGAAACTTCCCTTAAAATCCAATATTTTGGTATCCATGACTAAAAAACCATTTAAAAAGAAACACTATATTTGGATTTGGACAAACTAAGGTTAATCATTTAAATCCCTAACATACTTTTTTTTAGCCTATTTCATCAGACGTTCAAATCTCAAACTTATGTTGATCAAGCCATTTAATCATACCATTTGTCAACAATACACTCATGTTTAGCTATGTTAATGACCGTCAAATAAAAACAGTGTCGATTTATATAAACTCATAATTCTCAATTGAAGACAGAATTATCAATTTAGCCCTAGAAACGATTTCTCTATCCGTCTATCGTCGACAATATCTCCTATATGTTCTTTGCCGGCCATCTCTTCCACCATCTCATTCGAGTGTCATCGTCGTCCTTTAGCAGAGCGTCACATACAATTTTAGCTAAAGATTTCTTTTGTAATCAAAATGACATCGATTAGATTAAACATGATGTAAGAAGGTATTAAATAAATGGTACGAAACTTAATACGTAATGAATTGTTGGGCATTTCTGTGTTACTACAAGAATTGATAAATATAAATATTTAAAAAAAAAAAAAACTGTCAAACGTTACATTTTTTAACTTTTTTTTGTTAATTTGATGCATTAAATTAAATGGTGGCAATAAGGCCACAAGAGTTTACAGCCCATTTAATATAAAAGCCCGTTACAGAATATATTTGAGAAGATGAAAACGTTCCATTGTTCCAAGCAAGAGTTACTAACCAGAACCAAAACTTTCGACTATATCCAAAAATTTGTTTCGAATTTTCATACCACTATGTCTAACGTCTGGATAAGTTCTCGTAATACCACGTCCAGAGAAGATTTTGTGTACTCATCTTAACTTGTAAACTCATGAGATTTCACTTTAGTTGCTTGTTTTTCTTCTTCTTGTGCGTTAACATTTATAGTTGATTCTTGACCGATATGGCTCGATTGAAGTTGGGACAAAGTTGAACACTAGTGTTAAATGTGTATAAACCATATTAAACCTAGAACACCTCTTAGAGGTTTGGATATTGTATCCAATTAGTTTACACAAATTTAAAAATTTAACACTTATCAAAAAAAAAAAACAAAAAAAAAACTTTTAAAAAAAAACAAGTGTTGAAAATTTAATTTTGTGTAAATCACATTGAACCTAGAACACCTCTTAGGGATTTCGATGTTGTATCCAACTAGTTTACACAAAAATTAAAAATTTAACAATTGTCAAAAAAAAAAAAAAATATATTAAAAAAAGATAAGTGTTAAAAATTTAATTATGTGTAAACCATATTGAACCTAGAACACCTCTTAGGGGTTTGGATGTTGTATCCAACTAGTTTACACAAAAATTAAAAATTAAACACTTATAAAAAAAAAACAAAACAAAACTTAAAAAAAAAAAACAAGTGTTGAAAATTTAATTTTGTGTATCCAATTGGATGTTGTATCCAATTAGTTTACACAAAAATTAAAAATTTAACACTTAAAAAATAAATAAAAACAAAATTAGATTAGAAAAAACGTTTAAAACCTAAACACGTAAAAATAAGAAAAAAAGAATGAGAAATCATTTTGTACTTTAAGGCAATTAGACCAAAAGTCGGGCCATCGTAGAAAGCCCATTACATGTTAAATTTAGAATGCAAAGGGATACTTATATTTATAGGGGTCATAAGTTAGTAACTGTTTGTTTTTTTTTCGATGTGGGACTCAATTTTTCATTGGGCTTTAAGTGTTATGGCGGCGGCCCAAACGTAAGCCCAATGTATTTCATAAACTCAAGAGTTATTAAAAAGATCGAACGGTTCAAAATTAAAAGCGTTTATTTTTTATTTATTTTTCGAGAATTGTCTCCCTCCAAAAAAAAGACATTCTCATTTGATTTTTATTTTTCTCCGGTGTAGGTCTCCGACGGCTGATTTTCCCGGTGGTTACCCTTCAGATGAAGAATGGCATGGTTACATTAATAACAAAGATAGAGTACTTCTTAAGGTAATTCTGTTTCCTCTCTAATGGCAAAAAGTTAGTAATTTTAGGGCACAATTTAAGGTTTGGATTTGGATTTGGTCAGGTTATAAATTACACATCACCAACTTCTGCTGGAGTAGTGTGTATTGATCCTGACTGTACTTGGATTGAGCAATGGTAATAATAGTACTAGTTGAGTTTGGGACACTACTATTATTATATAAGTTGAGTTCCTAAGGATTTGATCAACAGGGTTCATCGTGCTGGACCACGGGAAAAAATATATACTTTAGACCCGAGGAAGTGAAAGCAGCAATGTTACATGTGGTGGGCTTTGTCCTGGTCTCAATGATGTTATTAGACATGTGAGTTTGCTACATTTTGTTTCATGTAGAGAGGAGTAGCTCTCTCTTGTTCATGATATATCTTGTTTGTTGCAGATTGTCATCACTTTAGAGATATATGGTGTGAAGAACGTCGTTGGGATTCCTTTCGGTTATCGTGGCTTCTCTGATAAGAATCTACCTGAGATGCCGGTATTAGTTACTTTGAGAAAACAACTGACTCTTTTTTTTTTGCTCTCTAGCCAAGAATATATCTGAAAGATTTTTCTTTTTTTTTGTTGTTTTTTTGCGTTTGATTGTTAGCTGTGAAGGAAGGTGGTGCAAAATATTCATCTCTCTGGTGGAAGCTCGCCTGATTTGAAGTATATAGATCAAATATACATGATCCATATTAAGTATGTGTCTGATCAAATCTTTATATGATGTATTGCAACAGAATCTATTACATATGTATAGTACACAAAGCAAAACAATACTCAACTCTACACATAACAAACACAGGACGTGTGATCTATACCTCAAAGCATATGTGTGCTCTGTAAAATATGACTAAAAGCTACAAACGATAATGGAATCAATCAATTCCTCCTCTAATTCCGCCGTCAACACTCGAGAGATTAGAAACCACCAACGAGAAGAGAGAGTCCAAGCAAGAAGAGCCAAACAATGTGAATCAATAACAAAGCTTGGCCAGGAACAGAAGCACTTCCTGCATTACCTGTGTCACAAGCTCCTCTTTTGACTACACGAGCACCATGGCAAGCTGCGTCGGGACAGCCGCACCAATACGTGACTCCATCGGCTCCGCAAACCGGATCCGCTCGGAAACAGTTGATTGTGCATCCACCCGGGTCCGAAACCCGAGGGCAGACGTCGCCGCCGGAATTATCTGGGAAATCATCCGCAGCTTGTAAACCGATCAAGCAGAGAACTAAGAAAAGGAAACGAATGCTCAGTGTTAACGACGGCATCACGAGAATTGTTGATGACGAGAGAGAGATTTCTAAAACCCAGAAATCTAATCCTTCAGAAGAACCTTAGAGATTCGTGGCGAATGGAGAGGAGGTTTCTAATTTTGCGTTCAAAGTGTTACGAATGATTGAAACCCTAATTTCATGAGATTTGGGGATTTTTTCAGAGAGAGTTTGCGTAACCGTGTTGTTTGAATTGGTGGTACAGCTGGTTCGCCCACCGAGTAAGGCAAATCTCAGAAACTACGCGCAGTTTTGTATATAATCCATCAAACGTCATGTCGTGTCTTACTTAACCCATCAAACGTCATGTCGTGTATTTCTACGGCGTCGTATTGATGCATGTTCAGCAACCTCGGTTTGCTGGTTGGTTTATAACTTTTTTTTTTGGGGTCGTCAAAAGATTTTATAAAAGGCCTCAAACGGACATAGAAAACAGTACATATCAAGGTCTAATAAGCCCACACATTGGTTTATCAATTATTCGATTTATTTTGACTGAAAGGGAAAAGTTGATGAGTCTTTAGTGTTTGTGAGAATGGATAAGAGTCAGAACAAAGGAACTGTTTCCTTCTCCTGAAATAACATATCTTGGCTTCATCAATCCTTTAATATTTGAAGACTTCTCTCTTGGATCAGGTCCACTGCGAGCTGTGTGGTTTTTACGGATGATTACCTCTTGCGGCATATGGTCATACCATCGCCGATTGATACCTGATGAGCAAAAGAAAGGTGGAAAAAATCAAGCATGAGTTTGGAAGAGCTTTTTGTGTTTAGGAGCAGGGAGTGATAGAATCAAAAAACAAAAAAAAACTCACCATACTAATGCTTACACGTTGATCATCCATTAATTTTTTGTTGAAATTTCTAAGGCTGATGGTCCTCTCATCATTCACCTGTTGAATTTATCGATATGAAATTATGGTCATTCGATAAGCTTTTTTAGAGCATGGTTGTTGTAAGATACATACCATAGAATCCGCAACCCATCCATGCCAAAGAACATTATCAATCACAATGACTCCACCAACCCTGACCTGTGACAGTAAAGATACCAGCTAAAGCTATTTTGACCCTAATGGAAAGAAGATTAGCATTATTCTGATCTTGGTCTTACGAGTCGAAGTAGCGATTCAAAGTACTCCTGATACATCGGCTTATCAGCATCAAGAAATGCAAAATCATAGCTGCAAATAATAGAAAAACTGAAATGAGTCAAACCATTTCAGATAGAGCTACCACTGGCAATTATATGAAAAAGGCTTACTGTATTTACCTGGACTCTTCACCGTTCTGAATCATAGACATTAAAGATTCTGCTGCAAGACCATGTTTCACAGTGACCTGAGTGGAGTAAACAAATTGAAGAATCAACCAGTTGCTCGTAATGAGATCATTTCATTGAGACACCATTTTACAAGCAAGGTATCAGTATTTAGGAGACAATGGCCAAGACTTGAGTCACAAAACAGCTCTTAGTAGTACCTCTTAGCAATAACTGAATAAGATATCTTACAGTCTCACCTTGTGAGACACTCCGGCAAGCTCGTAGTACCTCTTAGCAACTTCAAGAGCGTTAGCATCTTTATCACAGGCAACAAGACGCCCTGATTCTGGTAGAACCAACGCCACAGCCAATGATGTATATCCCTGTCAAAAACACTAGCTCGTTATCATTATCACAAGTAACAACATCGAAGCCAACATATATAACAACGCTCAGGAAACTCAAAGGAAAAAAATATTAAATACCGTGTAAACTCCAACTTCAATACATCTTTCAGCTCCAAGAATCTCTACAAGCATTGCAAGCAATTGCGCTTGATCAGGCGACACCTACAGCCAAAATCAAATGTAAATTTCCCATAAAGTTAGCTTGGTAGTGACAAGAACTAGCATAAACCAGAGCTAGAAAACAGTAAAAGAACCTGAATTTGACTAATGGCAGTCTCTTCTCGAAGTTGCTTCAAAACCTAAAACATAATTCAACTCACAAGTAAAATCATTGTAAACATAAAACCAGAGCCGGCTCTAAGTTGTAGAAGGCCACAAGCTAAAGATAAAAAAAGGCTGGTTAAACATAAAGACGAAAAACCAAAGCAGAGGAAAGAGTTAAACACCTCATGCTCGCGAACGTTGTTGAGGACATAGTCGTAAAGACGAGGAGTGAGACTGATAACCATTTTGTTACCGTACTTCTCGTCGTCAGCCATAACTAAAGGACTTGGCTCCGCCGGGCAGTTTCCGACGACGGAGGACGTCGGTCGGTTAAGTCGAATATCGGGCGTTCTAAGATCAGAACCCCCGGAGCAGACGTCACCGCCGGATTTATGTGGGAGATCATCGGCAGCTAGTGAGCCGATCAAGCAGAAAACAAACAAAAGGAAAGGAAAGCTCAGTGAGAACGAAGGCATCGCGTGGAATCGATCCATTTGTTACTATAAGCAATTATTGATAACATTTGAGTGGTGAGGACTTTGGCTTTATTATGGTCAGAGAGTCTGATTTTTAAATAATAACTAGATCATCACCCGCACATACGTGCGGGATTTCATATTTTTTAAAAAGTTCTGACAAATTTTAATTCAATATAGATTATTTTGTTGTTTCTATGATATATATTTTAGTGTATTAGATCTGGATTCACACGTACGTGCAGAAATATTTTTATAGAAATTTTTATATAGATTTTAAAAATATAAAATATTTTTTTTGTGTTAGTGAACTTTATAATAGTATAAATATTATAAAATTAGAGTAATGAACGAAATTCAGTTGCGTTAGTGCATAGTTATATTTTAAGATCCGGACCTACACGTACGTGCGAAATTATATTTAAGATAAAACTAAGATATAATTTAGTTGCAAAAGTTAAGGCTCCGATTGGTAACCATTAAAAGAACAAAAAGAAAATGAATAAAAAGAACAATGCGGAATGGAACAAACAATTTTTGAGGAACGAAAAGGAAAAGATGCAGAGAATGAATAAAATGTACTATTATGATGAATGGTAACCAAACATTAAAAATATCTTTAAAGATATATTAAATAGTAAATAAATCAAATTTCAATGAAAAATACTAAATATTTTTTATATTTATTTAATTTGAAAATTTATATTTGAACCTAAAATTTGTGAACTAAATTTATATATATCATTTTAAATAATAATATTTAATATTAACATAAAATAAAATTGAAAGAGTAATTTAAAATATATTATTCTTTTACAATATAAACATTTTTAAATTTATTTTACTATTTATATATTTTTCAAGTGAAGTCTTAAGAGTAATTCAACATGAAATTCTTATCAAAAATATTTTTTTCTGTTAATATATTGTGAAGATATGAAAATTATTATATAATAAAATAAAAATATTATTGATAAACATTATTTTTTTATTTATTTTAAAATAAAAACGAATTTTAATATTTGTTCCTTTTTTGTTCCATTTGTTCCTCATCAATTTTGGAGAGGAACATTTTTGTTCTAGTGTTCTTCTTTTGGTGAGGAATGTAGAGGAATGGTGTGGAAAAAAATATTACATATAAATGGTAAAAATATTGAGGAACAAAAGAGGAATATCACATTCCTTCTCATTCTTTTCCTAAATTATGGTTACCAATCGAAGCCTAAATGATGTTACTTTTTTATTTTCTAAACTAATCAAAACATTTCTAATAGTTTGATTACATGTGTTAAATAGGATATAGCTTCGGTTTGAGTTTGGTTATTTCATGTATATTAGCTAGGCGTAACTATTTTAGAACGGGAAACCTATCTCGTCCTGTATCTGTCATAAATTCTTGGTCCCATAACTCGTCTCGTATACGTGAAATAAAAATATGACGGTCCAGTATCCGGCATAAATAGAATATGTGTAACTAAAAACGTACGTATAGGGTTATGTATGTAAACAAATTTATTTTATAAAGTGCTCGTACCAATTGGGTATTTAGTTTGATTTTCAATTTATGTTCCCCTCTCATCCCGTCTCGTAATTCCTATTCTCATTTCATTCCATTAAAATCATGTTCCAAATTCTTGTTTGCTTACTTTTAAATATCATACAATACATAATGTGAGTTTTGCAGATTAATATATATGCTGCTAAAGTTACAAATATATTTTAACAAATTTATCAATTTTTCTTTCCTTAGCTAAATTTTGCATATTCTTCTTTTATTTTTTAATCATAATTAATTTGATTTTTGGACTAAAAATAAAAATTTGAGATATGCTATTGCCGCATAATTTGTTTTGAATTCAAAATATATAATTAGTTTACATTATTTGAAAACTGTGTGAAATATATTAGGGATTTATTTAAGGAAGATCCGGTTGAAAACAAAAAATAAAACGCAACATAATTTAGAAATTAATATTTACAATCTATTGTTAGATATTTATTAAACTTGCTCTAAACGAAGGTTATAATGATAATTACTTTAAATTTATTATTATTTGAGTTTATTTCACCATAAATATAAATAGTTGTTAATATCTAATATCGTATGTTAGAAATTTTGAAATAAAATTTTGTTTTATATTCTAAAATTTGTGAAAATATTATAACAAAACTGAATCTTAAAATATTTGTATTTAATTTTCTTACGAAATTTTAAATTTAATCTTAAAGTCCTCCATTGATAAATGATTTAAACGATAGTGTTTTTAATTTTGAATTAAAATGATATTATTTTTCTTTTTATTTTTGATATAGAATAGTCTATTACGATTGGTTTAGATAAAATCTTAGTTGGATATCAAATCTTTGTTTCTCAATTTTTATTGGTTAACAATTTTTTAAAAATTAATTTCAAATTTTCGTTTATAATTAATAAGAGAGAAAAAATTAGTTTTTTTTTTGGAAATTAATAATTATTTAAAAGAATTAAACTATTTTTTATTTAAATATATTAATTTTGTGATTACTATTGTACCCTTAATGAAGTTATTTAAAAATACTAAAAACCAATGGCATTTTTTGTAATATTTTACTCTTTATAAGGTTATTTAATATTTAGTGATTCCCAATTAATAATATAGATAGCCGGTGGCTTTTGAAAAAGTTTAAAAGTCTTATTTTACACAAATATGTGCATAAACGAAAATTAGTTAGGGATGAGATTTTACGGAAACGAAAATAGAATTTTTTTAAAAAAACATGTTCAGTTTAAATTTTGGGACAGGAACAATTTGACAAAGTGCGTGCGTTCGTAATTAGTAATTACCCTCCCAAGTTGATGAGTCTTCTAACTGTTTGTGAGAATGGATTCAGAACAAAAGAAATGTTTCCCTATCCTGAAATATATCTTGGCTTCATCGATCCTTTCATGTTTAAAAGACTTCTCTCTTGGATCAGGTTCACTGTGACCCAAGTGGTTTTTTCTGATGATTATCTCTTGCGGCATATCGTCATGCCATCGCCGATTGGTACCTGATGCGCAAAGAAAGGTGAAAAACTCAAGTGAGAGTTTGGAAGAGCTCGTTGTGTTGTGGACTTTGGAGCACAAAGTGATAGAATCCAGGGAAAAAAAAACTCACCATACTAATGCTTACACGTTTATCATCCATTAAACTTTTGTTGAAATTCCTAATGCTGATGGTCTTCGCATCATTCACCTGTTGAATTTATCGATATGAAATTATGGTCTTTCTTCTCATTCGAGAAGCTTATTAGAGCATGATTTTGTTTGTGTAAGATGCATACCAAAGGATCCGTAACTCGTCCATGCCAAAGAACATTATCCATCACAATGACTCCACCAACTCTGACCTGCGTCAACAGAGATAACTGCTAAAGCTAACATGGCCAACTATGGAAAGAGACTAGCATTATTTATCTTACAAGTTGAAGAAGCAATTCGAAGTAGTCCTGATACATCCTCTTATCAGCATCGACAAATGCAAAATCATAGCTGCAAGTAATAAAAGCTTAGGGAAGAGCCACCCTCAATATAATGAAAGAAGCTTACGTATTTACCTGGATCCTTCACCGTTCTGAATCATGGATTTCAATGATTCAGCTGCAAGACCATGTTTCACATTAACCTGACTAGAATAAACAAATCAAAGAATCATATAGTTGTTCGTAATGAATCAAAGAACCATGTATGGAAAACAAAATGTTATAAGGGTTTCCAAGAGGCCAAATATATGCTGAGGAACCATTTTACAAGCATAATATCATTGATTTTAAAGATAAGATTCAAGCAGTCACGAAATCGCAAACAAAAAAAGTATAAAACAGTAAATCTTTTGTGCCATAAAAAAGCATTGATTTGGAATGGGATATTTTTCGGGCTCACCTTGTGAGAGACTCCAGCAAGCTCGTAGTACCTCTTAGCGACTTCAAGAGAGTTAGAATCTCTTTCACAGGCAACTAGACACCCTGATTCTGGTAGAACCAACGCCACAGCCAAGGAAGAATATCCCTGTCAAAAACACAAGCTCATCATCATTTTCCTAAGAACCGAAATCGAAGCCAACAGAACAATGCTCAAGAAACTCATAGGAAGAAGATTAAACACCGTGTAAACTCCAACTTCAATACATCTTTCTGCTCCAAGCATCTGTACAAGCATTGCAAGCAACTGCGCTTGATCAGGCGACACCTACAGCCAAAATCATATGTAATTTACAAGAAAATTAGCTTGGTAGTGACAAGAACAGAAACAATTAGTATAAACCAGAGCTCATCAACAAGCTGAAACCAGTGAAAGAACCCAAATGCAGTGTGAAACTGTTACCTGCATTTGACTACCTCGCATTTTGGAAGTCTCTTCCCGAAGTTGCCTCAAAATCTAAGCAATACACCAAATCACAAGTAAAAATCTCTATAAGTCTAAGAAAAGGAAAACGAAAACCAAAGCAGAGGAAGAGAGTTACACACCTTAGGCTCGCGAACGTTGGAGAGGACATAGTCGTAAAGACGAGGAGTGAGACTGATAACCTCTTTGTTACCGTACTTCACGTCTTCCGCCACAACAACAGGATCCGCCGGCGCTATCGAGCAGTTTCCGATTAGCCGGTGACTGAATTTCAAACTCCTGACTACGGAGACCGTTGGCCGGTTAAGTAAAGTACTGGCCGTTCTACATACCGAAATCGAACAGCGATTCAGAGCTAAACCGGTCGACATCTTCTGCTTCCCCCACCCCAAAACTGACCGGGAAAGTAGAGACGATAACGAGAAATCTATCTCCAATCAACCGGGTCGGGTCAAAATAATTTGCTAGTTATTAAATTTATAAAATATTGCATATAAACCCCTTAGTATTTAAAATCTCACACAGGTAGAGCGTGAACTATTGTTTTTAGTCAAATAACTCTTGTACTTTGGAAATATTACAAAAACAACCTCGATTTCTTCTTCAATTTAAATTTCGATATTGATTTTGAGACATTAAAAGTACTAATCAATTAGATAACAAAACCTCCATCGAAGATATGTTTTATATAAAAGAATATTACGATATCAAAACTCATAATCAATTTGTAGAACATATACAGTTGTAAATTGTAATGACAAATTTGTGGTGACTAAAACAAATAAATTACTACTTAAACTAAATTAAATTCATATATCCTAAAAAAAAAAAAAAAAAAAAAAAAAAAAAAAAAAAAAAAAAAATTCATATATCCTTCCCTCTGCTAACTGATACTTTTATGACAAAACTTCTTTGAATAGAATATTTTTCATTTGTCGTGAAAGAATAGATACATGTGGTAGAGAGATCTTCCAAATCGTTGGACATATAATAAATCGATAATTTAACAAGTTCATAAGACAACGATTTAAATAATACTCCTGATTACTCGATCGCTCATTTGATTACAGGTTTGATAATGATCCACATGACTAGATTGACATTAAAGCTAAATAGAAAAACATTTGTTAATGACTACACATATAAAAGAAGACAACTACAATAAGCTTGTGAACCACATATTAAAGTCCACGAGAATCGCATTTGAAAATGAAACATCAATCAGTTTGATGTGACTTGACAGGTTACAATTATTTAAACATGGTATATGTCATACACTTAAGTTGTTGACATGTTCCCTTTAATAAAGGAAGTTGTATGTTCAAAAAAAAAAAAAAAAAAAGGAAGTTACAAATACATATATATCGGTATGATAATTTTATTTTCTTGGGTTTTCATTTGACAACTGTAGTTGTTGACTTGTTGTTAACTATTTTGATAAATGACCAACGAGTAAGAAAACCATTTCCTTATACCGTGTTTAATGCGTGTCTTTGTTTACAGTATTTTAATTTGTAAATTCGTAAAAATGTCATATATATAAACAAGTGGGAGCCCATATTAAAAAATTAAAAGACCAAGCGAAGAATCTGAGCATGTTTAACTCACGACGACGCGTTAAACGAGTCGTTTACCAATAATTTTTAGTTTCTTATGCGGTGACTAATAAGATTAAGCATATATTAAAGAATATGTGTGACCTCCACTTTATATAGTCAATATCAATGGATTTAGCGTAGGTGGTCAATTATATTTGAGCATGTATATTAATTACGAATGATACCAGTTATGTACTCATTAAATCTATAAAATATTACTTACATGTCTTGGCATTTGTATATTCTTCTTTTGTATATATTTTTGACTCGGCCTTATGGATCCATAAGTTTTGAATGGCACCACGAGATGGTGTTACATTTGCAAAATTCCTTTGCAAGGACCTAGCAGCTAGTATTGGTTAGTCGTCTTCCATCTTCGAAGGGATCCTAATCATTATTACTTGAATTTGTTTCTGTTGTTAGATAGACGTTGACAGATATTTTTATGTTTTTATGATATATACTATTTATGGATTTTGATTTATAAAATGTTAGTAATTTTGTTTCCACAAACTCATGTATGTAGTAAAATCCTCAAATGTATCGTGGATAATTGCCCTCCTCGTATCCTACAAGAATATTCCACCGTCCATGTTTATCGTATTGAGAAAGAAAAAAAATCGTCATCTTTTAAATTCGCATAAATTTATCGACAATTGAATTGAAGTAGTATTTTTTTTTTGATAAATAATTATAGTGGTGATGTTACGAAAATAATAATAATTAAAGTGATGTTATACAAGAGAAAACAAACAGTAGTCAAAGAAAACAGTAAAACGAGCATGCAAAAAATTAAACTGTATTCAAAATTTCAAATACATTTTGGTTTCAAGGTGTCTAAAAAAACATTTCAATGCCAAAATCTTGCTCAATTTTTTTTTTTTTTTTTCAATGCCAAAATCTTGCTCAATTTTATGGACACATGACTATACTAACATAATAAACGTTCAAAATTAGATTAGATATAACAAGGGTTCGAATCTCAAATGACATTAGTATATGATTTTGTTATTTTTATCATAAAATAAAAATATTAAATGGTTTCTTGAAATTAAATGTTAGTTTCATAAATATCCACTTTACAGAAAATAAATATATTTGCAGGATTGGAAAATGATCAGACAAAATCTTTAATAAATTACTAAAGAATCAAAGAAAAAGACACGCCTTTCACGTTTCTGTGTGACGCAAGACCCACAATTCATTTACTGACCAATCGAAATTTTGTTTCCTCTCTTATTATTCTTCTTCTTCTTAGGAGGAGGCTACTTTATTATTAGTTAATGTTTTTTTTTAAAGTTTACTTTATTTTTATATTTTTTTGTTAGAATGTAAAAGTAAACTTTTTGTCCAAAAAAAAGAAAACGTAAAAGTTAACTTTATAACCAACACAAGTGTTAAACGTTGAAGCTTATCCCTTATGGTTGGCTTAAATTGAAGCTTTTAAACGTGTTGAATCCGGCTAAATTGAATCTAAGAAGATCAAACTTTTCTAAAAATCATAGGTTAATCACAATATAGATAATTAAATTTTTTATCTTTATTTTTCTAACACATATCTATAATTAACTTATGGTGATATGTTTAAAAGATTAACGAAAAACCATAATTAATAATGTTCAAACGATTTTAATTATAGGTGATCCTAAAAGATAAAGTTTTTCATATATCCTTAGATTAGTATAAGCTTAGAGGGTTTTGTTATAAGCTTTCATATATCCTGATTTCTACTTCCTTATTTTAAAACAAAACCCTCTAGGCTTCTAGATAACTTTCTCGTTATGCTATTTTTTTTAAATAACCTTTCCTAAAAAATGTATTATTAATTCTGTTTTTTTCAACAATTTAATCCGATCTTATAAATATCCGTGGAAGGTAATTAAGAGTTAAAGAAATAGATTAGCGTGTGAGCTCATCTCTCTTAAATCTCTCCGCTCTAAATAAGTTTGTTGGAATTATCCTCCGCGTTTTTGTTAAATCGATTCGTTCCGCGACCTTATCCATTTTCTTCATCTCTCTCTCTCAATTCTCAAACTTCGATTTTCCTTTTCTCGCGCGAGATATTTTCTGGATTTTGTCTGCGAATCACGAATATTCCAGCGTTTCTTCGTCCCGCATTGGCGCACGATTTTTGTCGTTTTTCCGGGATTCGAAGAACAGTTTATAGAGTGAAGAAGAAGAAGAGTCGAGAGGTTTTTCGGAGTCGATATCGTTTTTTTGAATCGAATCTGCAAGTTTTTGAAGTTTCTGTGTGGAGTTTTGTTGGATGAGATATGTCGATACCGAAGGAGCCAGAGCAGGTGATGAAGCTGAGAGATGGATCGGTACTTGGTAAGAAGACGATTCTCAAGAGTGACCATTTTCCAGGTTGTCAAAATAAGCGTATGACTCCTCAGATCGAAGGCGCTCCCAATTACCGTCAGGTCTCTCTCCCATTCTCCGATTTTGGTTTTTATTTTGTTATGTGAAATTTGACTATCAAGTGAGCTGAATCTGTGAATGACATGAAAATCGGATCACAGAAACGAAACCTATGTATAGGAATTTATTTGATTTCAGCTAGAATCTAGGTTTTATGTACTACACTCGTTATATCTCTAGAACTTGATCTTGTGTGTTTCCAAAATGCAGATTCCTTATAAACTTCGAGTACTAGTTATCTATTGAAGCTGGTTTTGAGATTTAATATGTTCTCATTTTGTTATCTGCTCTTGGTTTTGTGGTCTTTTTCACAGGCTGATTCACTACGTGTACATGGGGTTGCAATTCCAACTGCTGTTGGGATACGAAACGTTCTTAGGCATATTGGAGCTCACAAGGACGGGAAACAAGCAAAAGTTCTTTGGGTTAGTCTCAGGGAGGAACCGGTATATCCATCTTCTTGAACTTCTGCCAATATGCAAATCCTAGGAATGAGCCATTACTGTTGCTTCTATATTCTTTCTTGTTAACTTGGCATTTACTACACATTTGGCAGGTAGTATACATAAACGGGCGACCTTTTGTTCTACGTGATGTGGAGAAACCTTTCACTAATCTTGAGTACACGGTACAAAAGCCTTTTCCTAATATGCGGTCAATTCCATTCGGAAACACTTTTCTTGTACATTAATAGAGCCTTTTTGTACATTAGTTTGTTGGGTGGATGCAAATTATCTCCACTAACAAAGTAAATTCAGAAACATGATTATCCATGGAACCTTTCATTTGTGACCTTAAGCTTATGTTTCTGATCAGGGAATCAACAGGGTAAGGGTAGAGCAAATGGAAGCCCGGTTAAAAGAAGATATTCTCATGGAGGCGTCGAGGTAACCACTACGTCCTTTAAATGATCTAACTTTGTTTGTATCATTGTTTTTGCTTCGGGTGTATTTGACCATTTGCCTTGCAGATATGGGAATAAGATACTTGTCACCGATGAACTGCCAGATGGTCAGATGGTGGACCAGTGGGAGCCAGTCTCAACTGATTCTTTGAAGACACTACTTGAGGTAGGATATTGGAATGAAACATCATATGTAGACCCTTTAATGGGATTTCCAGGTTCATATCATTCTTTTTGCTTATACACTTCTCTGGATCTAGGTTTACGAAGAACTGCAAGCTGAAGGCTACCTTGTCGATTATGAACGTGTTCCTATAACGGATGAAAAGTCACCAAAAGAAACAGATTTTGATCTGTTGGTAAGTCTTATGCCATTCTTAGTCGACAACCTTGAATGATCTTATCTCTTGCCATTTGGTATTTGCTGGGAGCATAACATTATATTGGGATTACTGTGTTCCTGTCAATGAATTTTTTCAATACACTATTATTTCAGATTAGGAAGATATCTCAGGCTGACATTAATACGGAGATCATTTTCAATTGTCAAATGGGACGTGGACGTACGACAACTGGAATGGTGATTGCAACCCTGGTCTATTTCAAACGTACTGGGGCATCAGGTACTTCATCATCTCCAACCGCTCAACTTGCGAAGAGAGTATACCAAATGCTCTTTCTGTGAATTACATGTTATGCGAAAAAAAGAAGCTGATTTGGGGATACCTTATTATTGAATCGTTTACTTTTTTTCCACTTTTGGAGTATCAAATCTTCAAGTGCTTTATTTGTCATAGAGAAATGGAAACACTATCGACTAGCCAAATAATCATCTCTCAACCCTCTTTCTCAAGCCTGTTCTTCTGTATATATATCTAGGGAGCCACATATTCTCGAAAAAAATATAGCCCATAGACAATTAGTCCAGACAGATTGGTGTTTAAGCCAGGTCATTATGGTATCTATTAACCTGTCTTTTTTTTCTTTTCTATTTAATGTTGAATAAAGATCAAGGATTCCCAAGAAACAACTCTTTTGGGAGAATCTTTAAAGCTGGTGAAAATATTACTGTTAATCTGCCGAATTCGGAGGAGGCAATCCGTAGAGGGGAATACGCGGTCGTTAGAAGTTTAATTAGAGTCTTAGAGGTATTTAGACTCTTTCCATTTGTCTTCATCTGATCATTTTGGTGGTCCTGCTGCTTCTAACTATTAATTGGTTTCATGATTCTAGGGTGGTGTAGAAGGTAAAAGGCAAGTTGATAAAGTCATCGACAAATGTGCATCCATGCAGGTATCTGTTTAAGTTTTTAACTTATGGGGTTTCACTTAGGGTAAAAGGTCTAAAGTTTATCTATGAATTATCTTACAGAATTTACGAGAGGCAATTGCAACCTATCGCAGTAGTATTTTGCGTCAACCCGATGAAAAGAAGAGAGAGGCAGCACTCTCATTTTTTGTTGAGTACTTGGAAAGATATTACTTCCTTATATGCTTTGCAGTATATCTTCATTCAGAGGGTGCTTTTCTCCAATCTGGTTCGCTTGGCCATGTCAGTTTTGCTGATTGGATGCGAGCTAGGCCAGAGCTCTATAGCATTCTTCGCAGGTACTGAGAAGCAGTTTATTTTTGCTTTTAACCTGTTATGCTTCTGTTTGCTTGTAAATCTGGCTGTATCTCAGTTTTCCATAGGAGCAGTTGAAGAACAACTTATTTGAGAGGCTTTTCCTATATTTAAGTAGCTCCCTGCAGCTGTATCTATTTACACTATTTTAGCATAATTTGAATGTCCAAATTAATCTGGTACTCGTGTATTAGACTGCATATGATCTTCAGATGTCTCATGTAAGTTCATTGCCTCTTCCAGGTTGCTCAGGAGAGATCCTATGGGTGCCCTTGGATATGCAGCTATGAAGCCTTCTTTGACAAAGATTGCAGAATCTACTGACGGGCGCCCTCACGAGATGAGTGTCGTTGCTGCGCTTAGAAGTGGGGCAGTTCTGGGAAGTCAAACTGTACTAAAGAGTGATCATAGTCCTGGCTGTCAAATTTTAAGTCTACCAGAGAGGGTGGAAGGAGCTCCGAATTTTAGGGAGGTTCCAGGATTTCCTGTATATGGTGTTGCGAATCCAACTATAGATGGTATTCGATCTGTCATTGAAAGGGTTGGGAGTTCCAGAGGTGGTCGGCCAGTTTTTTGGCACAATATGAGAGAAGAACCTGTTATATATATCAACGGGAAACCATTTGTTCTACGTGAAGTTGAAAGGCCATATAAGAACATGCTAGAATATACGGTAATAATCTATGTTTTAAAGTATATTTCAGATACTATTTAGATGCAATACCTTTGAGTGATTAGCCCCAATTTCTCTTCAGCTCTTATGGATTGGTTAGAAAGCTTAACAGAAATACCTCTATGTAGGGAATTGATCGAGATAGAGTGGAAGGAATGGAGGCTCGTCTAAAAGAAGATATTCTGAGAGAAGCTAAGCGATATGACGGTGCGATAATGGTCATTCATGAAACCAAAGATGGACAGATTTTTGATTTATGGGAAACTGTGGATGCTGATTCTGTTCAAACACCCCTCGAGGTCTACAAATGTTTAGAGGCTGATGGTTTTCCTATTAAGTATGCACGTGTACCTATAACTGATGGTAAAGCGCCCAAAAGCTCAGACTTTGACACATTGACATCTAATATTGCTTCTGCTTCCAAAGACACTGCTTTTGTCTTCAATTGCCAGGTTGAGTTCCCTTCTGCGTCCCAATCTGCTTGTGTATTTCGATTTATTTGGTAATCCTATTTAGCTTAACTTACAGCATTTCTTTTTTCATTCGACATTCACAGATGGGGAGAGGTAGAACAACCACTGGAACTGTCATTGCCTGTCTAGTGAAGCTCCGCATCAATTATGGGAGACCTATCAAGGTTCTTTATGACGTTCTGACCCATGACATTGTGGATGAAGATTCCTCAAGTGGTGGTGAAGAAACTGGAAGTAATAACGCTGAAGCAAGACCTCGTAATTCAGGACGAAGAACTGAGGAGGAACAAGGTCGTGCATTTGGAATGGATGACATCCTTTTACTGTGGAAAATCACTAGGTTATTCGATAATGGAGTTGAATCCCGTGAGGCTTTAGATGCCGTGATTGATAGATGTTCTGCATTGCAAAATATTCGTGAAGCTGTTCTGCAGTACAGAAAGGTTTTCAACCAACAACATGTTGAGCCACGAGTAAGGAGTGCTGCCTTGAAACGTGGCGCTGAATATTTGGAGAGATACTTCCGCTTGATTGCCTTTGCAGCCTATCTAGGAAGCAAAGCTTTTGATGGGTTCTTTGTGGAAGGAGAATCTAAGGTGACGTTCAAGAATTGGTTGAATCAGAGGCCTGAGGTGCAAGCAATGAAGTGGAGCATAAGGCTAAGACCTGGACGATTTTTTACCATTCCTGTGAGTCAAATGTCTCATTATTCAGTCTTGGGAAACTGTATAATCTTCTTTATTTTGCGTGTTACAACTTTGAATATTTTCATGTAGGAGGAATTGCGGGCACAACATGAATCGCAACACGGAGATGCAGTCATGGAGTCAATTGTCAACGAACGTAGTGGTTCTGTCTTGGGAAAGGGTTCTATACTTAAAATGTACTTTTTCCCTGGCCAAAGAACTTCAAGTCGTTTGCAAATTAACGGTGCACCTCACGTATACAAGGTAGGCTTCAAGGAAATGCGATTCTTGTGTGGTTTCCTGATTACTGGTAACCTTAAAATGATTATACTTAACCATGACATAACGTTCATTTCAGGTCGATAGATATCCTGTGTATAGCATGGCAACTCCCACAATTTCAGGCGCTAAAAAGATGCTCGCCTATTTAGGCACCAAACTAAAGGAAGAAGGTGGGGTTTCAACAGAAAGAATAGTAGTAACAGACTTGAGAGAAGAAGCGGTTGTTTATATCAATGGAACTCCATTTGTCTTGAGAGAATTGAGTAAACCTGTTGATACGCTTAAGCATGTTGGAATAACCGGTGCAGTGGTATGTTTCAATCACAGCTAATAATTATACAAATTGCAAAAGCAGTTTTATTGATTTGTATCATTAATGCAGGTAGAAAGCATAGAATCACGGTTAAAAGAAGATATATTGGCTGAAGTTCGAGAGACTGGAGGCCGAATGCTATTGCATCGTGAAGAATACAGCCCGGCATCTAATCAATCTCGGGTTATTGGATATTGGGAGAATATTCAACCAGATAATGTGAAGACACCTGCAGAAGTATATGCTGCTCTGAAAGATGAAAATTACAACATATCTTACCGCAGAATACCTTTAACCAGAGAAAAAGATGCATTAGCTTCCGATGTAGACGCGATCCAGTACTGTAAAGACGAGTAAGTATCAATCATCTGTTTTATTCTTTCACATTTTACATATTTACCAAATCTCTTCCGTGTTAACTTGTGGACGTTTTCAACACAGTTCCGCTGGGAGTTACTTGTTTGTATCGCACACCGGTTTTGGAGGAGTTTCTTATGCAATGGCCATAACTTGTCTCCTACTTCAACCTGGTCAGAACTTCGCAGCTACACCAACCACAGATTCTTCTACCTTAGAAGAAGATGATTCGCCTTCACGGGCTTGTGATGAAGAAGCGTTGAGTATGGGAGACTACCGCGACATACTGAGTCTCATAAGAGTGCTTTCTCATGGTCCTCAGAGCAAATCAGACGTAGATGGAATAGTCGAACTGTATGTAATCAATCAATCTCTTTTGAGAATTTTATTTCACTTTCAAATACATTGCTCATGATTGCATCGTCTTGTTTTGGCATTTTATAGGTGTGCTGGTGCTGGACATTTAAGAGAAGACATCGTTTACTACAGTAAAGAACTCAACAAGCTTCCTATTACAAAAGATGAAAACCGTTCATACATCATGGACATGGGTGTTAAAGCCTTAAGGTTAGTTACTCAACTCCAATCCTGTTAAAACGATCCAAACCAAACCTTGAAGTTCATTTCTTCCCATACCCAAACAATAATATGATTGTTTTGTATGAGCAGGCGCTACTTTTACCTGATAACATTCAGATCATACCTCTATTGCACGTCACCGGAAGAAATGAAATTCTTGGATTGGATGAAGTCACGGCCGGAACTTGGACATCTCTGTCATAACCTCAGGATAGATAAGTAAAAGTGTGATTTTGGGTTTCAGTGTCCATACATATATGTATAATCTAGGCAAAGTTATGTTGTTTGGTTTATACAGAGCTTTTAGTGTATAAAAATTGTACAGCTTTCTCTCCCTCCTCTGTTTGCATTGTAGAGAGATCTCTGTTTATAGGTTTGCGTCTCTTCCTATATGGATTGCTTAAAACCATCCAGCTGATTCAGCAGCTTACTCTAATGAGTAAGCTATTTTTTTTTTCCTTTATTAAAAACAAATTAATAAAATTAAAAATATATATAACAAACGCAATTTTTAGACTTTCTTGGGAGCCAACTTGGATTTGATCTTTTCGATTTCTTTCGTTCCGATCTGAAACGCCGTCGTTAAAACGTGATCCGGAATCGCCGGAGTGGCCGTGAATAGCGTGGCGGCCATCGATTGTGTACCCGGTAACTGACTGTTGAACGCAGAGATCACCGACGCAAGTTTCGCTTTGTCGTTGTTCTTCTGGTAATGAATCAATCCTCTCGGGAAGACGAAAACTTCTCCTTTCTTCACAGTCTTAGCGAATAACTTGTTCGCCGTCGTTATGAATCCGACGTCAAGCTCGCCTTCCAAAACGAAGATCACTTCAGTGGCGCGTGGATGCGTGTGCGGCGGGTTTAAACCTCCGGGAGCGTAGTCGATACGCGCGAGTGAGACTCCGAGCGTGTTAAGCCCTGCGATCTTCTCTACGTTTGCTCCCGTGACGGCTGACCCGACTGTGTTGTTAACGACGGCGGGTTTTCCGATTCCGGCGAAGAAGAAATCTGAGGCAGTGATGTTTAATTCCGGCTTACATGTGAAACCATTCACTTTGATCCCTACATAATCCAAAACAACGACATTTCATTACTTTAACATTAACATACAATCATTCAAAGTAAACACTAAATTGAATTTCGAAGATATGTTTACCTGAAGTGCGATCTGCAACGCAGAGATCTTGAAGAGTGTCAGGATCGTAAGCAAGAGCAACCACAGTTAAAGAGAACAGAGCAAAGAAGAAGCCATAACATCTCGAGTCCATGATTTTGATCATTTACTGTAGAAGAGCAAGTAAACTAGATTCGAAGCGCTAATTTGAAACTGTGTGATATGTTTATGTTTCGATTTGGATCGTTATAAATATTTGAATTTGTTAGAGGAAAATTATGCATAGCTTAACTAACTTAAACGCAAAGCAAAACCGGGACTTGGAGGAGAGATGTGATGTCGTTTTCTTACACATATGTACATATTTAATTTAACTTTTAAGTTTTGGTTTTCGTTAGATAGAATTCTAGGTTGAACCGAATTATATTCCAGATTAGAGATCTAAAGAAGTAAAGATCAATAAAAAGTTTCAGTTTCCAATTCTTGGTAGGGGTTGGAAAGTTAATTAAAAACTTGAAATCGTGATGGGGTGGGCCATGCAACTTTGAGATTCGTTTTGATGGTTAACAAGAACGAAAATCCGTCATTTGTATATCTTAACAAGGCCCATTTACAATGAAATAGGGCCTGTGGCTCCACCTCAAATAGCCCAAAGTATAACTCTTCTTCTCTAAGGATTGTAATGAGGAGGTTTGGGTCATGGTGCGGCCCAAGTGATGCTTTTCCTGAATTGACAAACAAAGTTACTTAATTACCCACGGTCAGTTACATGGTTGTGTCTTGTGTGGCAAGGGGTAGAATCGAAATTAGCACACGACGACCAGTGTTGCCAGTGAAAACAAAGCGTAAATTTCACTCATCCACAACCACAGATCTAAAACCCTCTCACCTACCAGACAAACACTCTCTCTATCAATCCGGCAAAACAATGTCTGCTTTTCCCGGCGATTACGCAGGTAAAATCTCTATCTCTCTCTTTGTATCTCCGTTAGAACTGTTGTTTTCATAACTCTCTAGATCTCAAGATTAGATTCTGTCACTAAAACCTAGCAAGTAGTTTTAGTAAGTATCTTCTCCGTTTTATAGTAATTTCTTTTTTTTGGTCATCGCAGCGGCTGAGACAGGTATCTTTTGGGACATAGAAGATTGCAAGATTGATGTTGACCTCAATGCTAGTCAGGTTTTGCAGAACATTAAATTGACCATTTCGAGGGCTGGTCATCATGGAACGGTCTCAATAAGGGCGTATGGTGATATGACTGGTCATGAGTTTCCCTCTGAGGGAATTAAGCTCAATCACTTCCCTGCAGGTTAGGAACTTGTCTTTTTACTTACGTGTTTGTGAATGTATGTATCTTTGATCAGATCTGACTTGTTTGTTGCAGGAGAGAGGTACGCGAGACATTCGAAGATGCTTGAAGACATCATTGCCTGGTCAGCTGAACATCCTCAACCATCAAATTTGATGCTAATCATGAAAGACACCTCTCCAGACTTCATTGAGGTTGTTCAACTTTTGAAATCCAAGAAAAATTACATGTTTCACATTGTTCAACCTGGAAGTGGGTTTGGGAGAGCTTAGGCCTTAACTTATGGATTAGGCATTATGATGACATTACCACTAGTTGGAGACTAATTATTTTAGTATTGCTGCAAGTAGAATAAAATGTTCACTACTGTTTGTCTGTAATTTCGTCATTCCTCTGTTGATCGATCATCCTCTTTTGATGACTAAGTACAAAACTCTAGGAAATGTTGGATCATCCTCTTTGCAGATCTCCTTCATTCTGACCATAATAAGTTAATGTTTTGTTCAGATTAAAATTCATCATTTTTATTAAACTCGGATCTCTAAGCTCTCCTATCGTCCTGCAACTATGATATCACCATGCTTAACAAGAACGATAAGATATCACCATGGTCCGTTTATGTGCATTGCAATGCTTAACCAAGAAATATCGGCCACATAGTAGAATGGCCCGTATACCATGAAATGGGCCTGTTAACTCCACCTAAATTGGCCCAAGTACACCTCTTGTTCTCTAAGGATTCTAATGAACCTGAAGAAGAGATCTGCGGCCCAGGTCATGCTTGACACGGGCAGTTACTAAATTACCCACTAGTGTGTATGTGTAATGACTATTCTCTTTTAGTTCATGCCCACTGACTCCATGTGGTCGATACCGGTTTATTCGACAAACTTGTTACTACAATAGTATTAATCTCTTATACATATTTTTGTTCATATAAATGAATCTGTTGTTTATTTCAAACACGAATAAGTTTTTTTTTGGACAGTGAACACTAATTAGTAACATGATGAAAACTGAAAAGAACATCCCGGACAAAAAGCCTTAATTAATACACTAAGGAAGTTACCAAATTACCCTCAGCTACTTTGCTGTGTGTTACGTTAATTAGGGGTAGAATCGAAATTGGCATGACCATGTGAAATCCAACGGCTGCAAATCAGTGTCTTGGAAAACAAGCCATATCTCTAACCCTTAATTCCCACCCTTTCAACCTATAGTCTCTCTCTTCCGCATCTAAACCCTAATTTTTCTTTTGTTCTTTCATTCAGACAAGTCTCTAATTTTCTCGATCTCCGTCGAAACCATGACCACAGAATTCGCAAGTGAGATTTCTCTCTATCTCTTCCTTGAAATTGTTTGTCTATATCTGGATTGGATTTCATCTGATCGATCAGTCATAGTAAATTTTAATGGATCTAATCAATTCACGTTGTGATATATATCTGGATTAATAGATTTCATCTAATCGATCTAGCAGATGATAGCACAGGCGTCTTCTGGGACCTCGATGATTGCTCAACCCCTAATGATAGTCATCCTCATTTGATTTATCAGAATATCAAATCAGCTCTTGAGAATAAGGGTTATCGTGGTGAGGTGTCAATCTCAGCTTATGTTCAGAATGAAACGCTACCGGATGACTTGCTAGATATATTTCGTGAGGCCGGAGTCAAAATCTCATTCGTACCCAAAGGTGAATTTATTTACTAAAAACCCTAGTCTTTTATTCTCTGTTTTTACTTACATATATGTCTAGAATCTAATCTAGATCTCTGTTGTTATTAGATTCAACGCATAAAAGAGTTGCTAGGATGTTCTTGGACATTCTTCTATGGGCAGTGGACAATCCTCATCCAGCAAATCTGATGATAATCTCAAACAACTTCTCAGAACACAAGTTGTTTCTCAAGACTCTTCACTATTTGAAACAAAGACATTACAATGTTCTCTTAGCAGAGCCTGGTAAGGTCGTATCAGAAGAGGTACGTCTTTTGTTTTCGGATGACCTATTAGAAAACCTGATCAAGCAAAGTGAAGTGGAAGAGCATAGCAAAGATTCTGAGGACTAACTTCTCTGCGTAGCTGAAAGGTGACAACGATCCTAATGCAAAAACCATATATATGTAATCATTAATAGGTTCTCCATTTGATATATAAATTCAGGGGAGAGCTAAAATGGTGATGAGCAACATTCTTCTCACCGCTGTGGACTTTTCTCGCACCAAGCCTGATCAAGTGGTTAATTTGTTTGTGGTCTCAAATAAAGTTTTAACGGATGAGTTCATTAGTATTTTTCAAAAATCGGAATCGAGAAATATCAAAGTCTCTTGGGACTCAAGGAACCCACCCCATCAGGAATACGATTTCCTTAAGTAACCTTTAAATGTTCGGACTTCTTCTTCTCGCTTACGCAGTCGGTGCTCAACGGAAGCTGTTTCAAATTCCAAGGGAGACGAAAGTAGCTGATGCAGATTGCAGGGTACAAGTACAACATATATTTCAAACAAGGCGCCGTAGTAGCTTTAATTTGTGTATGATATTGCTGATGGTGACACCCAAACAAACTTATAAATTCCAAACGCATAGCATATTAACCGGTTTAAAACCTATCTGCTTTAAAATTATATTCATACACATGCATGAGCAACAATTATGTCAAATCAATAGCAACTTGTGCAAATCTGTGAGATGTTGTTTTTCAGCAAATCATTTCATCCTCACCAACAAAAAAAGTATGACAAGGCTTTTTTTTTGTTCTTGGAGTTTGTGGTTTTGATCGATCGAGTGTGAAATAGAATGTGTTTAGATAACATGATTTTGTTCTAGGATTATACTGTATATTTTAATCTAATCTCTTTTTTTTTTTGTCAAAGAGATATTTTTTAATCTCCATTATAAAAAAAACTAGAAATATTAAATGCCAAAATCTGTAAGCAAATAAATTTTCAGAGAATGGTATCAAAATTTTCCAAATACACAGATATCTACCATTTAATAGTCTCTCATCCGCAGCGATAAAACCAATGCCTCTAAGCAAATAGCCTATCTAACCCTAATTTACTTTAATCTAACCCTAATTTATTTCATCTTCAAATTCTCTAATTTTCTTCTCGATCAATATCTCCGTATAGAAAACCATGTCTTCCGAACAAGGATCCGAGGGTAAGATCTGATATGCCTCTCCGTCTCTTGCTCGAAATTGTTTATTCATATCTGAATTAGATAGATTTCATCTAATCTGTCATATTAAATCGATTGTATATATTCACGTTCGTTCAGATTCTTATTTTTTAATTTCGTTTGGTAATTAATGTTGATGATGCCTACCTTGTCCGTTTTGTGCAGAAGTAATCACCACATGCGTCTTCTGGGACCTCGAGGATTTCATACTCCCTGATAATTTAAATCCTTTTTATGTTTATCGTAACCTGTTATCAGCTCTTAAGAGTAAGGGTTTAATTGGTGGGTTGTATATCTGGTTCTATTATGGAGGTGATCTAGATTTCACGGATGAAATCGCGGACAAGTATGAAGAGCTCGATACCTTCTTCTTTCGCCTAGGTGATATATATTCTTCTATTGAAATCTTTTTTTTTTTTAACTTATAACCCTAATTTATTTCAATCTATAGAAGGGGATATATATGAGAAAGCTACAAGGATTATGAGGGACGCTCTTCTCTGGTCAGTGGACAATCCAGTGCGTGACGACATTCCTGAACAAGCAAATTTATTTATTATCTCTAATAAATTCTCAGGAGAAGAAACCAAGGAGCTCCTCAGTTATCTGCAAGCTTTGAAATCGAGAAATTATAATATTCTCTTAGCACTTAAGGAACCCGAATCATGTGAAGCGCTGCTTCCTTCTGTAAGCTTGGAATGGCTTTGGCATAGAATATTAGGTGCTGGTGATGATCTTGAAGATGATGTTGACAATACTACTCTTTGTAACTTGTGCAACAAGGAAGAAGATTTGAAGGCAGCCAACCTTAAGATTTTGGAGATGGAGAAAGCACAAGCTGAACAAGACAAGGTGCTAGCTCAACAAACAAAAGAGCTCGAGTATTTTAAGAATATAGTATTTAACCAATTTCCAAACTTGGTTCTTCCAACCAATCCTCCCACCCGAGACGATAATTAGTATTGTGTATTTTATGTGTTTATGTTATATCTTTTAATTTTTTTTTTTTTTCTATTGATTTGTTGAGACTTTTTTTTTGGTGAGCATTGATTTGTTGAGACTTGAGACTATTGGTTATTGATTGATAATTAAACTGAATCAAGAGGTAGAGCTACGTCCAAAAAATGTTGAGTCATATGACACACCGTACGTTTGACAAAGGAGAGGATAACAAAAAAGAAAAGCATAGTTATTAATAAAAAAGGAATGTCGTTGACTTCTTCTTTTTTTTTTGATTAAATTCTCCCAAATCCTTTCAATAAATCTCACCAAATCACTAATGATTTTTAAAAAAAAAAAAAAAAAAGAAATCAAACAAATCAACTCAACCATCCTAAAATTTTACTCAAATCACTCCAAAACCTAAAATATAGAAATTCCACCAAACCCCTCCAAATATTTAATTCAATACACCCCCTTAGTACTTCTTATTTTAGTTATTGTGAATCAAATATTTAAAAATTAAATTTTCAATTCATATTTGATAGTAATATTTTTGAACATTATTTTGGTCACTAATTTTTGATCATTTATTTTGTCAGTAACATTTGATCTTTTTTTTTGGGTCAGTAATTTTCGACCAATTTATGACCCCAGTTTATTTGCGAGCAGCGGTTTTTTACGACTTAAATTAAAAGAGAACAATAAATGAACGCGTCAATTGTACTTGATAGTCTCTCATCCGTAACCACATGCTTAGCCCAAACCCTAATTGTTTTCTTTTTCTTTTGATTCTCTACAAGACTATGAGCAGAGAATTCAATAGTAAGATCACTGGCTATCTCTTGCTCGATTTTTTTTTAAAATGATACGTTTTAATAATCTACAAAAGCCGACAAATTAGATTATTGGAGATCCAACGGCTGAAAAGAGAACATGCCGAAGATCTCTCTCTCTCATGGGCAGCAATATATAAAGCCACCCCTCCGAAGATCTAAACCCTAATTTTCTTGTCCATCGAAATCATGTCGGATGAACACGACGGTAAGATCTCTCTGTCTCTTGCACCTATGTTTCTGATTATAACCTCTCTGTATTTTTCTTGCTCGGAATTGTTTCTGATTATAATCAGGCTCTTGTCGATCTATCATACTAAATTATATAATTCGATCAATCTGTCATAGTAAAATCAATGGTTGGATGGATCTAATCGATTGTATTCATGATCCGATTGTATGATGATGCTTTCTCCGTTTTTGTGCAGAAGTGAAAGTGATTACCACATGCGTCTTCTGGGACCTCGAGGATTTCGTAGTCCCTGATAATTTAAATCCTTTTTATGTTTATCGTAACCTGTTATCAGCTCTTAAGAGTAAGGGTTTTATTGGTCGGTTGAAAATCTGGTTCTATTATGGAGGTGATCTAGATTTCACGGATGAAATCGCGGACAAGTATGAAGAGCTCCATACCTTCTTCTTTCGCCTAGGTGATATATATTCTTCTATTTAAATCTTTTTTTTTTTACTTATAACATATATATGTGTGTCTGTAATCTAAGATTTCTTTCAATCTATATATATATATAGAAGGGGATATATATGAGAAAGCTACAAGGATTATGAGGGACGCTCTTCTCTGGTCAAAGGACAATCCAGTGCGCGACGACATTCCTGAACCAGCAAATTTGTTTATTATCTCTAATAAATTCTCTGGAGAAGAAACCAAGGAGCTCCTCAGTTATCTGCAAGCTTTGGAATCGAGAAAGTATAATATTCTCTTAGCACTTAATGAACCCGAATCATGTGAAGCGCTGCTTCCTTGTGTAAGCTTGGAATGGCTTTGGCATAGAATATTAGGTGCTGGTGATGATCTTGAAGATGATGTTGACAATACTACTCTTTGTAACTTGTGCAACAAGGAAGAAGATTTGAAGGCCGCCAACCTTAAGATTTTGGAGATGGAGAAAGCACAAGCTGAACAAGCCAAGGTGCTTGCTCAACAAGCAAAAGAGCTCGAGTATTATAAGAATATAGTATTTAACCAATTTCCAAACTTGGTTCTTCCAACCAATCCTCCGGCTCGAGACGATAATTAGTATTGTGTATTTTTTATGTGATTAAATTACATCTTCTATTCTATGTTATAAACTATTAGTACTTATTATTTTAGTTACTAGAAGATAATCCGGGCTACGCCCGGGTATAAATATTTAACAAATGCAATTGTTAAAAGGAAAGCAAATGCAATGTGTTGATGCAATTGTTAAAAGAGCGTACTCTTCACAATTTAATTTGCTACATTAGCATGCACTATCCCGAATTGACTTGGGCCAATAGTTTAGAGGGAGAAACGTATATGTTCTCAAGTTTTATTGAATTAGTTTGAGTATGTTAGATTTGTGAGAAAAAGGTCAAACAACAACCTGCTCCTTATTTATTCTGTGAAAATGTTAAATCTACCTTACAAAACAATTGCCATTCCTTCTTACTGCACATACTCCTCCAGTCGATATTATTCCTCTTTTTCCCTATCATGCAAACAATATCTTTATTTCAATGTATTTTTCTAAGTCACACTTTGCATATGCTCTACACCTTTATTTTAAATCATCTGCTTATATCTACTTAGATCATACAATAGGAATCATAGGATGGACAGTGAATATACAATAATGAAAAAGATTCTTCGTAAAACTTTTAAAAGCTTTATAGTTACTGGGATCTTGATCATGAGGTCTGATTCAGTTGGGTGAATAACTCAGAATGCAGATTATTCAATACATCATGTCTACATATTAAGATATGCACCTGAGACGTAGGAGAGAAAGGAAAATCATTAGTATCTTCACAGGCATGAACAAATTTTTTTTATTTATTTTGGATTTCAAATTAAGTTTGTAATGCAGGTTAATTTTCCAAACAATGACCATATTGATTAATAGCTTAAAGAATATAGAAATGAACTCCTACAAAGACATAACTTGATAGTTTTTCTCTTGAGCTTTTCTTTGTCATAATACGCATATACTATGCGAGGAGGTTAAAAGATAGAATAGTCAAATATGGCTTAAGTGGTATAACGAAAATAACAAAACGTCAAACGCAGGGAAAATAATTGGTAAAACATGAAGAAAGAAAGAAAAATATTGCCGCGGACAATAAAATTAGGATGTGTTGATTTACTGACCTCCGATCCTAAACTGAAATCTGGGCGAAATTCTTTATTGACATGGCACAGAGTAATAGATTCACCAGTTAACATCTGCGTTGCTACCGATTTGGATATGAAGAAGAAGATAGCGAGATGGAGAGGTCGGACTAAAACTTCTTCCTCACATTAATCTCCTTCAATCTCATCGAAAATCTTAAAGGTGAATGGTTGGGGAGACTGTTTTGCTTTATTTAGTGACATGTTTTGATTGAAGTTTTTTGCTAATATCTGTTTGATCGGAGAGCTGACGTTTTATAGGAGATTCTCGCAAGAAGCTATGATTTTGAAGGTAGTGGTCATTAGTTTCGATTGATGTGAATAAATGGGGGAGTGAAGATGAGGTAGTGGGTAATTGATTACGTTGGCGATGGGAAACTGAATCGATATAGTTTGTGATAATGGTGACGACGACAAAGGGTTTTTGGGGTGTTTTTTTTTTTTTTTTTAATCTTTGAACTGTTTAGATTTTGAGATGGGCTAATTATTGGGTACTGAGCGAATGGGTTTTTTGTATGTTGGGCTTCTATTTTTTATTGGAAAGACATAAGACTTTGTCATGGGCAATTTTTATTTTATTTTTCCTAACGCCGACGTGGCAAGTAGAGAGAGTATCATAAAATTGCTGATGTGGATGGCTTAAGAAGCCTCAATTAACATCTTTTATTAGTAAGAGATTGTGAATCAAATATTTAAAAATTAATTTTCAATTCATATTTGGTTGTAATATTTTCGACCATTATTTTGGTCACTAATTGTTGACCATTACATTGTCAGTAACATTTGTTTTTTTTTTTGGTCAGTAATTTTCGACCAATTTATGACCCCAGTTTATTTGCAAGCAGCGATTTTTTACGACTTCAATTAAAAGAGAACAACAAATGAAGTGGGAATTGTACTCTCTCATCCGTAACCACAGGTTTAGCCCTAACCCTAATTTTTATTTTCTTTTGATTCACTGTAAAACCATGGGCAGAGAATTCGACAGTAAGATCTCTGGCTATCTCTTGCTCAGTGGCGGAGCCAGAAATATATATTATGGGGGTCATACATTTATTTTTAATTAAAGCATATATAATATTTTAATTTAATAAAAAATTATTGTTGAAATATACAATTAATACAAATAATTATTATATATTGAAAAAAGGAAAAATATGTATTTATGCAAGTAGGGAAATATGAGAACTAATATGAAAAAATAAGAGTTAAATATTATAAATTAAACAATAAAAGCAAGAAACGATTAATTGAAAAAAATTGACGTAGGGTGCAAAAAGAGGATTTGAGGTGTGGGTATAGGGGTCATACTATATGTTTCTAGCCAAATAATTCATCATCTAGTAGTTGTTTAGGCTTAAAAAAACAAATTTCATAAAAGTTATGGGGGTCAACTGACCCCCCTACCTCTCAAGTACCTCCGCCACTGCTCTTGCTTGAAATTGTTTGTCTATATCTAGATTAGATTTCATCTGATCGACGAAAACAATCGGATCATGTCATAGTAAATTTTAATGGATATAGCTAATCAATTTTGTATTGAGAATTGACGATCTAATTGTCTATTCGAAATTGTTAATGCGTTTCCCGTTTTGTAAAAACATGGCAGGTGCTAAGACACTCGTCTTCTGGGACGTCGAGGATTTCCCAATTCCTTATGGTCTCGATCATGACTCGACGTATCAGATTATCAAATCAGCTCTTGTGAATAAGGGTTATCATGGTGGGTGAGGTGGAGGAAATCAATGCTTATGCTGGGAACAAGAATATGGTTCCGGATGAATTGCGGCATGACTATTATTATGCCGGAATCTACTTCGAACGACAAGGTTAGTTCCTTTACTTAAACCCTCTTAACACACTTTTCTCCTCTTTACTTTCATTTTCGAATTTTTGGTAGGAGTTAGAAAATTACACTTAAGTGTAAAATTTTTTTTTACTTTGACAGACAAAGCATTTGGATATATAAGTTGGGCTGGGCCTGGATGAAATTAAAAATAGGCCTCTAGTTGTCGTAATCATGAGGCGTACGTTAGCATGTGACGCCAAGGATACCAAATCCACAATCTGCTAACTTAAAAACAAGGCTCGAGGCGGTTCTCTTATCTGCAAAACTAGAGACTGTGTTGTCTAAGCGAACCAACCAAAGTCTTCTTCTTTACTCAATCAATGGCTTCTTCGTCTTCTATGCAGATGGTTCACACTTCCCAGGTTCGAAACTTTATCCTACATTTGTGGGTTTTTCAATTTTCGTCGAGATTTATGCTTTTAATTCGTAAAATTCTTTGCTTTTTCTTTTCTCACTTTACCAGCAATGGCGTCTATTTTGGCTTTACTCTGTTTTAGTATTTAAGTAGTGACTTAAAACGAAATCTCTGTTCTTGTGGGTTTTTGTTCTTAATCTCTTTGTTTGGTTTTGTGTGTAGATTGGGTTCGTTGTTAAGTCGCAATTGGTTTCTGCAAATCGAGCATCTCAATCAGTTTGCTTCGGAGCTCGTTCCTCTGGAATTGCATTATCTTCGAGATTGCACTATGCATCACCCATTAAGCAATTTTCCGGAGTTCATGCGACCACCAAGCACCAGAGAACTGCTTGTGTTAAATCCATGGCGGCTGTAAGATTTCCAAACAAAAACCATTAATTTTTGTGATAGTTACTGATGTCCTGTTTCTTATGGCTTTGTGTTGATTCTTGAACTTGTTTTATAGGAGGAAGAGGAAGTAATAGAACCTCAAGCTAAAGTGACAAACAAGGTTTACTTTGATGTGGAAATTGGAGGTGAAGTTGCTGGAAGAATTGTGATGGGTCTCTTTGGAGAAGTTGTGCCTAAAACCGTTGAAAACTTCCGTGTCTTGTGTACTGGTAAGATCTTTATCTTCAACTTTAGAACATTGATGTTTAAAGTTTGGAACTTTTTAGACAAACAAAACCATTGTCTAAAGAAAATTGATTTCTTTAGGTGAGAAGAAATACGGATACAAGGGTTCCTCTTTCCATCGTATTATTAAAGATTTCATGATCCAAGGAGGTGATTTCACTGAGGGAAATGTAAGTTTTTTCCAAGAAGTTACATATAAGACTGTTTGTTATTTGGTATTTCTTTCTAAATCGTTCTTTTCGATGTGGTCTCACAGGGTACTGGAGGTATTAGTATTTATGGTGCCACGTTTGAAGATGAAAACTTCACCCGTGAGTATTATTATCAAAGAATACTTCTGGTTTTGACTGTGCTTCTTCGAGGTATTAATGCTTTTGATTTACTGTTTTCCGCATGTGTAGTGAAGCATACTGGACCTGGAATCTTGAGCATGGCAAACGCTGGTCCTAATACTAATGGAAGCCAGTTTTTCATTTGCACCGTCAAGGTAAAGATTCTCAACTCTTCACATCATCATAAAGTTATCGATCTTTCATATGTTTGCCTTCGCATTTTGATGAATATTTATTCACCAATTTGTGTTCTCTGTTTTGTTTTTTTTGTGCAGACTCCATGGTTAGATAACAAGCATGTTGTGTTTGGACAAGTAATTGAAGGTATGAAGCTTGTTAGGACTCTTGAGTCTCAAGAGACACGCGCTTTCGATGTTCCCAAGAAAGGCTGTAGAATCTATGCCTGCGGAGAGCTCCCGTTAGAAGCTTGATAATCACCATTGGCCGGGGTGCATTGTCATTGCGATCTTTATTCTGTTTTTTACTATTATGACTATCGAGGAATCCAAACCATCAAAAAGCCAAAGATTTTCAAATTCTGGTCTTTTGTTTATTTATTTCGGATACATGAGTTAAAAGTTCTTTGTAATCGATGTGGAATTGTTAAGAGCCCGGGTCGCGCGAGCTTTGTCTGCGTTAGTAAAGAAGATCTGATGGTTAAAAAGAACAGAGGATGGGAAAAAAAAATCAATGGAGAATTCCGTGCAAAAAGCTTGAAGACAAGAAACTTAACGATTTAACGTGATTTATAAATAAAAGTGTTTTATTTTTGCTAATTTGTGATTGCATAGAGTGCCCAAATCAACAATAATCATTATTTTCGTGGGCTTTTCTATAAACAAAGATATGAAAATGGTCCGATTTGAAAATGCGTAACTTTGGGTTATTTTTTAAAAAATTGCCCATATAAAAATCACCTGCAAAAAACAGAACCCTAACTCCATCATCAGTCATGTCCTCCCTACGCCGCATTGTCCGAAATTCGACTGTATCAAAGGCTGTTCCGATTAAGAAGGCGTTCGTGCCTTACCCACTCGGAAGAGACCCTTCCTCACTCCCCAAGCTTGAGGGGGTCTGGATCAGTGATATCGATGACCGCCCAATTTCTCTGCGCTACAGAGTCACGGCAATGATCGAGATGTCAATTCTCGACAAAGCCTCGGATCTCTCGCGCCTCGCTGTCTTGGACGAATGTCGAGTCGACAGAGACACCGTATTCATCTGCAATTCCGTAATTGGCGCCATGTGCAGCGCAAAACGGTACGACGATGCCATCTCTCTGTTCAATTGCTTTTTCAACGAGTCTCAAGCTGTCCCAAACATGCTCTCCTGCAATCTCATCATGAAAGCACACTGCGACCAACGTCACGTCGACGACGCTCTTCAGCTCTACCGCCACATTTTGCTCGACGGACGTTTAGCTCCGGGGATCGAGACATACATGATACTCACGAAAGCCTTGGTTAATTCTAAACGATTCGATGAAGCTTGTGATTTAGTGGGATCCATGAGCTCTTGTAGTTTCATGGTCTACGACATTCTGATTCGAGGGTTCTTGTATTTTGGGGATTTCGTAAAGGCTAGCCAAATCTTCAAGGAATTGGATAGTAAACTTCCATGTAGAGAATATCACACGGCAATTGCAATCTTTAATGTTTCGTTTATGGACTATTTTTTCAAGCAACGCAAAGATGAGGAAGCTATGGAGATTCTCGCAACTCTGGAAGAGGCTCAAGTGTTGAAACCCATTGTCGGAAACAGGGTTTTGGAAGTTCTTGTCTGGCACGGTAAGGATACAGAGGCCTGGGAGTTGTTTGAAGAGATGATAGAAATCTGTGATTCCGAGACGATTGACATAATGTCCGACTATTTTAGTGAAAAGACTGTGCCATTCGAGCGGCTTAGGAAAACGTGTTATAGGAATATGATCGTGAGTCTCTGCGAGCATGGAAAAGTGTCAGACGCAGAGAAACTCTTTGCCGAGATGTTTACCGACGTTGACGTTTACGGAGAGGACTTGTTGGTGGGGGGGCCTGACCTTTTAACATTCAGAGCAATGATCAATGGATATGTTAAGGTAGGGAGAGTCGATGATGCTATCATGACCTTGAACAAGATGCGACTTTTAAATATCAGAAAGCTTGCTATTCATCGGGCACCATAAGTTGCATTTGTGCTTCTTTTTTTAATCTTTTCAGAGTCTTGTTAGAATGTTAGGTAAATGTTTTCTTTGCTTGTAATGTTGTGAACCAAAACACTATTTATGAGGATTAGGAAATGAGTTTTCCTCTAATTTTGTAGTAGAATATCAAGTTTTTAGTTGTTAAAAGCTTAAGTGAGACGAAAAGGAAATGAGTTTTCCTCTATTTAACAAATAAATAAATCGATCCGTTACAAAGAGGAAGTGACTATGAACAGTGAACTAGACTAGCATGTTAAATTAATAACCGAATCAATAAGACGATAAGAGTCATAATTGAATAGAAATATATGTTTCTCTGATCACAATTTAATAGATAAATGACGATTTTCTAATTTTGTTACTATTGAAAAACCAATACTAATTTATCATGTTTTATATTCAGCACAAGCTTTTGTGCATATTATCTATTTGGTGGAATCACGTTTTCAAATTTTGCATTGCATACAATTCAAACCCTATTATTATCTTAACTAACAGAGTATACGAAAAAAAACAAGTATATAAAAAAATACATCAAATAAAGATCACAAAGCGAGGAGGAATGGTCAAAAGAGATGGGAGACCTCCTTTAGAGTTGAATCGATCATCTTGTCGGAGAATTCTATAGCTTCATCGATTCTTCCAGCCTTCACATAAGCATCAATCATTGTTCTAAAAATGTTAACATCAATGTATCCGAAATCATCAGCAAGTGAATCAAGAAAGACAGACCGTGCTTCTGACAACATCCCGTTTTTGCAAAACCTTGTAATAATGTATCCACCACTAAATACACCAAAGAAGTAAGTCGCTGATCCGTGTTTGCAACACTCTGTAATATTGTATATGTCACAGATGAAGTGGTTCTTGGCTTTAGCCTTGTTGTAGGTCTCCCAAGCCTCTCTAAATCGACCCAAATCAAAACACTCGTCTATCATTATCTTAATGGTATCAGGGTTGGTGTTACCTTTATCTAAGAGTTCATGGTACAATGCCCAAGCATGTTTTTCTTCACCGTATTTGAGCAGGACTACCAAAAGGGCGTTACCCGTTTCGGCACAAACCAGTAACCTGTTTGATAGAACAGAGCGCTTGTAACACTCCATAGCTTCCACTTGTTTACCTTGCTTAAACCAGTACTCCATGAATGTGGCCATCAGGAATGCGACTCTGTTTTCATATTTTGAATGTTGCAAATCATCTTTGGTCTCGGAGAGGGCAATAAGAAACAAGCGTTTGAATTCGTCCAAGACTAGATTCGCCTTGTCTAAATTCCCAAGATCCAAAAACCCGCGAATCAGATTGTTGTAAGCCACGTGATCTGGGTAGGTGGTCCTATCGACTGTCCTGTCTCTAAGCATGGCTTCCGCTTGGTCCAACCGGCCGGCGTGGACTAACCATTTGGTCAAGACCCTGAAAGTATCCTTGCTTGGGTAGTCGTCGACCATACCAGATTCGATGGATCGGTGGTGGAAACCGAGAACGTCGTCAACAATACCTTGTTTGAAACCAGATTCGATGATGTAGTTCCAGCAATAGCTGTTGGGTATTAGCTTACACTGATTGAAAAAGACATCGTAGAGATCGTAAGCGTCATCGAGCCTTTTATTCTGCAACATGCCTCCGATGATGGCTTGACATGTTGTTGCTGTGGCCTCCGATCTGATGTCGGTGAAAACAGCCAAACGAGCGTACTTCGCCGCCGTGTCGAGGTCTCCAACGAATTTGATCAAGTACGTGACTCTCAAGCATAGCTGCGCGGGACGACAATCTGGGTTTGACATTATGTCCTTCGCTCTTCTTGGCAGGGCGGTGTAGAAACGCCGACCAAGATTGAGGCGGCGGATCTGAGACATTATTACCTGCTGGTTAGGCATTACGAGGACTAGCTCTAGAGAAAAATTGAAAACAAGTTATTAAACGACGCCTAGGGTTTTGGTCGAAATAGATACATATTCCATTTTTTATACAAAATTTGGTTTTTAGAGTTAGTAACTCAAGTGATCATAATATATATATTTCTAGTTAGACTTCATGGTTAGATAGCATGTTGTATTTGGACAAGTAATTGAAGGTATGAAGCTTGTTAGGACTCTTGATAATCACCATTGACCGGTGCATTGTCATTGCGATCTTTGTTCTGTTTTTTACTATTATGACTATCGAGGAATCCAAACCATCAAAAAGCCAAATATTTTCAAATTCTGGTCTTTTGTTTTTTATTTGAGATACATGAGTTAAAAGTACAATTCAAGTTCTTTTTATCGATGTGTGAATCTTATTAAAACTTCTCTCTAAGCATTGACCATGGTTGCAACCGCGGCTTGCTGAACAATTGGCTCAAGCTTCTCATCTTTGGTGTCTTCCCATAAATCAGGTATTGCTTCCTTTATGTTATGAATGCTGCTTAGTGCATAGTCAGCACCTGGAACTAGTACCGAGTCGCCTACAAACACGGTTTTTAGCCCCGTTGCTTTAGCACTAGCGATGTTACGAATACTGTCATCGAAGAACATCTAAAAAAGAAAGATGCAGACTTTTGAGTTTGGTATGTTGAAACTGTGAAAGATCGTAGTGACATTTCTATTACCGTTTTGCGTGGATCGACGATGTCTGCAATGCGAATTGCAGCTTCAAATGCTTCAACGGAGGGTTTACAGAGGATTTGAGTGTTTGAATCAGAAGAAGGGTTTAGTGTTTCGAAGCAAATGATTCCTTCAAAGCAATCCTCTAGACCTAATCTGTTGAGGGCTCGAGTCGTGTGAGCTTTATCTGCGTTAGTAAAGATCTGATCGGATGGAAAATGAAAAACAGAGGGTGAGAAAAAGGATTCAGAGTAAAAAAAAAGCTTGAAGACTGAAGAAACTTACGATTTTACGGTGAGGCATAGAGACAAGAAGGTTACGGAGAATTGGATCAGGTTTTAGTTTCTCGTACGGAAGTCTTCCATGGACATATTCATGGAACTCATCGTTGTCGAATTCGTAACCCATAACCTGTAAGCACGCCTCTGTTTTGGTTATTTCAGTTTCCTCGGTTAGTGATTTATAACCAAATTGCATGTTTAAGATCAAGAATTATGAAATAACTTACCTTGAGACCAGCCATGGTGGTTCCATATTCTTTGTAAAGATCTAAACATAACTTTGGAACTTCACTCTCTTCGATTCCGAGTTGGTTAAGCATGAACTCTGCAAATAACGAAAACAAACAGATGAGAAATTCAGTTATATGGCGGTTAATGATCAAGTAAGAAAATCATCTTGAAAATATTGTTAGTCTCTTTTCCTTGGATATTCTTTCGACAAGCTAAGTTGATTCCGATACTCAAAGGGTATAAAGTATCGTCCATATCTGCAACAACAACAAAAAATAACAGTTTAAATTACTTTTCAAAACAACTGCACCAGAAAAATAAGATTGAAGAAAAATTGATTTATATGTGTATTATTACCAAAGAACAAACACTCGTACTTTGCTCCAAATCCATCCATTTTACTAATCTAGCGAAGAAGAAGATGTTAACGAGAATTATAGACAGAGATTACTTAATGAAAGAAGTGTGTGAGAGAGCTTATGATCAATGTGAAGGAGTGGGCTATATTTATACACACACAAAAAAATAGTGGATTTTTGTCTTTAGGACACATAGAATATTTGGTTAATATCTTAATTAATACTGTTATGGTCTTTTCCAATTGTCATCATTTTGTTAGTTAAAGATGAAGTATTTGATAACGTTGATAGACAATAATGAAACTCGTTTCAAGTGCATATGTTTTATTAATATGAAATAATTATTTATTTTCTTGTAAATTTTCGAGAGTTCCCAATTTTTGATCCTTAAAGTTTTACTAGTTATTAATAAAATAACGTATAAAGCATAAATCAAAATTTTCCAGGTAAAATTAAACTAGTTAGGTTGAATTGTTACTCTAAAATTCACTAAACCACCATCCACTTGCTAGTACAAAATAAATTTCAGAAAACATGATTGTTGAAGATGACTTGACGATCATGATAATGATCCACCATGTTGTTTATATGCTGATACGGGCAATAAGACAAAGTGTTTAGCATATACTAGCATTTATTTTTATCTTTGTCATCTCCCACTTTCCGTGACCTGCCATTTTCATTTTCTATAAATAATGCTAAAACAAAGGGTAAAAATAAAGGTGAACTCTCAAATATTCTGAAATGTCAAGTGTAGACAGAACAAAGAAAAAAGGTGAAGTATCATGCAGCAAAAAAAAACATAAATTTTAATTTTTATCACTTGAAAATTTGTCTTAAACTATTTTGATTATAAATAACAAACAAGTTGTATGTTTACCAAATTAAATATTAAGTATTATTTTTGTCCACCATCAAAACACGGATGAAAATGAATCAAATCTGCATATAATACAAACGAATGAATGGTTAGCTGATTCAGAGAGCACTCTTTATTATAATAGCAAAAAGGTTTAAAGCCTAAACCTAGAAGTTAGGTTAATGACATAGATTATGTGTTCATTTTCTTTTGTTGTATAGGCATTTACAATTTAACCGATGGGATGTTTGTTTCGGATTTTGGTTTGGAATCAAGAAAAAATTACTTGATTCACAGAGTACAACCTTGAATTCGGTATATTCAAATGGACTAGCATAGCTTAGTTAGTAGTCACTACTCACTAGGACATTACCACTGGTTGGAGTCAACTAATTAATGTATAACTCTAGTGTTTAGATCACTTTTCAGAAATTGCATGCGAGAAATAAGGTTGAAGATGATGGGTTTACATGTGTAATACCAAATAACCAACACTCGTACTTAGCTCTAAATCCACCCATTTTACTAATCTAGCGGAGAAGAAGATGTTAATGAGAATTACAGACAGAGATTACTTAATGAAAGAGAGCTTATCAGTTATCATCATGTGATTAAGGCTTTGGCTATATATACACAATTCAAATAAAAAAAAAAAAACGGAGAATTTGGTTATTATATAGATTTTACTGTTTTTTTGCCAATTATCATAATTTTTGTTTGCTCAATTAAAGTTGCATATACAATATGAAGATAAAGAGAATTCATAAACAAGTTCTCACATTTCATTTGTTTTGCTAACTTGATTTTCAGACATAAAGATAAATGAATGAAAATAATAACCTAACAATAGGAATTGCTTTTTGAATTTGGTAATTTCAAAATTTTCAAAAAATTAAAAACGAACTAAAAGAAAAAATATTTAATAGTCCCGAAGAGGGGGACCACTGTAAAAGAGTCTTCCACGTCATATGGACAGATGGGCACGAATAAAATCTAGCAAACGTAATTATTTATTTTTTAGTTATTCTTTGAGAATGATAGAAATCTCTGCTAATTGAGGACATTCAATCCATAAACACTGCACTTGCCATTATGTCAAAAGAGAAATAAGGATTATATTATATCTTCTAATAAATGCAAATGAAATAAAAGCTCAAACATATGCCAAATCAGTAAATAAATTTGATAAGGATTGTATTTTTCTAGATAATTTCAAATCAAATGTGGGAAAAATATTTCAGGCTATTACACATTAGCAAACAACAGACAACAGTATCATGTCTTTCCATATAATAACCAAAATGTATATGATTTGGTTTAAGCATTTAAGGGATTAGAAATTTTAATCTCCATCAATAAATCTAAAAATATTAAATGCAAAATCTGTTAGCAAATTTTCAAAAAATTGGTACATGAATGTGTTTCCCAAATGAATGAATCTAGTCGAATTAATATAGGACAAAATACAGAATTTTATGAATTTAGGATTTTCAGGATATTTATTTCGTGACGAAATTATTTTACAAATCATCGCTTCGTTTGCTTTACTCTTTTCTTTTTCAAATTCATTTTTTTTGGTCTTCATGCAAGTGCTAAAGACTAAAGAGTAAGACTTTTACTAAGACTATCGTAATCGATCCTTAATCCAAATTTTCGCGCTCGATTCGTCTTCTCTGTATCTCCCGGAGCTCCGGGACTTTTGGCGGAGGAGATGAGGAGCTTGTTGTTGTGGGTTGCGGTGGTCGTGTGCTTGCTATGTTCAGTCGCGGCGGTGGTTCAAAGCGGATCTAGCGATGGATTTGGGAAACCGAGAGATACTGATACTGCGATATCTTTTCTGGAGTATAAATTGATGGCGCCTTCGGTTCCAATGGTACCTCTCACCTTGATTCAGGGAGCTGACTCTAAAGGAGCTGGTACACTCTCTCTCTCCTTCTCCTTCGTTCTTCTTCTTTGGGATTTGAAGATATGCTTGAGAGGAGATGTTTCCACTATCACATTGACCATTGTTGTCTACTATTCAGTCTCTATTTTGGCTCTCTTAGTTGGAATTTGAAATTAATTGTGTTTGATTTTGTTCTGTTGCTCGATTTCGTAGACTTCTTTGCTGGATTAGTTTTTGAATCTTTTGATGATGATTTGTGTTTGTTCAACTCTAAATTGATGCAGTGTGCTTAGATGGGACGCTACCTGGTTATCATTTAGATCGTGGTTTTGGTTCAGGTGCTAACAGTTGGCTTATCCAGCTTGAGGTATGTGCATTTTACAGCTTATTTAGTCTTGGAATCTTGCTAGTTAAGTATCTACTGAGGACTGACTTAGAAGTTGGAAGTGAGATATCAGTTTTTAACTCAATGGGTGGTTTAGGGTGGAGGATGGTGTAACAACCATAGGAGCTGTGTTTATCGCAAAACAAGTAGGCGTGGTTCCTCTAAGTTCATGGAAAAAGCTTTGGCCTTCACTGGAATATTGAGCAATAAACCTGAAGAGAATCCTGGTTTGTCGCTATGAGTTTTGTTCAAGTGGTTATGCAGAAACTGTAGAAAATGCATGTCCTTGTATTGATTCTGTATTTGTCTTTGTGGCTCGCAGACTTCTTTAATTGGAACAGGATCAAGTTGCGCTACTGTGATGGTGCGTCTTTCTCTGGCGATAGTCAGGACGAGGTTGGTCAAGCTCTAGAGTATATTGTTCTATGAAACCTAGGATTTTAATGAATTCTTCTTATTGTACTCTGGCTATGTCTTATAATTTGTTACGATTGCTTGTATCTAGAGTTCTCAACTTTTCTATCGAGGACAACGAATCTGGCAAGTGGCTATGGAAGAATTCCTGTCTTTAGGCATGAAGCAAGCAAACCAGGTCTTTGCATTTCATTGAGTCTATCAGGTTATTGGATATTGTGCCTCATGTTCTATTTATCGTCTTATCTAATCATTTGCAAGTGAATATTCATCACAGGCTCTGCTTTCTGGATGTTCAGCTGGTGGATTAGCTTCCATCTTGCACTGTGATGAGTTCAGGGAACTATTACCTAGTTCCACGAAAGTAAAATGCTTAAGTGACGCTGGAATGTTTCTGGACGCGTAAATCTCTTGAACTTGGCTTTTCTGTTGGAAATAGTTTTTTTTCTTTAGAAAAGTATTATAACATGAAATGTTCTAATGGAAATTGCAGAGTGGATGTCTCTGGTGGCCACTCGCTTAGGAATATGTTCCAAGGTGTTGTTACAGTGCAGGTAATCTCAGATTCAAAATTTGATGAAATGGGTGTATACAGATTAACTTTATCTTAAGCTTACCGTAGCTCTGAAACACATTTTCCCTGTTTATTTATAGAACCTTCAAAAGGACTTGTCCAGTACTTGTACAAACCATTTAGATCCGACTTCGGTATATCTCTTTCACTTTACTAGTATCATTGTTTCATTAGCAAAGTTTCTAGTAGACAAGGCTTGAGAGCATCTTTTGACATTATCCTTTGTGCCCTTTCTCTTTTCCTCAGTGCTTCTTTCCACAGAACTTGGTTTCAGACATCAAAACCCCAATGTTTCTTCTCAACACAGCATATGACTCTTGGCAGGTAATAATCATGTCTTTCATATAGCTCATTGCTTCATCCTTCCACAGTGTTGATTCTTGAGAAACATATGTATGAACTTTTTCTGTCAGATCCAAGAGAGCTTAGCTCCTCCAACTGCTGATCCAGGTGGCATCTGGAAGGCATGCAAATCAGATCACTCGCGATGTAATTCATCGCAGATCCAATTTTTCCAAGGTGAACTTTAAATTCTCGCATGTTAGCTATCTTCACTCTCTCTACTTTAAGTTGAGTCTGCACAATGTTGATGATTTCCATGTCATTTTTCTTTGCTTACACCAAATAGAATTCAGGACCCAAATGGTGCTTGCTGTAAACTCATTCTCAAACTCTGACCAGAACGGTCTTTATATAAACTCTTGCTTCGCGCATTGTCAGACTGAAAGACAGGACACTTGGTTTGCTCAAGATTCTCCTCAACTAAACGGAAAGGTAACATTACTCTTCCAAAACTGTTCATGCGGTTTCTATCTCATTAATGTAGCAATCACAAGTTTCTTAAACTCTGTCCATGATTGTCTATTATCAGAGAGTAGCAGAGTCTGTAGGTGACTGGTACTTCGACCGGGCAAAAAATGTCAAAGCCATCGACTGTCCTTACCCGTGCGACACAACATGTCACAATCTGATTTTCGAGTGAGTAAATCGTTCAAACCCATTTCTCTGATTCTTTCAAACGTATACCATTATTGCTTGAAAATCCTTCCATATTTATCCTAACTTCCAAATCTGTAATATTGGTGTATCTCAAATGAGAATCATTTTGTTTGTCGATTCAGATCATAATTTATATTTGTATGACTTCATTTTTCGATTGAAATAAGCTTTCTTTCGATGTTTATTTTTATCGATTTTTTTCATATATATTCTTTGTGCAGTTTTGATCAGTCAGCTCTAAAGATCTCAGCTTCTTCAAGGTTTTGTTTTCCTCTCTTTAGAGCGTCTCTGGTCCCTCTAGTGTTGACAAAACTCATCCTCCGATTCTTAGTTTAGTAGGTATAGTGAAAAAGCCTTAATTCTTTCATACCTCATTTTTTATAACCATTTGATTCAAATGTCGAATCTAGTTAGTGACAAAATCCATGTCATTACATAGAATAGAATATCAAAAAGAGAACAAAAGAAAAAGAACATATTCCTTTATTCATTGGACTCAAACACAAAACGTCCGAATCTCAAAAATCGATCATGAGCTCTTCTTTTGAGATTATCCCTTTTTGTGTTTTGAAATTCCAATTGTTAATCGCTTTATTTTTCACCTTTTTGTACCAAATTGAAGCGCACGCGTGGTATCATAGTGCAGGTTCTATTTTGTGCATAAAGTGTTAGCTATAAGAAATAATTGTACTTCAGTTAACAGCTTCGATAGAATTCCGCACAATTACTAATCCACGCTCTCACTAATGACTGAAAACAATTCCATCATCCATGAAAATAACTATTGTTATTGTATATACAAACACATAAAAAGGAACTAAATCAAATCTAAACGCGTAATATCTCTCAAAACCCATAGAGCAAAACTAAAAAAAAACATCAAAAACGCTAAATCTATAACTTAAAAAAAAAGAAGGAAAAACATAAAACAAAGAAGAAGATAAATAATTAAGAAGCTTGACGTGTCGCAGAAGCTAAAGCTACCGCTTGTGCCCACACCTTGAGTCTCGCCTTAACCTCCTTTGGATCATCACCTAATTCAGTAATAAACACATAAATTATTTCTATATTCAAAAAATAAATTACAAAAACAAATAAATATAACTGTATATTTGACTATTATTTATTTACCGGGACTGGAGATGCGCCAAGTGGCGATGGGTGAGTTGCCGCCACTACTAGTCTGAGTATCGAAATTCGACCCGGTTGTTGACACAGAGATCCGACCCGGAACCGGAACCTCTAATTCGAACCCGAGATCTCTACAAGCTTTCACTTCTTCTAACCCCATCCTCAATGACTTCTCTCCACCTTTCGCTCTCGTTAACACCGTTAATCCTTCTCTTCCACCGCCGTCACTTTCTCCGTTACCTCTGTTTTTCTTCTTTTCCCTTATTACCTTTTTTTGCCTCCGTAAACTACACTTACCGCCGTCTCTGTTACTCTCATTCGCATCTAACTCGCCGGAAACTGTAAGTTTTCTTCTCCGACGAGATGGAGTCACCGGAAGAGAGTAAAACCCACGTGTCTCTTTGTCGGAATCAGACTCTCGAACGTTCTCTTTTCCTTCTCCATCATCGGAAACTTCTCCATCCGCCTCTGCTCCGTCGAAATTCTCCAGAGACGTGAAAACACACGAATCTGGATGATTCTTCGTGGCTGATTCGTCTTCGTTGACGTAAGCAGAGCTCGTACATATAGACAATCTCGACAAAGAAGAAACCATTACTAAGCTCTCGTCCATCTCCATGAAAGAGAAGATTAAGTAGGAAAGTGAAGAGACTGACGTTTAGAGTGTCCACTATATCGTTATAATGGTGAAGCTGAGTCAACTCGTGCTTTAACTCCGTATGATCACTTTCATTTATACCCGAGTCTCGGGTTTTGTGCTATTTACGATTTTACCCCTCATTTTGTTTGAAAATTGCAATTATTTATTTATACTTTAATCCTTTTTTGGGGTGTAAATATCTTAACTCACTTTGTTTGATTCTTCTTACGAAACTAGTCCACAAATACAACAAATTAATTTATTTGAAAAACGTTGGTCGAATTTTACTATTTTTAATAGAAACGTTACTTTTTTTTTTCCCTGGGTCCTACTTTAACGCGGAAATTGAACGACTCTGGTTTTTTTAATTACAGAAAAAAAATCCACCGGAAAGTAGATGTTATTCTATTGAATGAAATGTTAAAACAAGGTAATCACGTAGTTAGTGACCTTTTTTTCGCTCGTCTTAATACGAGATTGATTATTCCTACAATTTCCAAGTTTGTTGTCGCTCTCAAGCACTAAATAGTGACACATGTACGCCCTTATAAACTTGTAAATGCATAAATGTCGTAATCCAATATCAAGCTTTAACTAATCGACCGTTAATATATTACATCACTAATCAACCATATTTTATCCGTTAACGCGGGATCGGCTTAAGATTAACAAAAAAATCACGAAATTATCCTTCTAATTACAGGAGCGTAGTTTAGGTACTTCAAAATTATTAGCCCACTAAATAGTGACACCTATAACAAGCAAAATTGGAGCTGATTTGCTAAATAATTTAAAGTTTAGCATTGACTCAGGATATACTAAACCATGTTCATCGCAATTAAATCGAATCCATGAAATCAAGAGTTGTTACTAATTTATCTAGCGGCTAAAACGCATACGTTAACCTATATAGACCATAAAGCTGGACTGAAAACGGATATGGATATCAACATCAAAATCAATTTCTAACATGCAAAATCACGTGCATGCTATAACTGTCCCAGACCAGGATCAGTTAAGGCTTTAAGCCATAAGACCACCATTATCGGTGGTGTCTTATAGTGTTCTTAAAAAAATCTTAGCTCAAAATTTAATGAAAAACCATGCTTAATGTTAAGAAACGTGGCTTAGTTAAGACTCAAAAATAAACCTAAGAACCGTCCACGTGTCAAGTTTTGTATGAGTAGTCTGTATTGAAGAAGGAAAAATAAAACGATCCCGTGTTTTTGTTTTCCCCTTCTCTCTCTCTCTCTCTTTCTCTCAAACGCGAAACAGAGAGAAACCGGAGGCGCCTCAAATCGGAGGATAAACAGAATCAAAGGTATGTCCGTTGAGTTGCCGCAGAAACCGCCGCCACCGCCGTCGATACTAGACCGGTTCAAAGCTTTGCTTAAAATCAGCGTGAAAATGAGTTCGGTGGTGGTGAAGTGGTTTTGCCTCCGAGTATGGATGAGATTGTTCAGCTTTATGAGGTTGTTTTCGGTGAGCTTACTTTCAATTCCAAACCTATTATTACTGATCTCACTATTATCGCTGGTGAACAACGGGAACATGGTGAAGGAATTGCTAATGCTATTTGCACTCGAATTCTTGAGGTTTGTTTCTGCCATTGAAGCTTTATTGTATACTTTATTAGTGTGAAAGTGGAAAAATTTAGGTTTTTGATTGTCAGAGTTATGCAATTAGAGATGAGTGTTTGGTTTGTGGTTTAGTGAGCTGGGGCTGCTTATGAGTTACTTATTGGTGTGAATTAAGAATTTTTATGATACAGTTTCATGTATATATGCAGGCTCCAAGGAGATGTTTGCTTTATTGATTTCTATAGGTCTGATTGCTCATAAGATGTTTTGATTCACGCCTCTTCTTTTTTTTTTCCAATTTAGCTTGATTTTCAAAATACTCTAACTAGACTTGTTTAATCCCAAAACACTTGCAAAAACAGAATCAAAACTTGCTATTGTTGTTGCAGGCAAGGCCTTTGTGTTTGAAAGCAGCTCAAGATGGAGATTACAACCAATTGGCAGATCCGCGACTAGAGCTAAACTACAATCATCAAGAGATGGTTCAAATGGCTTCTTGTGCAGCTGCAGCAATAAGACACTCAGCAAGAAGACGGCCTAAGATGAGCCAGGTTCAAAAACTCTTGGTTCTAAAAACTTCGTGCAAGCTCGTACAGTGCAGACATGAAAAAATTCAAGGGCGTTAGAGAATAAAGAATATCAAAGCAGTGAATATGGTGGAACAAGTGAGTATGGCTTAAATCCTTCTGCTTCAAGTAGTGAAGAAATGAACAAAGGCTCAATGAAACGCAATCCTCAGCTTTGAAAGAGCACACGACCACTACTCATAATATTTTCACTTTTCTTCTTTGATTTTTTTTCATTGTTTGTTCATTCTGCGTCAAAGACCTGCAGTTTAGTGTTTGACGATAATTATCTTTAAGATACCACACATTCTTTTTCACTGCGATTCATTTGCTATATATAAACAACATGTATTGCTTATTGTTCTCACCATCTCACAATCTCATTCTCTCTTGTAACACAATTTCTACCAATACCACAAATTCATTATTGCTTATTGTTCTCACATCTCAAACCAATACCAACAACTCATTATTGCTTATTGTTCTCACCATCTCAAACCAATACCAACATCTCAATATCTCTTGTCACACCATTTCTACCATGTATGTTTTAATTTTTTAAACTTACAACAATTGTTAAATTTTCTATAATTATAAATTTTATTTTTATATTAATATTTTTTTTTCTAAGAACCACATGTTAAGAGCCTACCATTATACACACAAAAAATCTTAAACCAAAAATACAAACTCTTAACTATAACTTTTACAAATTTATTACTTAAATATTCCTAAGAGCCATTGTTAAGAGCCCATTGATAATCATGCTCTAACAACGTAACGTCTATATATATATATATATATATATATATATATATATATATATATATATATATATATATGTTGTGTAGATAAACATGTATATGTGTATGGAATTGGATTGCCTCAGCCCTCAGGTGTATTGTGTGGTGTGCATATAGATAAAACAACATATCATTATCGTAATTAATTTTACACATTTACTATAGCCTATAGGCAATTAGGCATGGACCGTCCTTCTTGTCCCGTTTGTGTCTTTTACACACTTCTTTTTTAGTTTCTCACTTCTTTTGCGTGGATCCGTTCTCACTTTCATAATCAACTAATATTTTACTACTTGACTTTCCCATTTTCAATAGTTTTTTAAAAAGTCATGAAAAGATAGCATTGTCTGTCAAGTGTGTAATTTGTATTGGGTCATCTTGTGGCCGGCCCATAAGACTTTTACTTATATCCTTTAAGTATTATTATTATTTTTAATATATTTTTATAAATTTGGTCGCTTTCTAATTTTTTATAAGATCATATTATACTGATTTAAGAACAAGCTTAGATACTTAATTATTTGATGGTGGATTTGTTGTTAAAACAGCCGGAGCGATGCTGGCCGTTGGATCTTTTGACCAGTCTCGTCCTGAAAGTCAAAGCTTAGTCTCTCACTTATGGGCCGGGCCTAATTCTTAAAGCGTATTTGTCGAGTTAATATTACACTGTGTAAAAAACGTCACACAGTGCTAAAGCGCATAATTAAAACGGCAGAGCATGTCGATTGGAGAACATCTTTGGGACTTGGCTTTCTTCTCGACGATCTCCGTATAAAACTTAGTGCGGCGGGAAATCGACTTTCAAATTCGCAGGATTCTGTCGAAATTCTTGTATAGTTGCGAGTCTACAAGTTTCTTCTTCCTCATCGCTGTTGATTTTGCCCTAATTTCTTCATCTGAGCGAAGGAAATGGATTCGGAAGCTGTGAAGGAGTTTATACGAAGGGAAGTTCCGGATTGGGACGATGAGGTGGTGGCGACGGCTAGATTCAAGGCGTTTAGTGGGCAGAGATCCGATTGGGAACTTAAATTTCAGTTTTGGCGTGATTTGATCCTCAAGGTTTCGCGTCAGTTTGGGTTGTTCATCATTGATCCTGTTCAGGTCTGATCAATTGCTTTTGATTCTAGATGAAACTAGTACAAAGAAGTGATTAGATGTATTGCTGTGTTGGTCTTCGTGTTTCTAAAGGTGAAGAAGGCGTGGTTTAATCGAGGAGGAATAACGCCTTTATGCATTGATCATGTTCTGGTGAGTTTCTCTGCATTTAGTGGCCAAAGAGGATTTATCTTATTTAAGATTGTTTTCTACCTTTTGTTGTCAGTTATTGATGCATAGTGAAGGTGATGTTGTGCGGATTAGCGATCTTGATGATCCGGGTAATGGCCGTATTTCTCGTTTATTGAGGACAGTGAGGAACTTGATGGTTCAACAGTCAGTGAAGCAGGAAGAGATTCTGGAAACTAAACTTGTTATTGTACCACTCTTGAAGGTGCTTCTGTTTGTTCTCACTTTTAACCATCTATTTCTTGTTTTGAAGTTTAAAAGTTTGGTCTGGAATAACGATATGTAGGTTTGGTAAGGGTCTAGGGTTTTGATTAGATTACATGGATTATAATGTGTGAATTTGTCTTGTAATATTGAAAAAAACTGGGTATCTTGAGCTAACTATATTAGTCTTCAAGCTATCTTTTATTATTGGTTAGTTTCCTTTGTGTAGCTCTTTTGCTAATAGGTGAAGAATTCTCAGTTTATTGTATAAGTATGTGGCTGAATGCTGATAGAAATAAGTCTATGTGATTTCTAGGAGAAGGCGGGTGATGTGGTTAATATTTTATCTGAGGGACACTGGACTTCTACTTGTGTTGTCACGCTGAAGAAGTTTCGGAATTTGTGCAACGGCTCGAATGAGGCATCTGCTGTTTTGAGTCACTTGTCAGGGTGTGGAAAAGCGCATAAAATCTCTATCTATCAGGGAGAACTGATCGAGGTTGGTTATTTATTCATATTTTTTTGTCTTATACAGCTGTCTAATGGAGAAATTTGTTAGTCTGTTAGTATATCTGGTCAACAAAAGCACTCAAAATTGCAGTGAAAATAAACGAAAGAGGCCAATTTGACAAATTTAGAAAGTTAGACTCGTTCAGGCTAAGACTTATGCATAGTGTCCAAATAAAACATACTTGTGGTTTGCAGGGCGTTAAAGTATCCTTTTCACAAGCAGCACTTCCTAGCATCTCAACTTTAGATTGTGATATTCTGCACTTGCTAAGGACTACAGAAAAGCTCCACGATCAACTTGAAGTGATGGACCAACGTTGTGAAAAGTAACACCTTCTGATTCTTGATCTGTATCGAAATGATTTAATTTTCTCATACATTGATCATAGCCTTGGGAAACATAATTTGGCTTTACTTTTTCGTAATTGGTTAAATAGATTGACTTCAAGTGTTTTTAACTTTTCTTTTCCCTTTTGCAGGTCAAAGAAATCAGCGCTGGCATCTCTAAAGTCTGGACACAGGAAAGTTGCTCTAAGGCATGCAAGGGAATTGAAGTTGGCGACTGAGAGCAGAGAAAAATGCACGTCACTTCTGAACAGAGTAGAAGAAGTGTTGAACACTATAGCGGATTCTGAATCTACGAAAATGGTACTGCAAACACTGAGAAACCCCATAGGTCGAACGTATCATGTTTGGGTCTATGTAATAGTATCAATTATGGATTTTATAAATATCTATGTGTTGTTGGCAGGTCTCAGAAGCAATCAAAACTGGAGCTAGGGTCATGAAGGACATCAAGATCAGTGCAGATGATGTTCATGACTATTTAGAAGAACTTGAGGAAACTATTGAATCACAGAAGCAAGTCGAAAAAGCTCTCGGTGAGTGGTGTTTTGTCGTTTAAACATACATACACGATTACTTCATCAAATTTTATGTTTACCTAGATTTTTTCTGTTAATGCGGCAGAATCAGCTCCATATCCAGATACTGATGATGAAAATTTCGAAGAAGAATTACTGGAATTAGAGATGGACCTTGAAAGTGAAAGTTCTCAGGTCCTACCAGCGACTTTAGATACTGCAGATTCACTGACTGAGATGTTCTCAGAGCTTAAACTTGGCAAGACGAAACAAACATTGGAAGAGCAAGCTACTGAGCCAGCTCGGATGAAAGATAGCGGAAAAAAGATTCTTGAAGCAGCATAGCTGAACAATGCATCTTCATTGTGGTGCGATCTCTTCTCTTCTTGTTGTACTTAAGAGAAGAAATACACTCGGTATCATATAGATAGAATAGAACCGGGTAAAGTGAGTTGAGTATTTGTATGCTATGCCTCTTGTTCGGATTCTAGAAACAATAGCTTCACTCCATTGTATAAAGTCGAATGATGATTTTGATCACTCCGATAGTGGTTGATAATTTATTAATGTTTCTAACATGAAGTCTTTGTCATCCGAAGGAAATTAGTACTCTCGATTATTATTGTTATTATTATAGCTCCTTTCCTATATCTATATGTTACATGAACTAGAAAAGCCGGTACTAATAAAGAGAACCTTGAGGAGATACTTCCATCGTAGTTGTTCTGTTGTTGTAGTGCTTTTGTGGATCTGTATGGTCCACCTTGAGATGGCTCTAGCCTCTAGTGTTCTCTACTTACTTGAGAAGAAAAAGACCGTGAATCAGCAGGTAACAATCATCACTGTTTATTTCATCTGCTCACGGGTTTCCAGATTTTTACCAGGGAGAATTCCTTCATCTGTTAATGTTCCTTGATTTCTTGTGTAAGGTGATGCACCATCTAAATTTGACAAAGAGGTGGGGTTTGGTATTTGGTTAGGGAAAGCAGCGCACGATGGAGGGACAGATTGTGGGGAACAATCTTCCGTTGGAGTGAAAGGTGCAGAGTTTTGCATTTGCATTAGTCCAGGATGGTTAAGAAACCTTAGCATATCTGCTGAATCATTAATCCCAGGCAAGCCAGCTCCTAGGACATGTGCAGGCAGAAACTGTTGTGCGCCCATTTGCATTCCCATACCCATTGCTAGATCCATCTGAGAGTAATGCAGCCCCAAAGGCAACATCATTGATGGTGTAACAAATCTGTTACCCATCGTCATCATCTACCATCCAAAATTTTGTACAGGTTAGACCAAAGGAACTTTAGATTGAATCTGTTTTTGATACGAAGAAGTGTTGGAAGTATTTGTTTATTATACCTGAACTTGAAGTTGAAGGTTTTTCATATAATTGATTGCTTCATCCAACACTGATTCGTTGTCATCCTATGAACAATTGAGTATTTAGGGTAATGTAAGTAATGGTAGTATCTCCAGGAAGCTTATGATCTCATGTGAAATAAATTAAAAAGTTGGTTCTTTTAGCAAACCTTGTGAGAATTAGGTAGTAGATCCTGCAAAGTACGCATTTTCTTGTTGATGTCTCTTCTTTGCTTCTGTTTGGCAATATATTACCATATACCGATATATTAGATTCAGTTTCTACTCCTTTACTTTGTAGCTTAATGAGATTACTTACTCTTTCAGGTGAATTATAAGCTTCTGCATTTCGTTTTCTTTTGACCAAAGCTTTTCTTGTTCTTGCAGGAACTTGTGGCCTCGCATCATCTGACTCGTCATCTAGACTCTGCGTTGAGACAAAAACTGTCTTCAGACCAAAGAACCTCATAGATAAACCAAACTAATAAAATCTGTGAATCAATCCTCTTACGCTGCTTAGATACATCGATCCTTCACTGTCTTCAGTGAAACCTGCGGAGGAAGTGTTAAATCCCGATTCAACCATCCTTTTAGCAACCACAGATTGCTCATCAGGAGGTATAAACTTGATCTTCTTTCGGTTATCATAATCAACCATCATCCTCTTTGATGAAGAAGCTTTCAAAGTCTCAATCAAAGTGGAATCGTCAACATGTTTATTGCTTTCCAACATGTTTGTTTCATGAGCAGGAACAACCTGCGTGTCTCCGAGATTCTTGTTGGCACCACCACCACCATGGATGATACTCTTCATGAAGTCCTCGTTATACTCGGCCTCATACAAATCCATGATCGATTTGGTACGTTGATTCTGCAGAGGAACGTTGGATCTTTGGCCCTTTGCAAGAATCTGGCCATTCTCAAACACAAGCTCCATATACTCTTGATCGTTTAACCTGCAACAATAATCGGTTGGTAAGAAGTAAGAACATCATCATCTCTATAGATACATATGTATATGTGTGTGTGAATCAAGAATCAAGAACTTAATTTGGTCTGAAGGTGGATGATGGGGAAGTCATATTTTGTTGTCTTATTGAATGATCCAAAAGGCTTTTCTTTCTTCAATGAAAGTAAGTGAAAGCTGATATTTCTTTTGTTGATCAACTTCAGACTCTTATATTTCGCTTTTGTTTATTTTTCCCTTTTTTTTTAGTATTATCACTTTTTCAACTCTTTCTCAGGTGCAATGAATTTCTGAGTACAGTACCACTATTCATACTTCTGTTTCGAACTAAGTCGAATCTTAGCATCTTTGGTTTTTTTTTTTCTTTGATACTACTTTTTATTTATAAATTATAAAAGATTTATTTCAATGCAATGGATGTCGGTTCCAAAAACGAGATTACATAATAAAATACAAATAGAAAGGAGTTAAAAAAAAAAAAAAATTATACAGATATCAGTCAGAATATCAGATTGCCACAACATAGACAAATATCTCTTGTAAACATCAAAACAACAAATCTCTGTTTCACAAACCGATAAAACATATATAATTTCAACACAAATAATATAGGACGACAAAAAAAAAAAAGGGTTGAGGAGGAGACAGAGAGGAGAACGGGCCAAAAAGCCCACGTGGTTGTGGGAAGAACATTCACAGTACAAGGACAATGAGAAATGGGCCGGGTCCACCAAAAAATATTGATAGGACCCACAAGGTGTTTTGGCAGCATTCTCTTCAAAGGAAAAAGTAGAACAAGTAATAAAAGAGGTAAATAAAAGAGAGCGTGAAGTTCACGTGAAAGCCACGTGATTCTTTGTACCTTTGTGTGTTCTTTTTTATTGTCCCCTTTTGCATTGTATTTTTAGACACTTGTCCTCACTACTCTTCCATAACAAATGACTCACTAGCTCATGCCTCATGCATCCTTTTTTTTTATTTTTTTATTTACTAGTATGATCTTTGGTGATCTGATCACAGATTCCGACCAATATAACTTAGCCGGGTAACACAAAATGATTCTGACTAATTCCAGAGGTAAACTAGTTCGACCGTGAATATCAGTCTCGAGGTAAAAGTTGGAGGTCAAATTCAGAGAAAAGGTTTTCGATGTTTTGATATTACCAGCATGCAGGGATATATCAAATGTTTCAATACTAAGACTGTAACATTGTCGTTTGATATATTAAACCAAGTAAAATAACATTGTAAAACATTTTGATCTGGGCCTAGATGTTATAAGGCTTTAACCTTGTCAATATGAAAAAAGAAAAGAATAAAAAGAAGAGAGAGCCTAAAACTATGTAATATGCATCGATACAAGGGTAATTCAAGTATGTCATTTGGAAGGGAAATGACGTCATATAGAATCTTAATTAAAGGGAAACATAATTGTCACTCACCCACACGTATCATTATCATGTTTTAAGATTCGGTAATCATTATTATTAAAGAGAAATTAAAACCAAATCAACCACGGGTTAGCGCGTAATCTTAAACCCAAATAATAATTTAAATAAAATATAGTATCAATAGTTCTATTAAAAGGCACGAACGTAAAGCCTCAATAGTAACACGCACGTATCTTGCTTTATCGTATCGAGTTTTTTTTTGATAACCCAGTGTCCAGACCACACTGTGATCCGACTAGGCCACTGGGCCTAAGCCCGCGTTCCTTGGATTTTTAAGCCTCCACTTAAGGGCCCCTCGGATCTGGTGGTCTGGGACGCTGCGCCCCGTAGGTAAATCGTATCGAGTTTCATGCATTCATATTCATTAATGTATTAAGCTTCAACAAACTTACTTATATTAAATACATGAAAAGAACATCACTAATACCTCCACACTAGATTGTCCTCCTAGACTACTTTAGACTTTAGAGACCATATCTAAATCTTCCTCTATTTTGTAAACTTTGGATTTGATTCAAGAAAACATGTTTTCACACCGTTTTAAGTGGATATCAATACTAAACCCTTTCTTTTAATTTGCAGCGAGTCATTGTAAACACTTTTCATCGAAATTTAATCCAATAAGAGTATTGTTAAAAATTTAATTACACATTATTCTGGACCTTCAAAGTTTATGGACGACCTCAGCATTATATTTTTTTGCATAATTGACTTAAATCAAAGTACATAAAACTAACAAATACCAACTATATATCGAAATTAGTGATACTTTATTTTCCCCATAATATTTACACATTATCGTAAAAACATGTGATATATATTCAATCATTTATTTATTATAATAACATCAGAAATCTTCTTTATTGAAAAGTAAAAATGGGAGAAATATTTTTTTAAGAACAAGAGCAAACATATTTCTTTAGGATAAAATGAAATCAATAGTATAAAAAAACGGGAGTAGCTTTGAAGTCATTCATCACATCACTCGTCAAACGGAAGATTAGAAGGTGGATCAATGCATTTATAATTTATGGTTTGTATATATATGGGTTTATGATAAAGACGGTTTTCTTATTGTTAAACCGCTATATTTTTTTTGGTAAATGGTTTCGAACCCAAAAATATATACATATAGTGGTGGTCAGAAACCTCAATCTAATAGTATATTTATTTATTGAGATATAATAATTGGTCTTGCATGTTGGTATGGTCAACTTTGTGACTCGAAAAAAAAAGCCTAAAACGAGAAAATGGAATGAGTTGGCCAACAAGAGAGGCTACAAAAGAGTCAAGAGACATGCAATCATCCTGATTTGAAGCCAGCCCATGTTTTTACTGACAAGCAACACACATTGCAGTAAAGTCGAGTTATCATAATTTATGATAAACATAAAGTAAATTATGAGTGTATATTTTCAAAAAGAGGCAAAACTCTCTTAACTTAATGATTTGTAAAAGGACGAGACAGTATCATTAAATCTTGAAACTAAAAAACTATGAGTGCCTTGAAATTCTGATGATAGTCACTGTTTTCTTTTGAAATTCATTTCTATATATGTACATTTGTTTATTTCTCTGAAATCTCAATTCTCCATTTTCTTATATTATTTTTATACTTTCTAGTTTGTTTAGAATTGACTCTTTTTTTCTACGGCAATCCATCTTGTTTTTTTTTTTTTCCCGCTTTCAAAACATTTATACGTTGTATCGGATTCAAAGAAGATACTTGACCAAATACATGCAACATATTGGTTATCTAGAAACGAAAGAAGAGTAGATATAAAAAAACAAAGGGGACAAAGAATGGTGTGGGGAAAAAAGTTTGAAGAAGAAAGAAAAAAAAGTGAGGAAATTGTGATGATAATGGTAGGGGTGGTGGGGAACATATCTCTTCTTTACCAGTTTCCTTTTTTTTTTTTCTCTCTCTCAAAAATCATGTTTAGAGTTTCTTTTGGTTCAAGCTAAATCTTTTTTTTTTTTCCTTCTTTCTAAAATCTAAAATCTATTTGCTTCTTCAAACCAAACGGTATCTACGCAATAAATGTCGGTTATTCTGATAACGACAATGTTTGAATGTTTCGGGTTCAAAGATTTGTATTAACTACATGTGTATATGTTTAATTTTGGCTCATTGATAACGACACTTGATAAAAGAGTCAGGATCGTTTCAAGTTATTTATATTAAAACACTTTTAAGTAGTATTTCTGTAATCCGTTTAATTTAAATTCTAAAACCCCTTAATTAAAATAAGAAACAAGTTATAAACTAAAAGACTTATCGGAATATGGTTTAATTGTAAAAATAATTGGAAAAATTCTTCAAATAATAAAAGAGAAAACAAGAAGTTATAATCTTATTGATTGGTAGGTCAGGAAGAAGCTTGAGGAGTGATTGTAGAAGAGTAGAAGTGGAGGCGACAAAGTGAGGAGACACGTGGAAAAAGGCACGTGACGTGGGGAATGTGAAATGTTGTCGATAGTGTTTACTGTCTCGTGCTTGCAAAACTATGTTTTGGTTTTGGAGTGTGAGAATTGTGACGTTTCTTCAGTCCTTAGTCCATAGGCGAAGCATCTCTCATTAGCTCCTCTCTTTAAGGTTACGCATTCATTACTCATGCCTCCCTTCTCTCATATTCTTTCTTTTTCTATATTCCCCTCTATTTGTTTCTTTGCTTCTAATTTATTACATGTAACGTACAAAACCAAGAAACATGCACTTTTTCTGGTGACCGAAGTTTAATATATATATCAACCGAATTGACTATACCATATACATGTTTATATCTAAATCCAATGAATATACACAAACAGAATCTTGGTGCCAACCAAAGAGAAGCATTTATTAAAGTCACTATTTGAATACTAGAGACGGATAAGTCACCAATATGATGTGTGTTTGGTCTCTCACATGAAAAGATACACAATTTCTGATCACGATTTGTGGGAGATTAGCACCACTTAGTTCACTTTCATTGTTACACATAAAAGGTTGGTATGTTGGTTTAATATTGCAAAAATATAGTAGTGGTTGGACTTGACTATAGATGCTTATGATAAGATAAATTAAAGTAACAATCAAAGAAATTGAGGAGTGTAACTAATAGCGACGTGGATTAGAATCATGGGAAGCTCAAACTCTTGTCATGCTTGGATACGATGGAGTCCACGTAGACTATTTTTTTCTTTTTTTGTCATAATTAAAGATCATTATTAGAGAGTTAATGACGTACATGAGACGTGTTTAGCAGTTGATAATTAATTTAATAGACATTTAGACATATTTTAATGCTAAACAAAAAACAAAACATTTTCTTAAAGTGTCTCGCGGTTATAAAAAAATCCTTAATTATGGAAGTGTTGTTTGTCGAACCCACGAATGCATCAATGCGCGTCACGATAATCTCATGCATTGAACATGAATTTATTAGGACGTATAATGAAGTAAACTATGGGTTTTTAAAATTTAATTGTACTTTGTCTATATTTATTTAAGAAAATATGTTCTTATCCGGTTTAGAACTATCTTCTCTACGTTCATATAATTCCTTAAATATAAGCCTAACATTTGATTTTCTTAATTCGATATAAACGAAGCTAATTAGTCACACTATTCTTTAACAAAAATAAATAAATTAGTCACACTTTCCTAATCACAAAAATAAATAAATTAGCAAATAATTCATTTAATTAGATAACTAAAATAGGAGTACTAATTAAAATCCAACCCTAATATTGTTATAAGAAATCAAACAATCTTTTTGTTTTTGTTAAACGAAGAGTAAGTACTAGGAGTCGAGTATTTACATTGAAACAAACAAAATTAAATTAGAACACACCCAGCAAAAAAATCCGAGCACAAAGTCAAAACCAACACTTTGACCAAGTGTCTGCGTGACACGTGTATTTGTCTGCTACATGGACAACATCTTTAACAACACTGTCTCATCATTCCACCATCTGCATTTTATTTAATTAAAATATCAGAAAGACCATTTCAATATTACTTCTTCCTTTTAAGTTCTAACAACATATTATATTAAATAAAAAAAAATTCTTCCTCTATATATATACACACACGTTCAAATCATTAATCACCTGTTTTAGATAAAATCATAGAGAGAGAAATAGTAAAAAGAAAAAATGGGAAGAGGGAGAAGCTCATCGTCTTCATCGATAGAGAGCAGCTGCAAAAGCAACCCATTTGGTGTCTCTTCGAGTAATACTCGGAACCTAAGCACAGACCTAAGGCTCGGGCTCAGCTTCGGATCATCGTCCGGACAATACTACAACGGTGGAGAAAACCATGAATATGATGGAGTCGGTGCGGCAGAGGAAATGATGATCATGGAAGAAGAAGATCAAAACGAGTGTAATAGTGTCGGAAGCTTCTACGTGAAAGTGAACATGGAAGGAGTTCCTATTGGAAGAAAGATCGATCTTTTATCTCTTAATGGATATCATGATTTGATCACAACTCTTGACTACATGTTCAATGCCTCAATCCTTTGTAAGCACACTTAATTACATCTCTTTGCATGTAGACTTAATACATCTCTTTGCATGTATATAGACCAAAACCTATTATATTATTTATCGTTAAGACCAAAACTAATGGCAATTAAAAATTGTGAAAATAGGGGCTGAAGAAGAAGAGATGTGTAGTGAGAAGAGTCACGTGCTAACGTACGCAGACAAAGAAGGTGACTGGATGATGGTTGGAGATGTTCCTTGGGAGTAAGTACTTTTTAAACTTTATTTATTTATTTTAGTTTATTAAAAATCTTTAATCAATTATATTGATAAATGACATAATTATGTGGAAATCTAATTAAGGGGACTTAATTGATTATGTAGGATGTTCTTGTCTAGCGTGAGAAGACTAAAGATCTCAAGAGCTTATCACTACTGATTTTTTCAAAAAAGCAAAGGTGGAAGACTCTAGGATTGACCAATACAGTCAGTGGTGGAAAAAAAAAGTTAGTTTTGTCTGAATGTAAATCACTTGTTCGAGATTTTTATTCAAATTTTGTTTCTAGTTTAATTTATTACATTATAAGAAAATCGGTTGTAACTTGTAATGAGGCAATTTTTTTCAAAAAAAAAGTTTTAGCTAATGCAGGTCCTTTTACGTTCAATTTTTGGTTAATTAGTTATTAATATAGTTTATATTCTAATATGAATTGTTTTGGTACAATACTGAAATAGGTTTATATTTGTATTTTAATTACACATAACTTTAATTTACTCAAATTTTAAGTTTCAATTGAGTTTTCTATTTGCTTTCGTTTGAATTCAATTTTCAGAGTATCAACAAAACAAAACTAGGTTAACCAAATCAAGATATACACTTAAGAGTTTTGGTCTAGTTATGGACTTTGAGATTGAAAAATAATTGTCAAAAAATTTCAAAAGACTGTCGTCGGAGATATTACAGTTGTTCCGCTCACCAAAGCATTAAAAAGCCCATACAAGAAAATGGAAAAACAAAACGAAGGAAAAAAAAAACTCTTAAGCCACTCTGATTATTGTCCTCACTGCACACAAATTTACAAGAAAACAACAAAAAATGAAAGAAAGCATCACTTTTGAAAAACGAAACCTCTAAGAGAAAATTTGTAAGGAGAATCGAAGAGGTTTCTTCGCAATCAAGCAAACTGTTTTAACCCTTCCATGTTCAAAACTTCACAGTAACTTACCAAGAAAGTAACCATGGTGATCTACTTAAACCACTTGATATCTCCAGATTATTTTCAGATAACCCGAAACAATCAGATCGATGTTCCGGGAATATACTCTCTTTCAAAGAATCACAAGTAATTTCCGGCGAAACCCACTGTGAATAACCTCTAACATTTGAGCATTCCCATGGAGATTTCTTCGAATTCTTCTTCACTCTAAGAGTAACATTAAGGAAACATATATTCTTAAACTCATCTCCTTCTATACCTTCAAGTAGACCCGCAACACCGATTCCATCACCATTTACATTCTCAAAGGTGATTTTCTCGATAGCTGGGAGTGCTTTCGGATCAAATTTTTCATCAGGATGTTCACCGTACTTACCCGTGAATCTAATTGCTTTCTTTACATTATCGAGCTTCACATTCAAGATGTGAACGTTTCTAACATACCCGCCTCTTCCCGGAGAGGTCTTGATTCTGATTCCGGTATTCGAATTGAATAAATGTAAGTCTTTAATATATATTTCGGACACACCTCCTGACATTTCACTTCCGATTGCTATTCCTGAGCTTGAAGTAGTTTGACCTGTTAACCGATTGATCTTGATCTTGGAGCTCGGTCTTGCGTAGGATATTCCGTACTCATCCCATCCGCTTTTAATCGACACCAAATCATCCCCGGTAACTATGTAACAATCCTCTATGCAAACATTAGTTGATGAGTCTGCAAATAGAACAATTCTAATAAGGGAAATATCTGAAAATGACAATCCTCTATAGCACTTGTTTACACACTGATTTGCATCAATTCTCTTAGGGAAATTTGGTCATAGATTTGATAAGAAGTAGCCAGAAATCTCGACTCTACGAGTAAATTTTGCTAGGAAACTCACCTGGATCAACTCCATCTGTATTTGGAGATTCAAGAGGAGCCAAAATTGTGAGATTCTTTACAACAACATTTCTGTTCAGACAAAAAAAATTCATATCAGAACATTGAAGAGAAATATTTGGCGAAATCAAAATCGATTTATGATAAGTTAGATGACCTGCAATAAACAGGATGAATGTTCCAAAATGGTGAATTCAAGAATGTGAGGTTGGAGATGATCAGACCAGTAGAGTTCATGAGCTCAACAAGATGAGGTCTTGTATAGTTTAGCTCTCCATTTCTAAACCAATCCCACCATACACTTCCTTGACCATCAATTGTCCCGTTCTCGCCTAAAATTTCGGTATCATCAGACAGCATATCTAAGACTAGCATCATCGTTTCAAAACTAATCATTTCATATAAATGCTATACTAGTACCTGTTATGACTACATCTGTGAGATTCTGACCATATATAAGACTTCTGTGTCTTCTACCGGGCAATTCTCTTCCTCGTCCATATGATGGTAATGGATCAACCACGGGCCAATTCTCTGAGCTCTGAGTATTAACAAGTTGTTTAAGTGATCACAGTTCATATAGCAAAGTCAAAGTATATGCTTGTAAAGATTCAAAAAGGCAGAGACTTGCCGTTGACCCGAGAATCGTTGCACCTTTATCTAGCCATAAGGTGAGGTGACTGATAAGGTCGAAACTCCCGGTAAGCCACTGACCAGCGGGAACAAAAAGCTTGGCACCGCCTTTATCAGAGAAAGAATTGAGGTAGAACAAAGCATTCTGAAAGGCTTTAGTGTTTAGAGTAACACCATCTCCAACCGCTCCAAACTCTGTAATCGATACGCTGTGAGGCCGGTGAAGACTCGCTAAATTGGAATATTCACAATGCAGGCTTCCTCCAACACTACTACACCAAGCACCATAGAAGGCATGTACCAGGAGAACATACACGAGCTGCAAAAACCAACATTTCTCAAGTCTCAAGCTTCTATGAAACTGCGATTACACACAACAAACATTGGAGCCACATTTAAGTGAGAGCTACATTTCATCTCTGAAGCTAGGCAATGAGCAAAATCAAGAAGAAAAGTGAAATCTTAACAGTGTGAACATTTTTTGTTTCTAGAAAAATCCTCAACCTATTGTAGAACATTGTGATCCTATGATGTTCTCTCAAGTCTCAAGCATTATGGAACTCTGATAACACACATTAATTTCACTGGAAGAAGCACAGTTAGGTGAGAGCCACATTTCACCTCTATAAGCTAACAAACATCAAATCAGGAAGAAAGATGAAATCTTGAACAGTAAGAAGAGTGAATTCTAGGAAAATTATTCTCAACCGGTAACCAGATTTTCAGATCTTAAATACACCGATATGACCAGATTTGAGAGACAGAGCATTGGAAGTGACTAAGTGATATCCAAAGAAAAAGAAGAGGAAAAGACTTACAAGGAAAGATCTCTTCATATGAAAAGAAGATCTGTGATCTCCTCCAGGAAACCTAAATTAAAAATCTTGACAACAACAACAATCTGAGATATCTTTAGCTTCTTTGAGTCCTTCTCTCTCTCTCTCACAGTCAGTAAAAATCAAAACTTTGAATCAGAAAAATTCTCTCTCATGGATGGAGGGTTTGATTGTGGCAAGTTGCAAAGAGTGATTAGATGGGTCAGTGGTGAGAGGAAACTGGGGAACCCACAATGGACATAAAAATCATTGAAAGAGACCGTTTCTGCCCCCGCCAAATTTCAAGCAGTAGGTCCATCTTCTACCTTCTCCGTACCCATCATCGCCATTACCATTTTTAATATCCTCCTTCTCGTACGATAATGGCGAAACAAAGATAGAGGAAAATCTAATTTAGAGACTTTAAAGCATAATTAAAGAAGAAGAAGAACAACATTCGAATTCGATGATACCTAAGATGTCTGGAGATACCTTATTTGATGTTCTGTTACAAAGAGACAAAGAGGGTCACTGAGAGAAACCCAGAGAAAGAGAAAAAGAGAAAGAGAGAGTGAGAGAAACCAGTCTGTATTATATGAACAACACTTATGATTCAGTTTTTTTATTTTGGAAGAAATCAGTGTATTTCATGTGATCCGAACTAAAAGAATATTATTGTAAAAGGAAAAAGAGAAAATTGACCTTCAAATTCTTCTTACATCGAAGATTGATTGATTCTATTGAAGCAAAAAGGTTTTTTTTTTTTAATAGCTCTGTAATTAACTCTTTCTTTTTTTTTACACACTTACCAGTTAAACACACGAGGCGAAACGCTGTCGTTTTAATTGGAAGAAGATAACGGATCACGTGACACGTGGCGTTGGTCTCGTAAGTCGTAACTCGTAACGAAGTGAGAGTTGACTGACTCTGCTAATTATACGTTTTCATAATTTCAGTTTAGTTTAAAAAAAGAAAGTGAAAAATCGCGGTGAATAAATAAAACAACAAGTAAACTTACATACAATTAAAAGAAGGGAGACTCACAAAAATGCCCCTTTTTCAATACCCCTTTTCAAAAATGCCCCCTTTGGCTGTCCATTTTTAAAAATACCCCTTTTTATGTACAAAATGACTAAATTACCCTTCTTTTAATAAAAGATATCACAAATATATAAGGAAATATAACAAAATTAGGTCCACAAAATATAAAATATTTTTTAGCGGGAAAAGTGATCCCGCAATTTTCCCGCCAAAACACTTGTAAAAAACCTTTAAAATACCTTGTAAAATTTTCCCGTAAAAATTTTTCCCGCCAAAAATTTTTTTGCGGGAAAAGTGATTCCGCAATTTTTTTGGCGTTAAATTTTTGGCGGGAAAAATTTACAAGGTATTTTAAAAGTTTTTTACAGGGTATTTATAAGGTTTTACAATGTATTTTAAAAGGTTTTACAACGTATTTATAAGGTATTTATAAGATATTATAAGATTTTACAAACTATTTTATAAGGTTTTACAAGTTATAAGGTTTTACAAGTTTTTTATAAGGTTTTACAAGTTATAAATACCTTATAAAACCTTATAAGTACCTTGTAAAACCTTTTAAAATACATTGTAAAACCTTACAAAACACTTGTAAATACTCTGTAAAACCTTTAAAATACCTTGTAAATTTTTCCCGCCAAAAATTTTCCCGCCAAAAAAATTTCGCCAAAAAAATTGCGGAATCACTTTTCCCGCAAAAAAAAATTTTTGGCGGGAAAATTTTTTGGCGGGAAAAATTTTTACGGAAAAATTTTACAAGGTATTTTAAAGGTTTTTTACAAGTGTTTTGGCGGGAAAATTGCGGGATCACTTTTCCCGCCAAAAAATATTTTGTATTTTGTGGACCTAATTTTGTTTCAAATAAGGGTAAAATGGTCATTAAAAATTAAAAGAGGGCAAACTTAAAAATGGACTCTCAAAAGGGGCATTTTTGAAAAGGGGTATTGAAAAAGGGGCATTTTTAACAATTTCTCTTAAAAGAAAGAGGTATTTTAGTAGTATTTTACAAAGGAATTTTAAGTATATATTCTCTACTAGTGTAATGGACACCACTGGAGAGCTAGAATTGGTGAATTAAATGGATTTTATGAAATTATATTCCGAAATTAGGGAGAAGAATTAATAAGAGAGTAGAGACATAGTAATGTGACAGACTTCTTGTTGTCTATAATAAAACATACAACATCCATAATTACTATACTTAATTACCTCCTTTAATTATTCAGCAAACATACCATCATGGACCGGATTATCAGGTCAAAATACCCTATATAAACAATAATTTCAAATATACAGTATTGACTAAGATAATCAAAATTTCTGTAAAAACAGAGCTTTATGGTGAAATGCAGAGATAATAAAAGTTTATTGAATATCATCAGTATCCATCAATAGTCAATAAATCAAGTCTACGCCTCGAAACAAAACTAAACCGAAAACGAAACCAAGTCTAAACCAAAGTAAAAAAAAGAGAAACACAAGAAGAAGCAATTTTCATCAACTTAGTAACTCCTGCCCCCAATTAGTCCACTTCTTTGGAATTTTCCTTAATCTTAATGACATTTGGGAATCGGGGTTCTCTGCCGTTAAAAAATAGTAAACCAGGTCGATTTTCGGTTTACGTACATTGGTCTGAAATTTATACGGGAACGAAACCGGTTTCAAACAATATCTTCGATTTACTTCTCCCAAAAACTGTTAGTCAAGTGATGAAGGCTTATCTAATAAACCAATTTAGGAAATGAAGAAGACAACTCTTTATAATTCTTAGCGTAATCACAGTCAAAATAACTCAAATTGGTCAAAATATCAGATCAAAGCACAATGCACTTGAGAGAGTCTTTACAAGACAAAAGTAAATTTTCATGAATTGAATCAAAACATGATGAACACTTAGTAACTCCTGCCCCAATAGGTCCATTTCTTGGCAGGCTTTCCTGAAGCAAAGCAGAGAGTGCCTGCATCGAAAACAATGAAGCTTCTGTGTCAATGCATGGACTAAATTTATGAGCAAAATTTCTCAAAACAGATAATAAATTTAAAGGGTCTCTGACCTTCAGGGAGTTCTGGCTGATCAAATGGAGAACAAAGGGTTTTAGCTGCTCCAGTTTCACCTTTAGTACGTGCCTTAACATCTCTCTCCACTTCCTACAAAGAATTTAATTTTAAGGAACTTATAATTGTTATCTTCTCGCGTTTTGATTCTATAAGTTGGAATAAGTGTTTTTTTGCTGTGTAACTTACCTCTTCGTCACACCAGGGAGCTAAGATGAGTTTCTTTTCGTTAAGTGCTTTGATAAACTCATCCCAAGTCTTTACCTCTTGAACACATGCTTCCCTCTTTTGCTTCGCAACTTCATACATGTTTTGCTGGATCTTCTCAAGCAGTTCCTTAACATTTTCGACTAAGCTACCTCTTGGGATATCTTCCTTAACTCCGTTGTCACGTCTCACAGTTCTGACCTATGGGGATGCAAACCAAAGATAAATGAAATCCGTTTAGCTACACTACAAGTTACATATTCAAACCAAACATCACTGTTTTCTCAGTAAAAACCAGGCACTTCACTATTATATGTCCAAGGAATAGAGGAGATATTAAACGGACTGACCTGATCATTTTCCAGGTCTCTGGGACCAATCTCAATCCTCAATGGAACACCCTTCATTTCCCAGTCTGAATACTTCCATCCAGGAGAGTAGTTGTCCCTTAAATCTTCTTCAGCACGGATACCGGCTTCACACAAGGCAGATGCAGTAGCAGTACAAGCATCATAAATTCCTTGGGTATTAGCATCTTTGTAGGGCACGGGGATCACAACAACTTGCACAGATGCGACTTTAGGAGGGAGTACCAGGCCTTTGTCATCTCCATGAGTCATAATCATCACTCCAATCTATAAAAGGTTTGAAAATGAAAAGTTAACAGTGATAGAGATTAGAGCACATGAGAAATAATAATCTAAGTACTTCAAGTATTTACCGTCCTGGTACTGTAGGCCCAAGAATTCTGCCACACCATTGCTGTCTCTGCTTTCTCATTCTCATAGTTGATCTCAAACATCTTCGCAAAGTTTTGACCCAAACAGTGAGAGGTTGCACCTTGTACACCACGACCAGTGTTTGGAATGAAGGCCTATCAAATCAAAGTTTAAATTCACAGAGAGTTTTGACCCAAAAAAAAAAAATTCACACAGAGTAAATCCACTAGAAAAAAGATTATGTCACAGAACAGAAAGATTACATACCTCTACACTTGTAGTGTAAAGTCCCCCAGCAAACTTCTCATTTTCACTCTTCATACCTTTCACAACTGGAACTGCAAGATATTCTTCATATATGCGACGGTAAAGCTCCAAAATTTGAAGGACCTAAAAACAACGGAAGCAGTATGATGAAACGATTTCACCTAAACAATGTTGAACTGCTTACTATAACCCTTAGTTTGCAGAAAAAAAAAGGGAGAAATTGGATCACATGCAAAAGTTTTAGGTTCACCTACCTCTTCATCTGCTTCTGCTTTCGTGGCGAATGCAGTGTGACCTTCCTGCCAAAGGAACTCACGGCTCCTGCAATTAAATATGTTAGGCAGTGGGCTATGGCAAGCAAACTTCTGCGGCGAAGGTTTTACAGCAGAAACAATGAACATGATGATGACAGAAAAAGTAGAGAAGAGTATATGATAACAAAATACCGGATAAATGGGGTAGGGTTGCTGAACTCCCATCTAACAACATTGCACCACTGGTTAAGCTTCAAAGGCAAGTCACGGTGCCCCCTTATCCACTTGCTGTAGTAAGGGTACATCACAGTCTCACTGGTTGGACGAATAGCAATTGGGATTTCCAAGTCAGATTTACCTGACTTTGTAACCCAAGCAACCTAAACAAACATTCAAATCTGTTAAAAGAAGGCCTTTGTTTTGACAAACAAAATCATATAAGATTTAAGATATGCACACCTCTGGGGCGAATCCCTCAATGTGGTCCTTCTCCTTCTCTAAGACAGCAGGAGATACAAACAGAGGGAAATAGCAATTCTTGACCTTCATTTTCTTGATTTCCGCATCAAAGAAAATCTACAGAAAAATCAATGAAAACAAAATGATCAAACATTTTTATTTCACACTCTTGATTCCACTTTCAATCAATGTGATTAACTTAAAGAAACGATGACACTCACTTGCATAATCTCCCAAATGGCCATGGACCATGGCCTAAGAATATAACATCCAGAGATATCATAGTACTCAATCATATCTTGTTTACAAACCTAGAAAAACATAAGAAGAAAGCGGTGTCATATAACATGCTTGGGACAAAAAATAAGAATGCTAAAACAATCATCTTTAAACATATAAACAAACCTCAGAATACCAATCCCCGAAATTCTCATCTTTCTTAACGCTGAGTCCAAGACCCGTTTCCTTCTTGACGTCCTTCTTCTTCTGTCCACTAGAAGAAGCCTTTGCAACCTTTTCTTTCACAACCTTTTCTTTTTTAACCTTTTCTTTCTTTTCACTGGGACCAGCCATTTTCAACCTTCTTCTTCTGAATGCATTAACAAAAGTGAAATCCATTTATAATCAAAGTCATGAAAATCAAGGTTTATCACCACCAAGTTAATGGATTAGTAGAATCGTAAGCTATTTCGAGATCTGTGAATCGATTGAGTTTTCAGTCAATTTGTCAACGGAATTCGAGTTATGGTCCACTGACACACAAACGAAATCCGGCGAATACTAAAAAGCTAGGGAATCTAAGAAACACGACAATGGATTAAACTAGAGATGGCCAAGGGGAAAAATAAACGATTGTCGATTCACTAAGAATCCTAGAGAAATCACCAAAATCACAATCGATTCACTGAACAATAAGAAACGTTTGAGCTAAAGAGAAGAAGAACCTTACCAAATTCGCCGGAGAGCTGAAGACGGCGGAGCAAAAGAAGCAGCGAAGATAAGAAGAGAGAAGGAATCGAGAGGGTAAAAGAGCGTTACAAGTTGCGAACCTTTGACTCGCTTGACGAGCTTTGATACTGAACTACCTCCAATTATATACGGCCACGTTTTAGGGTTCGATCTGGTTCGTGCCTAATGCTAAGTTTACATGGGCCAAGCCCATATTTTGGTCTCTAAGTCAACGATTAATTTCAACTATTTAGTTATGGAGAAAAGATGGATTTATATTCTAATCCCATTTCGCAGTCGATCCATTTGCTACTTGAATAATGGTTAGGTCATGGAATTAAAGCTATTTTATTACTCGTGAGTAAAATCCTCACATATCATATAACTCTACCTAGTAATAACAGCCCACCGCAGTGGCCCACTAAAGCCCAAATTTGAAATAACGGTCCAAATCTTAACATTTAATAAATGATAAATTAGTATGATTAAACTCAAATCTAACAAGGGTGCAAAACTGCAAATTAGTATGATCATCACATGTCAATTAGCGTAAATTTGATTTAACGTTGTTATAAAATGAAATAATTTTTTGTTAATTCACTACAAAATTTTGAAATTTTTTTCTGAATTGTCGGGAAGCGCAAAAGTGTTACCGCACCACTAAAATCGACGATGACATACCAACAGTGAATGATTTGACCCACAAAAACCCACAGAGTCTCTCTCTCGATTTGGTATTCGAGACGAAACCCTAGCTCTGATTTTTTATTCCGATGGAGTCGGGCGAGCGGCGCAATGGCGATTCGATGAGTCACAATCACCGTGCACCGAAGAAGCCACGCCTCGCTGGGTTATTAACCGAGTCAGATATCGACTCCGAGTTCGCTCACCACCAGACCGGTGTTGCCAGAATCAACAACGGTAGCTTCGGCTGCTGTCCTGGCTCCGTTCTCGAGGCGCAGCGTGAGTGGCAGCTTCGTTATCTCCGTCAGCCTGATGACTTCTACTTCAACGGCCTCCGTCGTGGACTTCTCGCTTCTCGAACTGTGATCAGTGACCTAATCAACGCCGATGATGTTGACGAGGTCTCGCTCGTTGATAACGCAACCACTGCTGCAGCTATTGTTCTTCAGAAAGTTGGAAGGTGTTTCTCTGAAGGGAAGTATAAGAAGGAAGATACTGTAGTGATGTTTCACTGTGCGTTTCAGAGTGTGAAGAAGTCGATTCAGGCTTATGTCTCTCGTGTGGGAGGTTCCACTGTTGAGGTTAGGTTACCTTTCCCTGTTAATTCGAATGAAGAGATTATCTCCAAGTTTAGAGAAGGATTAGAGAAAGGTAGAGCGAATGGTAGAACGGTTAGGTTAGCTATCATTGACCATATAACGTCGATGCCGTGTGTTTTGATGCCGGTACGAGAATTGGTTAAAATCTGCAGAGAAGAAGGTGTGGAGCAGGTTTTTGTTGATGCAGCTCATGCCATTGGTAGTGTTAAAGTTGATGTCAAAGAAATCGGAGCTGATTACTATGTGAGTAATCTGCATAAATGGTTCTTTTGTCCGCCGTCTATAGCGTTTTTCTATTGTAAGAAACGTGGTTCTGAGTCTGATGTTCATCACCCTGTGGTGTCTCATGAGTTTGGAAATGGTTTGCCTATAGAAAGTGCCTGGATTGGGACTAGGGATTACAGTTCGCAGCTTGTGGTTCCATCGGTAATGGATTTTGTAAACAGATTCGAGGGAGGGATCGAAGGGATAATGATTAGGAACCATGATGAAGCTGTTAGAATGGGGTTAATGCTGGCTGATGCTTGGGGAACGAATCTCGGGTCACCTCCTGAAATGTGTGTTGGGATGGTTATGATCGGTTTACCTTCAAAACTGTGTGTTGAAAGTGATGAAGATGCTACTAAGTTGCGGTCATATCTGCGGGGGCATAACTCAGTCGAGGTTCCAGTTTATTTTCTCGGATTGAGGGATGGAGAGGAAGGAGTGAAAGACAAAGACAGTGGACTAATTACTGCGTATGTTCGGATTTCTCATCAGATTTATAACAAAACTGAGGATTATGAGAGATTGAGAGACGCAATAACAGAGTTAGTCAAGGATCAAATGACATGTAAAAACCTTCCTTCAGTGTAGTGACCAGGTATGCTTCAAATTCACAATCTTGCTTATCTTCTAGAGTTGATGCTAAACATCTCTTGGCTTCTCTGCCTTTAAAATGGTGGACTATAAAACTTTAGATCTTGTTCCTATAAACCAATCTGTTTTTTATTTGCCAAGGCAGACAACTTTAGATCTTGTTCCATGCTCTAGGTGATACTTGCTAGATCGTATATGAACCAAACCAATTAAGGTGTTGTTCTTCTAAACAAAAGTTTTTGTTTTGGTGGCAGGTATACTTTGATAATCCACAAGGGCCTCATTCAGACTCTTTCATAGATCAAGCTCATGTTTCGGGTGTGACAATAAGGCGTTGGAAGAGCCACGGGAAAAGATTCTGGATGTAACATTTATTGATGAGCTTGTGGAGGAGCGGCTTGCAATGGAAGAAGAAGCTAACCTTGAGAGGCCCTTTCTTTTATTAGTCTTTTTAACGTTTAACGGCTTTGTATGATGATTATTGCAAATAAAATGATGTCCCTCTAATCTATCTTCCTCAAACATTCTGCTTTCGAATAGTCGCAGTTCCAATAATTTTTCCTTGTTGGAAACTTTTTCTTATCTCACATTGATAAACAAATAAACAATAAGCATATTCATACATATGTAATGACACTCAAGTAATTTAAAAATGTAGTCCATATAACACCAAAATCGTTGAAATAACAATTTATTTTATTCTGAATTAAATGATATAATCTGAAAAATCGACTGAACATAATTTTTCTTGGTAGTTTTGTTATCTTATACTTATAGTACTATAATAATTCGAAATCTAAACAATTCAAACCCCTTTGACCAAAACAAAAAAAAAAACAAAACAATTTAACCCGAGACTAAACCGGAATTTGGATTGGGAGTGGCTGATTACAGCTGGCGCAAAATGATTGGCACAAAAACTAACTGCTTTTGTTTTTGTATCCGAGTATATAAAAAAGAGCAAAATTGATTGCATAATAAAAATTCAAAATTTATCTTGTCGTCTTCCTTGTTTTCTCGGCTTTCAAGAAAATGCTATGACTCCGCTCTAGTTCTTCGTCAATTTCTCTTTGAAGATTCAAATTCGCTTCAGAAATCTCTCAAATTGATCGGATTGAGTCGTCGTTTACCCCAATTTCTGCAAATTACGCATCGGTTTTATTGGTTCTGCATAAACGCGATTGCGATGATTTCTGCTTCATGTCGACATGTGAAGTAAGCTCTCTCGTATGCTTTGAAATTGATATAGTTTGGCAATTAGAAATTGAGGTTTTCTGGGTAGTGAAAGAGGGTTCTTTAGGTTTTGCGAAAAAGAATGGATAGAATCAGTAATTTGCCAGATGATATTATTTATCACGTAATCTCCTTCCTTTCGGCAAAAGAAGCTACGTGCTTGAAGTATGCCTCCAAGAAATGGCTGAATCTGGTTACTATCATACCGAGTGCTGTTTTTGTTGATTCCTCGTCGTCTGCCAGTAGTGGAAGTTTCCAAGATTTCGCTGATCGAATAAAATTGGCTCAACTTGCCAGTCACCGTATGAGGAGATTCTCTCTAAAATTTCAGTCTTTGGATTTTGCTCAGTTTAGTATTGTCAACGACTGTTTACGCAAAGTGTTGGAGTGTGGTGTCTTGGATCTTGAACTGGACATCAATGTCAAAGGAGATTACTCACTGCCTTTTGAGATCTTCACTTGCCAGAGCGTTGTGAAACTGAAACTTGGGTCTGGTTTTGTTATTGACATTCTCCCTAAGAATGCTTTGCTTCCTGCTCTCAAGACTCTCCTTCTTGATTCAGTTCGGTTCGATAATACTGGTGGTTGTGCGTTTACAAGGCTTCTTTCTGCTTGCCCTGTGCTCGAGGAGTTAATCATAGATGGATTCAACTGTGAACTTTGGAATTGGTCTCACACCGTGTATAGTCGGATCCTAAAGAGACTTACTATAAGGCGTGAATATTCAGAAGAATTAGAAAATTCTGAAGACTATGATTTTACGAGAATTAGTTTTGATGCTCCCAGTCTTACCTACTTGGAATACAGTGATTATATTCATGATGAGTTTCCAAATGTAAATCTCAAATCCCTTGTTGAAGCGAAGCTCCATTTTAATATGTTGACTGCTTGGATGAAAACCGATCTAACGAATCTGTTCAAGGGGTTGAAACATGTTCAGATTCTGCGCTTAGAGTTGATTGACACGTTGCTGGCAAGTGTTCTCTACTGTTTTTTTTTTTCTTACTCTTTAATATGTTTCTGCAGCTTAACAGATAGTAAAGCATGGGGAACCATTCAGATATAATTTGCTAGACGTTGGAATGTTTATTAAAGTTTTGAGCCATATATTGCAATTTTATGACTGACATGTTGATTTTTTTTTGTTCCAGCTGTTTGATACATGCGATGAAGCAGACACAGTGTTTGAAAACATGTCTCATTTAGATTTGCCAAGTGAAGCAGATGTCTGCTGGGATCCTCTAAAACTTTTTGTTAAGAAATCTCCAAATCTGAAGACTCTTACCATTGAGGTATGACCAAAAGCCCCCAAAAAGTTCATTGAACAAACCATTAACTATAGTCCAACCCCAATAGGTACTCATAAAATCTTTTCTTTCAGGATTTGCACTATGAATATCGAGAATATCTGGATTTAAAATCTGTCTGCGAATGCTAGGAGGGGTATTCTTTCCTTTTGTCCTGCCCTGTTGAGATCCTAACGATAACCCAGTTCAGTGGACGGATCGGAGAAATGGTGCAAATAAAGCATGTCTTGGAGAAATTGCAGTGTCTGGTGCTGTTGGAAGTTCATGTTGAGGAAAGAAGAGTTGACAATAAGCTGCAGATCTTGGCGGATCTCCTAATGCTCCCGAGAGCTTCATCCAAATGCAAAGTCCAGGTCAAGTTCGTTTGAACAAACAAGAGTTTGTTGCCTCAACATGAGAACTGTTTTGTTTTGCATCTTTCGTACATGATATTGCTCTGAATCGAACAGCTTGGTGTTTTTGTTGGCGTTTTTGTGCCTAAAACACTCGAGTTTGTAAGAGAGAGGCTAAGCTACATTAGGTCTATTATTGCCAAGAATTCCTCAGATATTTTCCAATGAAGCAAAGCTTTGAGGATATAACATGCACAGTTTTGCTGTTTTGGTTGGGTGCATTTTACTTGTGTTGGTAAGTAACTTGCTTTGGTTTGTTTTTATCAAAGAATTTTTGGAATTAAACTCTAAATCGTAATTGTATCCTCGTCAATTTGACTCTGGTTCGGTTCGGTTTGGTTTATTAATGGTATAGTAAATTAGAACAACAACGATATAGCGAAGAAAAGCGAACAGGCATATAAACACGTGGCACGTTTGCAGTGGAAGAATCCATGTAACTAAGCATAGTCTTATGCACAGAGGATTGTGAACTTGAAAAAGCTAGGGATTTTGAAGAAGAAAGCTCCAAACTTTGTTCCTCCAAAGTTTTGAGTTTTGACAATAGGTTATAGCTATAGGGTCCTTGAAGAGAGACATTTTACCTCCATTGTTGATTGAATTCAACAAAAAGCGCATAGTTTTTGGATTCAGAGCTAAGCAAAAAGCGTGATTGTGTTGTTGCGTAGAGGAAGAAGATGGCTGATGAGACAGAGAAACCTATTAGGTTACTCAATTTCGTCTCGGAGGAACAGGTTCTCTCTCTCTCTCTCTCCCTCTCTATCGAAACCCTAGTTTTGTAAAAATTCGGTTTTTAAATTGTTTGTTTTCCTGAGCAATTGAATCGTGATCCAGTTAGATGAATCGAAGAAAGAAAGAGGTGAAAGAGTTGAAGATGGAACATTCCAGAGAGACAGAGCTCTCTACGAGGTTTTTCTCCATTCTCCATTGTGGTTTTTTTTCCTAGAAATTTTCAGTCCCATGAGTAAATTATTCGTCTTCTTCTTCCTCACTTGTAATGTGTTCTTTGACCTAAATCAATTGCAGATTTTGAAAGAGAACAAAGACAAGAAAGACGCTGAGTTTAATGAACGATTCAAGCATAGTGAGTCACTATCTCTCTATAGCAGTATTATTGATTCCATCGTTTCAAGCTGTGATCAATTCTTATGTCAAGACCTCTGCTTTGGTTTACCTTTCTGAAATTAAATTTTTTGATTTGTTACCTTGTGTTCAATGGTTTGGCTAAAGAAGAGACTATTTTGAATTGGGATTTACAGGACCACCCAAAGCTCTGGATGAAGATGAGACTGAGTTTCTTGATAAACTGGAAATGGTGAGCTATCTTCTTTTATTGCCAATGGACTGCATATTAGTGTAGATATTAATGAGTTACTTATTGCTTATAAGCTCTTGATGATCAGTAATTTAAGAATCATGACTTGATGGCGTGGTCTTTGTGCTTATATCTTCTTTGTCGTCTTAACACTCTCATTTACACTTGCTTTTTATAGTCAAAGAGGGAATATGAACGACAATTAGCTAATGAAGAGGAAGAACAGCTTCGTAGTTTCCAGGTAACTTTCTTTTGAATCCTGAATAACAACAGTTAACAAAGCTTAAAAATTTGTTAGATTAAGATTGTATTATGGATTCATTTCCAGGCAGCGGTTGCAGCACGATCAGCAATCCTTCACGAACCAAAGGAAGCAGCACCTCCACCACCAGCTCCAATCACCAAGGTGAATATCTCATGATTCAAATTGGAATGTTAGATATAATTGCAGAAATCTTCATTTGAGCATTTGTGGTTAAATTTTATCTTGAACTCTTTTACAGGAACAAAAACCAACCGGGAAGAGAAATCCTGCGACTTTAGGCTTAGTCTCATATAGTGATGAAAGTGAAGACGATAATTAACATTTTGTGTTACTGACACAAGAATCTCTGTAAACATTCACAATGAATCGATAAATTGAATCTTTTGGTTTCAGTTCCATTGTATATTAACTCAGAAATGCTAAAATCACTAGAAAGGGAATTTTATGTAGAAGCACTCAGATGAAGTTGTACTAAAGAAGCATAAACACCATCTTTGATATTAATCAAAGACTCATGCTTTCCCTTCTCCACGATGACTCCATTCTTAACCACTGCAATTACATCAGCATTCTTGATTGTCGATAACCGGTGTGCCACCACCACGGTGGTTCGGTTAACCATAACCCGGTCCAATGCATCCTGAACCACACGCTCTGACTCAGCGTCTAGAGCACTCGTGGCTTCATCAAGTAGTAACACCTTAGGGTCTTTAACGATTGCTCTGGCTATGGCTACTCTTTGCTTTTGCCCACCTGATAATTGAACTCCTCTTTCACCTACCATTGTATCATAGCCCTGCAATGGTAAGTAAATCTTTCAGTTTAATCTGTATCCATGGACCTGGAAATTAGAACTTAGAATTTTGGTTCGGTGCGGTTAAAGTTACCTGTTGTAGCCCACTGATGAAGACATGAGCGTTAGATAGCTCAGCTGCGGATACTATTTCGGTTTCAGTAGCATCGCCTCCTTTACCATAAGCAATGTTAGCCCTAATCGTTTCATTGAACAAAACCGGTTCTTGGCTCACTAGCCCGGTTTGCTGCCTTAACCATTTCAGCTGCAAAGTCTTGATCTCAACTCCATCAAGAGTGATCTGACCAGAATCAGGGTCGTAAAACCTCTGTAGCAACGCAATCACTGTCGATTTCCCGCTTCCACTCTCTCCAACCAAAGCTATTGTCTGAAACAGACAAAACAACATAAGAGAATTTAGAATTTAATTGACCCGAACTGAACCAAAATTATAGCAAACTAACAGATCTTTATTCATTTTTTCTATATCTAACCTTTCCAGCGCGAATAGACAGACAGAGATCTTGGAAGATCTGAACGTCTGGTCTTGAAGGATATTTGAAACTGATATGACGAAGTTCGATATCTCCTTTGACATTGTCAAGAACTCTCCCAGACTCATCACTCGGATCAATCTTCGATTCCCTATCTATAACCGCAAATATCGATGCAGCCGCATTGCTAGCTTTGCTGGAATCAGGAGACAGTGAACTTGACTGAGAGATAGCTACGGCCGCCATTGTCAAAGCAAAGAAAACCTGTTTCCAAACAACACAAAACAGTCTTTAGAAGGGACAACAAAACAGGAATCATGAGTTTCTGAATGTTTTTGTTGCTTTTTACCCTGAAAACAGAATCGAAGGTTGTTTTCCCGTCATCGACAAGCCTTGCACCGGCGTAGAAACTGGCGGCGTAAGAAGAGAAGAGGACAAAGAAAGAAACTCCGAAACCGATACCACTAACTATGCCTTGACGTATTCCTGTTCTCATAGGACCTTCACATTTCTTCTTATACATTTTCATCACTTTCTCCTCTGCACAGAATGAAGCAACCGTTCTTATGCTCCCGACTGCATCATTCGCTACTTGGCTCGCTTCCTCGTACATTCTCTGCCAACAATTTTTCCGTTTCATTAGACAAAATAACAGAGATATGTAACTTGAATGAAATTTAGAAATTATAGAATTTCAAAAATCAAAGAGAGTTTAGTTGTACCTTTGCGTCTGCACTGAATCCAACCATGAACTTCATGTATATATAACCGTTAAGCCCGATTAGCGGAAGCATCGCGAGAACAATGAAAGCTAACTGCCAGCTCGCCACAAAAGCGATGACCACACCGGCCGTTACAGAGGCAAGATTCTGAACCGTTTGAGCCAATGCGTCTCCAACTAGACCACGAACCGTAGCTGCATCAGCAGAGAGCCTAGCTCCAATAGCACCACTTGAATTCTCAGTCTCATCGAACCATCCAACTTCCATACGAACCACTTTCTCAAAACACATTGATCTTATCCGCTGCACCAGTTTACATCCGGCTATGGAGAAAAAAATCGTTTGTGCCGGGAAGACCACCATTGAAGCTACACCAAGAAGCATGAAGATGATTGCCCAAAACCTTGTATCGGATTTTAACTGCTCAGGTGGTTTGAAAAATGCTTTGATCACGCTTGAGATTAGAATCCCGAATATCGGAAGTATAACTCCGTTTAAGACCGCGGCTATAGATCCAAGTATAAGCATAGGAATCTCTGGTTTGTTTAGAGCAGCGACTCTAAAGAATGAGACTTTCTTGTCCTTGGTCGGAGTGGAAGCCTTGATGTCTTGCTCTGGTATGGCTTCCTTGTTTGTATCTATTCCTGCTGGAAAACCAAACATAGAGAAAGAAGAAGATCTTTTGCTTAAAGACCGGCTTAGCGACGACTTCCTCAAACTAGACCGTTTCATGGACTCCATTGATAGTTTCTGCTCATCCGTTGAATCTTCTGTCTGTTTAGTATCTTCTTGTAGACGTATGAGCTGAGAATACGCTCCTTCCGGATCTCTTAGGAGCTCAGAGTGAGAACCTGATCATACATTTATGATCAGCACTTACTATCAGATAGGATTGGATAGATATACATGTATGTGTTAAAGACTTTGAGTTTTACCTTTCTCTACGATCTTGCCTTGATGAATCACAGCAATCATGTCTGCATTTCTCACTGTGCTCAATCTGTGAGCGACAACGACAGTTGTTCGGTTGACCATGATCCTGTCAAGAGCTTCTTGAACAATCCTCTCAGACTCTGCATCAAGTGCGCTTGTTGCTTCATCTAAAAGCAAGATTCTTGGATCTTTCAGAATCGCTCTAGCCACCGCAATCCTCTGTTTTTGCCCACCCGAAAGCTGAGTTCCGTGTTCTCCAACCATCGTGTCTAAACCCTGCAATTTACAGTTAATTCAGTTACATTTACAAGCTTCATCAAAATGAAAATAGAGACAAAAAACAGAGGAGAGGTGATTTAGTTCTCAACCTGAGGAAGCTTGTCAATGAATTTAGACGCATTTGCGAGCTCTGTAGCCTTACGAATCTCTTCGATTGTTGCATTTTCTTTCCCGTATGCGATGTTTTCCTTTATGCTTGAAGTGAACAAAACCGGTTCTTGACTCACAAGTCCTATCTTGCTTCTGATCCACTTTAGCTGAAACTCTTTGAGGTTAATCCCATCTATTCGGACTTCACCGCTTTGTGGATCATAAAACCTCTCTATTAGACTCACAACAGTAGACTTTCCACTTCCGCTCTGCCCAACTAGAGCCACGGTTGAACCACTCGAGATAGAGAGTGAAAACCCGCGAAAGATCTGCTCTTCTGGTCTTGCCGGGTAACTAAAGTTGACATCTTTAAGCTCAATGTCTCCTCTAATATCATCAAGAACTTTTCCAGTTGTATCAGAAGCATCAATCTCCGGCTTTCTTTTGATTGTTTCAAACATTTTGTATGCCGCGGCTTGACCAGCTGCAAACGCGCTTAAACATGGAGATGCTTGTCCTAACGACCTGATATTAGCATGAAAAGCAAATTAGATAATAGACAATAAGAAGTTTAAGGACCAAAGTCGATTCGAAATCTCACATGGAACCGGTTAAAACCGCGAAGATGATGATGAGAACTTGTCCTCCTGTGTATCCTTTCTCCAATATCATCTTCCCACCATACCAAACCGCTAAAGCATAAGTGCAAAAGATGACTATGTTGAGTGTACCAAGTCCAAGCCCTGTGGAAGCTCCTTCAAACACCCCTGCTCTATATGCAGACACAAGATGCTTATTGTAATTGCTTATCGCTTGCTTCTCTCCGGTAAACGATGCAACCGTTCTAATCGACCCGACTGTTTGCTCAACTACAACCGCAGCTTTTGCATAAGAAGTTTGTCCACGAGAAGCCATTTTCGAAATGACGATTGCTAGAGCTGCACCAGACATTACTAGAAGCGGAATTGAAGATACCATGACTAATGTAAGAAGCCATCCTTCAGTGAAAGCTATCACAAATCCACCAACAAACGTTGATACCAATTGTATAGCCTTCCCAACCTACAAAAAGTATGAAACTTAGTATCTAATTCAACCCCCCAAAAAAAAGACAATAATTTGATTGAAACTTTTTGTAGTGTTCTGTTACCTTTTCTCCCATGGCGTCTTGTATAAGCACAGTGTCACCTGACATTCTTCCAACAACTTCTCCTGTGTTGGTTTCGACATCGAAGAAGGCAATGTCTTGTCTCAATATAGTTTGCAGATACAAACTCCTTATTCTTCCAGCTTGTCTCTCTCCGGAGATCATCCAACCAGAAACCTCTGATTATATACAAAAACATCCATAAAGATCAAAATCTTTCACATACAAAACCCACTAAAGATTTCAGACAAAATCAACGAGTGTGTGCTTACGGAGAAGAGCTGCCACTAGAGTTCCAAGCCCAAGATATACAAATTTCAGAGCCACCTGTGAGTAAAATTCTTCTAACGATCAATCATTGTGGACTTGTGGGTCTAAATAAGAAAGTGAAAAGAGTAGAATCTATTTATTACCTTAGCTATCTTATCAGAAACATCTGAACTGTTTTGGTTTTGTCCAAACACATCTATGACATCCCCGAAGAGGATCGTCATGATAGGGAAGCCAAGACCGTTACCCACCGCGCCTATTGTTCCGAGGATCATCAAAAGGATGTCAAATGAATCTGCAAAGGCAAACAGCTTGTGAAACGGTACAGTTTTGGTCTTCTCATCTTCTTCTACTTTTTTGTTCTTCTCTGTTTTCTTCTTAACAGATTCGGTCTTAAGTTCTTTTTCTTCTTCTTCATGAATTTTAGAGTTTGAAGTCTCTACGTTTGCTCTGTTTGGTGAATCCACCTTCAACCCCTCGTCTGATTCCATTACACTATCCATTGTCGCTTGATCCTATCAAGAAAACCAAAGCTAAAGATCGAAACTTTAAAATCTAAAAGAAAACAGAGGAAAATAATATCTAAGTAGATAGATAAAAGACCATTGGACAAACCCCAGAAACCAGTCCAAGAACTTGACACAACAACAGAAAACAGAGAAGCATGTACCTGAAAAACACAGATACACTTCCTTTTGAAAGTAGCCGTGGAAATAAGGGTCGTGCAGGGTTGAATATATAATATACTCTAGTTCATTACTTGAAGAAGAAGCAGTGGATTTTCGATTTCAAGAACTCGTAATTTCTCTTAATAAGTTCAGGTCTCTTGAATTGATTCAAGTGGAAGTTTGGGGACCTACTTCGAGAAACAAGGACTAGAGTCGTCAAAAACGACCTTGTTATGACGTGACAGGTCTCTTCTCTCTCTGGATAAGTCTTATTTCCACGCAACTTTATTGAACAAAAACAGAGGAAACTTCTAACAAATAGAATAAAAAAGAAACGAATTTTCTTTCAAACTTTAGTTTTGAGTTTTGACTAATCAAATTGTACATTCCTTTGTTCATACAGCATAATACATTAGCCATTAACCGCATTTATATTGTATAATCATATGCAGACAAAAAATATCAATTCATATTTGATTTTCTTAGATGCAACTTGCGTAACGTTTCTTTATTTTATGGGCCATGGTATCATAATCAAAGATTAAACTAAAATAAATCATTTGTTTAGTTGGCAAATGTTTCATAACTTTTTCTATACAATTTTTTATTATTAGTATGTGCACATTACACTTCAGTGCGTAACGAATCCAAGCAGCCGATGAATTTTCCAAATTCCACTATACAACTTTTTATGTAATGGATTAGTGATTATTCGGTTTTGTTAGATGTCGATATTTTATTTGTCATCAAATCATCAAACAATTGGCAATGAGTCTCCTCGACGCACCACGTCATCAAACGTACACCTTTCTTCGGCAAAGGCATAGATCCTACGATGCCAGCAGGGACAATACTCAGCCCTTGGATTGGTGCCACGTGTAATGGTGGACCCCATCCATAATCCACCTGATTAAATCCTAATTTTCCCCACTCCGATAAGAACAGCGTATTATATCCCACCTCCGGCGCAAACGGATCATCTCCGTCGCCGTTAACGAACTTTTCAAATTCCTCCGGTAGCTTCGCTTTGGCTCGCTTGATCATTTTCACAACATCGAACACCGATTTCTCCTTCGCGATTTCGTGGCTACCGGCGGAGATTTTCACCGGAAAAAAGCAGTTGCCGTAGAAACCAATCGGAAGCGGCGGATTAACCAGATGACGACAGTTAGCGAAGAAGACGAGCTTCACTTCTGTATTCTCTCTCAGATCTATCGCTTCCGTTCGAAGTTTCCAAAAACTGGCGGCGATTACCTCGAAGGCTGAACAAATCTCTCCGGTCGACGCGCGAAACTCACGTTTGAATTGTTCGATCAGATTTGAAGGGATATCAAAGCTTAAGTGCTCGAGCTTGTATCCCGGAAACGCCGGTGGAAAAGGCGGAGGAATTGCCGGGGATATGACATCATTCGAACGGTGGTGCTGTGGAATGAAATCTCTATGCCAGACGGGAGAGACACCGAGATTCGTCTGGCCGCAGGCTATTTCCCCGACGGCGGTGAGGAATTGGGCCGCTCCAAGGCCGTCGCAAATGGCGTGGCAAAATCTAAGGCCCATTACGAAACCGCCGCATGAGAATTGGGTCACCTGCAAAATTGGGAAATCCGGTTCAGTTTAACTTAGTCGGATACAAGCGAACCGGTTTAATCTATAACTATTTTTTACTAAGCCATTGCACCGGATTCTGAAAACCAAACCGGGATTAATTGTCAAATCAACCGGTTCAATTACGAAATACGGATTGGAGATTTGTTTTTAGTTTGAGAATTAATTAAAAACTTACCTGCATTTGGACAAGCGGTTCTGCATCATCATCTCTAGGTATTTGATCAGGAAGGAGATCATCGTAAGGTATTTCCATAAGATTGTCGAAATAACCAACGCTCTCTAGTGTAACATCGGTTATCGCATCAACGAACAAAATTCCGGTTTCCCCGGTACAATCGATCTGAATTTTACCTTGGTTTAACTCTTTCAATCTACCGGACAAGGGATAGTAAGAGACAAGTGCTTTAGCCAATGCCTCTCGTATGACTCTAGCTGCATCAGGTCCATGTGTAAACACATGTATAGTTCTAGCGAAACATCGTAGGACAGGAATATTATCGATTGAGGACAGATCCAACACTACAGATGGGGTCGGTTCACATGGTTGAATAAGAACTCGGTTTACTCTGGTTAATGAAAAAGCCATTGAAGAAAAGATTGACTTGATTAAAGAAAAGATTGGCTTAGGAGGAGTCGTGTGACATTTCTGGTGGTAGAAGACAATGCCACTTTATGTATAATGTGTGAGATATTGGTGAAGTCTTTATCTATGAGACAGCTTTGCTTTGAAGTGGACTATAATTAGGTGATGTAGGGCTCGCTTTTGCTAACATATTACACTATCTCATAAAAAATATTTGCCAAAACTAGTATATCTATATTTAGACACTTCTCATTGCAAAATATTTAAAATGAATTTCTTAGGTTAATAATTGTCAAAACTAGTGCATGTTTGTTTACACACACATAATTTGAAATAAATATTTTTGGTTTGTGTAAATTTACTAGAGTTTTATTTTTGTAGTATAAAAAATCATAAAAGTGGAAAATGGTAAATTTGAGCGAATGATGCTGGTTAAAATATTTTGTGTATCAATTTTTTTAAAGGATACAACAGAGTGATTAAAAAAATTTAATTATTTGTAATACAAAAAAAAATGAAACAAAACATTTTTTTTTCCTCATTTGCACGTGAAACAAAAGCAATCTTATACAAACTTCATCTCAACACGTCTAGAACCCTATATTTGTATATAGTACCCAAAAAAGAGCTCTGATCCCCAGAGACGACGTCGTATCGTTACCTTATCGTTATCACATACTGTTTTATTCTTTACTTTTTCTTTGTTGTTGTTTTCTTACAATCCTAGCTGGACGGGCACGTTGGCTTCTTGGATCCAATTAGCTGGACCAACCCAGTTAGCCACGGTGTAAGCTTCAACCTCAGCCGCAGACTTAGCCACCTTAACCCAAGGAGGCCTCTGAGTAGTGGCAGCTCCCGGTCCACGGTTATTGAACTCAATGTATTTAGCAGTCTTGTGGTTTTGTTCTCCTTGCCATTCGGTCCATCCTTCTGGTTTAATCAAATCACCAATCTCAGTTCCAATAATCACAGTCGTGGCAAATTTCTTCCACGGCCTTCCTAGGAACGATTTAATGGTTAGCTTGTCAGCTTCGAGCTCCTTGTCTGGTATGATACGGCAGTTATGGAGAACGATACCGATCTTCATAGCTGCACCCTTTTCATTACCGTCAGCTGTAACGTAGTTGGATTGTCCGGGGCTTCCCTTTCGGACGAGGATTAGAGAGTTTTGGATCACAGTCGCGGATTTTCCAAAGATGAAATCCACTGTACCGGATACAACAATGTTCCTGTAGAACTGACGTCCGTTGTTGACGTAGAGAGTGTCTTGGTAACCGTCGAATCTACAGTTGAATATGACCGCACGGTCTCCGTTCACACGGAGTGCGACCGCTTGGTGTCCCAATGGACCGGCTGTGTTCTTAAACCCGATCCATTTCGCCATGAATCCCTCAGATTCAACCTCTGCATGTACAAATTAAATGTTAGTACCTTGGCCGATTATGTAGCAATGCAAATCAAATAAATAAGGTTTTTGTGGGACTTACGAACGGTGCCACTGAGTGAAGTAGTGGTTCCTGGGCTAAGTTTAACACTTCTGTTAAAGGTAATGATGGTTTGTGTAGCACCATCACCGAACATGAAAATGTTGTTCTTCTTCTTAGGGATAGTGACTTGTTCATTGTAGATACCAGCCTTGATATGGATAATGCACCTTCCAGGGTTTTTATCCGGGCAAGCCATAACCGCCTGAGAGATGGTCTTAAACTGTCCACTTCCATCCTTAGCCACTACATGAGTAGCCTTGATCTTACCGCCACCACCACCGCCTTCACCGATACCATCATCACCACCTGCACCGCCAGCTGGAGCCCCACGTCCGGCCTTAGCCATAAGCTTCCTGTCTTTACCAGAAAACCATTTGGGGAGTCCCTTAGCGTCGGTGTCTTCAAGAAGGCGACGTGCAGGGGCTCCGCCGGCTCCGGCTCCGATGCTTATGTTCTTCATATCGTCGACTTTGACACCCATTTGGGCCATCGCGGTAACAACGGAATGGAAGATATCGATAGCGTTACTGGTCAAAACCTTGGAGTTAGAGATTCCTTCACCCATGATCTTCTTTAGCTCAACTTCCTCGATATCATCAAGACAATCGGTTTGGTAGTTGAAAACTCCGGTTAACCACTGTTTAAGCTGGTCAAGCTTAGTTCCACTCTGCTGAAGATCTTCACCCATTTCTTCAACTATGGTCTCAAGATCCTCAAGAGCGTAAGTCAATACTTTCTTGCAGTAATCAAGAACCGCTTTGCTCGTCGCGTTCATGTTAGTCCCCATGCCTCCTTCGGTCGAAGCCGTGAAGTTTGAGGATTTTGTGATCGCGTCTTTAGTAGCCATCAGGAAGGCTTTGACAAGCTTGCTTGGATCATCACTTTTGACTGGCTCGAGTGTTTTTTGCGCACGAACCTTGGTCTGTGGTTGACTGACAAATTGTCTGAACCGCTTTCTGATGAGAGTTTATGGGAGCATTACTGTCGCCGTTGGCGCCGCCTCCTTTATTAACATACGTGATCACTCCTATGGCAACACCCACCACTAGGAGGAGTGATGCCACAGATATCACAACTTTTCCTACTGCCATTTTTCAAATTTTTTTGGTTTTTATAATTTTTTCCCCTTTTGATTTTTTTTTCTTTAATTTATATATTTTTTTCTCTCCCTCCGGTTTTATTCGGGAGGTAAATAGGAGAGGGAGGGGATTTTTTTTTATTAAAACAGAGCCCGGTGGTTTATTAATGGGGCTGGTAGAGATTGTGGTGCGTTGTGGAGACATTCTTATAGGATTTGTAGTTTCTAAAATTAGGGTTTGCATGGAGGGAGAGATTTAAGGTCGTTGAATGGCTAAAAATTCTCTAGTCAAATATTGGCAATGAGACTAAAAATTGGTCACCACAAGATGATTTGATTATGTCCTGATCAAGAGTTCGATTACTAAAAATATAAAAAGTAGATTCAAGACGAAAAACAAGTTTGTGGCAGTAACTAGTTTTACTTGCATCCTCTAATTCTAATCTTGTGAATTTATTTTGGACTATTCATTCCTAAGTTTAGTGATCTTTTCGAAAGTAAAATTTCCAAAAACGTCTGTATTATCGAGAGTTTGCTCTCATCCTTTAAAGGTTAAAAACTAAACGGTCACTACACCGAAAATTAATAGCTAGTGTGTTAGTAGGAAAATTATGTCCTCTAGGACCTTATCAACGCATAAATGGTAAATTAATATACGTGAGATTGCTTTAAATCTTCTTATAACGACAGGATTATGGACTTTTGACTTAAACTTTCTTGAAGATTGAAAATGAGTTTCGATCAAAGTGATTGTACAAGTGAAAACCGAAATCATAAGTCTTTCTTCAATAGCAGTAACAATTACGGAATGATTATAAGAAATAAGAGAGAATTTGCATCATAGATATACGATATTAGAGTGTGTTTTAATTGTGCAGTTAGCCTTGTTAATTAGTAGTTATGGTGGTTAACAGTTAATAACCGGTTAATTGTCAATTGTCAATTGTCAACAAGCGTAACTGCATAATTCAAAGAAGCTAATGATGTTAGTTAGACAAGCTTCAAATGAGATTATCAGATAATATAACTTTTTGCAGGTTTCAAAATTTCCTAAGGCTAAATGCCTAAATCATCATTCCGATACTTTTGTTGTGGATGTTAAGTCATCATTAATCAAATTTAGGATCTTGTAGTTAATTAATATGTATCGTAATATTCATTCAAAAAACAAAAAAATTGTATCGTAATAATAATCACTATATTGATCAAAGACAGATGTTGAAATAGAGACAAAAAAAATAATAACATTTCATTAATTAATATATCCTTTCCAATCATCACGAAATCCGTCCGTACATGTATAAAACCTACAACATTACATCACAAACGACGTATAATCATACATGACAGAACCAACCATCTATGATTCCATTCGCGATTGCTCTAGGCATTATACGATACAATTATTACATCCAATCCCTTAATATGATCAGTAGTAATAATCAGACAACGGTGGCGGTCGGGGCGAAGTGTCTTCCTCGTTAAGCTTCACCTTAATACCAAAAGTCTTGAAAATAGTATTCAAATTATTAAACACATCAAAAGAATCACTTGTTAGATTCTTCCCAAGTCCAATCCCAATCTCCACTTCCTTCAACAAGTTCTTGTCCTCTATATCATCCAAACAAGTCGAATGATACCCCATGATTGACATTAACTCTTTTTTACACGTAAAATAATTATGAGCCAACGTCGTTACATCTTTCCCCGTAGCTTTCCAAAAATCGGCAAAATCTTCCAACGCGTAGTTCAAGTTTTTCTCGCAGCTGTTGACCACTGCCGTTGCGGTTGCGTCTGATTTGTGTTTTGGTTTGATTCCAGAGAGGAAAGTCACACTTTGTTTGACGGATGTTTCAGCCGCAACCACTAATGCTCGGATTAATTCGATGGGGTCATTGGTAGGAACATGTTTAAGGGTTTTGCAACATAGACTTGTGTTTGTTGGGATAACGGTGCAAATTCCCGCGACTGCTTTTGCGTGCGGTGTGAAAAGGTAGTTCGTTCGTTTGACAGGCGCAGCGGTTGCGGTTGCAGCGACGAATAGGAAGAGAAAGACGAGTTTGATTGGAGTGTTCATGATTGTGTTTTTTGTATGAACGGAGAAAGGGATCGGAAAGGAACGGATTCGGAGGAGGAAGAGAGGTTTGATTAAGAAAAATGCATAATGCATGTTTTGTATATTTATAGTTCGTCTATATTTGGCAGCTAGCGATTAGGTTTGTGTTGTTTTTGTTCTTGTTAGTAATTACATATGGCAGGGAGGGAATTGCGCGTTAATTTTCGGGTTAAACGGTTATGGAGTTAATATGTTTGCTCTATTTTATTTCTAATGCAAATATGGATTAAAGTGTAATAGTATTTTAGTTGATGATGACAAAAATAATATTACCAATTTTAGGTTAAGAAAATGATATTTAGAGTTTAGAAAAAAGTTCTCAAATCATTTACGACATTCTTAGCTTTATATAAACTTTTGTCTAAAATAAAATTTTGTGGTATATTTGAAATTCGAATATTTTGATAAGAATTCTTTTAGATGTATATTTTGTAACTCTGTACGTGTTTAATAAAGTCGAATTTCTTGTGAAAAAGATATACTATATATTAAAAGTTATTTTGATAATTGACTAAAAAAATTATCATTTTTTCCAACAATTTATTAAAAATATTTATTGGCCCAGTTGAAAACTATAAACTATACGGTATATTAATGAAAGAAATAGAAATGTAGGGCAGTGGTTGTGAGAGGTACACGTATGATGATTCTGACGCAAAAAATGAGATTAATAATATATGAATGAAGAACCGACTCTGAGAAGCGAAACGTAGACGCGGGAAAATGCAGGTGGAGGAAGCCAAGATCTTGCTCGGCTTTCCTCCTAATTCTCGTCCCGATCCTTCTCAGGTTTCTTCTTCTTTTTTGTTTTTCCGATTACTGTGGTTTGTGAGCTTTTCCCGGGAACTTTTCGATCACTGAATTCGAGAAATTAGGGTTGAATCGCTAGATCTTTTGATACTGTGATGATCTCGTGTTGAATCTATCTGTCTTTTGAATTTGAGAGCTGAGTTTTTGATTATAAGACTTGAATTTGGTGATGGCAATTTTATTTGATTCGATCCTCAAGTTTTGGGAATTACGAGATAACAATTTTGATATGAATCGATGGATAGGTTAAAGCTGCTTACCGGAAGAAGGTATGGGAATCACATCCTGACTTGTTTCCCGATGATCAGAAGCAAGTTGCTGAGTCTAAGTTCAAATCGGTTTGTCTTCTCTCTCTCTTATATTTATCTCTGCAATCTTTTGTTCAATTTCTCCTCACAAGACAAGTTTAAAGTTAGTTTTGAAATTTGCTGCAGATATCTGAAGCTTACTCTTGCCTAGAGTCTGGTAATTCTCTCTCAGATTGAACCCTTACCTTGCTTGTAAGAAAGAATCTTTGGTCTGCACAAACCCAAATGAGCTAGTAGCTACGTGTGGGTGTACTCAGGTCTCCTCATGAATGCCGACGGTAAAATTTCTAACCACTAAATCCCGATATCTTAACGAACATTAAAGCTGTGTATTTTTCCTTCATCTTTTGCCTGCCTTCGTTTTTGCACGAGATGTTCTGAAACTCAATGTAGGCCAGTGCAACAATGAGTTGCTCATTAGGTTTAGTGCTTTGACGTCTGGATGTTTCTCTAGTTCCCAAAGAGTTTAAATAGTTTTGGTATTGATATCGCAGATTTGAGTCCTTGGAGCCATTGTTGTTGGAATTGGAAGAATGAAAAAAAATATAGCTCATTTGGGTTTACAAGTCCGCAGATCAGGACACGTTTACTCTGTTTTTATAGAACATATCATTTGTATATCGATAAATTCCGAACCATTATCTCTAGTACAATATCAAGCTTTGTAGTTTCAACATTGGTCTCTGTTTGCAGGTGATGTTAAAGGTCAACGATATTACAGAGCAGGTAAAAAGACTACTAAACACTCAGATGTGTTCTTAATGGGTTATACACATTGATGAGACTCTGAATTTGTAACATTGATAAGGTGTATATTCGAGGGTCGTCAAGACTGGTGTTCCTGGGACATATTCATCTGCCAAAAGAGGTAACCGTTGGTTGATCGGTGCACCTTTCCTTTTGATCGTCTTAGGAACCATCGGACTTGGTGGAATCAAAGCTAACAGGTCAGTTTCATATGTGTTTTTTCTATAATGTATTAACTGGAAATATTAGTACTGGTGTTTATTGGGGTTTTTGGGCATTTGCAGGGCATATAATCTGCAAAAACAGACGTACCCATCTCACAATCCTTTCCTTCCTTGATTCAGAGTCTCTTTCACCACAACACTTTGAGTCATTGGATAAAGTATGTAACCTTTGTACTGTACTAATGTTACTCCAACACATTTTAGCGAAATTTGATTAGTATAAGGGAATTCAAATGGAAACTATTTTGAAATTATTGTATATTCTTGACTAAAAGTTTGTTCTGTCCATGTGAATGTACTTGCATTCACTGATTCATTCATGTATTTAAAATCAATATGATAAATAAAAGTACCAGTAGAAATTAATTTCATACATAAACATACAAGTCTTTAAAGAAAAGGATAGCTTCAAGATTCGGAATAAGAGACAGAAATAGCTAAAAATAAGAGACATAAGTAGGTAAAAAGAAAAAAGAGGTAAAATTACAGATATTTTCCCCAACAACAGTGGAATATCACGAAAATAACTGTAACCTCTTAAGACCAAAAGAAACAGATTGACGTAACAAATGCAGAAACTTTGGTGATGCAGAGATTCCCAATCACATCCTCCTCATGAAATTGTGCAATCTTCTTGATGATGGCAACACTAAGGTTTTTATGAACCCAATCATGTTCTAGTACATGACATTTAGGTCCAAACTTTAACCACCCCCAAATTTTTAGCCTTTGACTCCTTACTACTGAACCGACGAAAGTAAAATGAAAAAAAAAAAGTGCTACTACTACCAAGGAACTAGTACTTAGACTTCAGAATCATCTCATTCTGAAGTTTTTGATATGGAAAACACTACTTTTCCATGTCTTAGTGCTCTCTATATTAGGTATTCAAGGTAGTACCCATATATGCTCTATTTATGGCTGCTACTACATCTTCTTCGGTATTTCATGGAACAAAGATTGAATTCAGGCAACGGTTTGGATACCTGTATCCGTTTCAGTAGCTGTCTCGTTTGTTGTCTCTTTTGTCTCTGCAGCAAGGCTAATAGTAATTGGTTTCCATCCGGTTTGATGATGAGTAATCCATTTCTTTGTGGTTGCTGTTATATTCAAGATCTGTAGTATGTCACCTAAAGTAAGCTCTTTTAGACATTCCTTTTTCAGAACTTGTGCAGCTTCATACCTATGTATTCAATCAAAAGAGGAAGAAAAGGATGTTACAACATTTTCATGGGTTAGAAACTATAGATCCTTAAGTAATCAAACTTTCTAACCTGCACTGAGTTGCCGTAAACGCCACACGACCAGAAGATGAGGTTAGAAACTCTTGTATTCTATCCCAAGTTGCTTTTGGGTATTGCTTAGCGTTTGCCCCTAAAGGGTTTACACAGTTCCATAGAGCTTCATTTTTGCCAATGTAGAGCTTTAGTTTACCTACATTTGTCACCACGATCATATGATGCTCCAATGCACTTTCCAAAGCCTTCTTTATGTCAGTACCGCGATGCTTTGGATCTCCGTACTGAATGCAATCCGAGATATTTGGCTCGGTAGGCATAACTTTTTCAGTTTTCAAGATGTTTAGAGCATGTAAGATAACGCCTATAAGGCCTTGAACATACTCAGATGGTGGAGGACACTCTTGTGTTCCCCACATACCATTGCTAGAACCAGATCCAGTAACCACTGGAGGCTGAGAAGGTGGAACTCCAGGACTGGAAGAGTTGGTGTAGCCAGTGGTTGTCGTAGAATGCGTTACCGGGGCACTACTAGTCCGTGGAATATAACCCTTATTTGGACCATTATGAGAATATGAGGATTCCATCTTTGGTCTGAATTCTTGTCTAACTTGAGGATTGAAATTAGGACGGTTTTGAGTTTGACTAGGATATTGAGACACACTTGGATTGCTGATATCAGGTGCAGTCAAGAGAGGTGGAGACGGAAACCTAGGCCCGTCATTTCGCGGGTGCTGCATTGGACGGAAACCATTACCAATAGGAGGATTCAGATTCTCTGGGCGGTAAGGACGGAAAACATTACCATAAGGTGGCCGCATATTAGAAGCACCTGGCCTGCCAGCATTGGGATAATAGTTCTGAGCATGATTTGGGATGCTATTTCCATTATTCCAAGAAGGATCAGGGTTAGGGTAAGGTTGTCTGGGAGGGAAAGGACCAGGTCGAGGAGGATAATTGTACTGATTCTGATTCTGAGGATTAGTCATCACATTACCAGGGAAAGTGTTAACATTGCTAGAGGGTAAATTGGGAGGAGGTCTGCTAGTGGAAACAGATGGCTCGCTACTGCCAAAGAACTCATGTGGGGCTTTCTTAAACTGTTTCCCTTGAGTGTTCTGTTGCTGACGGTAGTTATTGTTAGGCTTAGTTTCTTGAGTCTTTGGCATGACAGACTGATGATTTGATTGTTTTGGAAGGTATTTTGCCTTGGGTTTGTTGTCAAAGACTCTCCTGGAGTCAAAATTTGAATCCAGAGGTTGGCTTGATGGAATACACTCCTGAGTTGGCATCTCTGAACCAGACGTTGGGGTCGTCTGGTTGGCAACAAGTTGTAAGCTTTCGGCTCGTGTAAGAGGGATTCCTCCAGCAGATAGGCTTGTCCAAAGCCACACAGTCTTTGCAGCATGAACAAGTGGCACTGATGCTTTGAGAGGCTGTGCCAATAGAACATTGTAACGTCTCATTCGCAATCCGTGAAGAGCATTGGAGAAGTCTCTATCTCCTGATATTAACATAAAATTTGCAGGCGCAGGATTGTCCAACGCCCAGAACAACATGTCCACTAAGATCTTCTTATCACTCGCATCTTTCACGCCTGAAATAGTAAACCATAACATAAAAATAAAAACTTTGGTTATTAAAATCAAACAAGAACGACCCTAGAAAATAATCAATTCACAATTGAAATCTAGCCAACCAAATAAAGATACAGAGATATCAGTAACAAACAAGTAACAGAGATGGTTTTGAAGGAGTTTATAAGGAAGTTACCGGCGGGGACGTGGTTGAGCGCAATTCCGGTGGAATTAAGAGCGTGTTGGATCGACAAAGGGATGCGATTAGTATCACCATAAGCAGAGATAGAAACAGGACCACAATAGTTCATCTTCTGAAGCGCCGAAGTAATATTCTGAGCAATTCCATGAGCGTCAAGACCTTTAGGGACTTGACAATTCTCTATATCCCACCACACTGAAGTCTTCGCCCTCACGTACTGAGCCTCAGCCATCTCCGCCGCCACTGAAGCCGTCCCGAAATCCCCATCGCTCATCGTGTTAGTCGACATCGTTCTTCCGCCGCCGTAAGCTACTTCGAATCGCCAGAGGAATCTTCGAATAAGGGCTTTTTCAATTATTAGCAAAAAGGTTTTTTTGCTCTTCCCTTTATATTACCCTGATGATGAAGCGAGTGTTATTTGACGATTTTGCCCCTAAAGTATCGGCGAGGGGAAGGGTAGTTTAGGAAAGGAAAAGTTAAGCGTTTTGATTGGTGGAGAGTCGTGGTTAATGCCTTGTTGGCATCGGTTGAGTAGTGGTGAGACTGTGGTTAGTGGACGCTCTCGTCCACCGACCGTTTCGTTTACGTCCGTTGTCTTGTAGTTGACGTTGACCATGATGACTTCAACTTTTTTTTGGTAAAATGATGACTTCAACTTCAACGAAGACCTCACCGTTTTCGTTTTTTACGAAGAAACTTCTTTCTGTTTTCTAATTTCCATTTGTCACGACGTTTACGTACGTCCTAACTTCCAATTTTCCACAAGTATAATGGAAACAACTCTATAAGAAAAGCATACAAAACGACTAAAACAATTAATTTCTGTCGACATCTTTGTAGTTGGTTGAATAATATTCTGTAAAACAGTATTTTTACTTAAGATGAGATATTTCAATTACTCCCACACATTTTTCTAAGCCATAGTTTACTTAAAAAAAAATTTCAATTACTCCCACTGATTTTTAGTTTAAATTTAAAACAAAACAGGAGATTTTAGTGGTCAAATCATAATAAGTATCAATGTCAGAATTCTATGAACACTATCTTGATTGTTGTATGAGAATGATTTTTCCAGTATAAATAAAAGAACTTCTTTAAACGGTGACGGCTAAGGGTTATTTAACACTTAACACTAAGGTGCTCCTTCTCCCGCAGGTCCGGTCCGGGCATTCAACAATGGTTGCAGAGCCTTCACGACAATACTCATGTTTGGTCTGAAATCAGCTTCGTATTGTACACACAATGCAGCAACAGCAGCTAACTGCATTATCAACAAAAAAGATGATCAAACACAAAACATTTATATCAAGACTGGTTCTATGTATTCATTACTTCAAGACTCAATTTCGGTTTATACCTTAGCAACAGCTTTTGGAGGGTAATCTCCTCCGAGTCTTGAATCAACACACTGCTTAACCTTGTCTTCGCTTAGCTTTGGTGTAGCCTAAGTCAACAACAGAGTTTTGATTGTTTTGTAAGATCTTTGAAAAAGTACATGTTGGAAGATTGTTCATCTTTGAAAGAGATGAGTATTTACCCATGTGACTAGACTTTGCTGGCCTCGAGGCAATGTATGATCAACAGGCTTTCGACCTGTAAGAAGCTCGAGCAATACAACTCCGAAACTGTATACATCACTCTTGGCACTCAGTTGCCCAGTCATTGCATATCTATTAATGAAACAATGAGCATATGAGAGATTGATGATGAGCAATGGAGAAGAAGAAGAAGAAGAAGAAGAAGAAGAAGAAGAAGGAAAACCAACTTACTCAGGGGCATGGTAACCAAAGGTTCCAAGAACACGAGTTGAATGAAGGCGTGCTGCCATATCAGGAGCTTGATTTGACAGATCAAAGTCAGCGATTTTGGCTACATCATTATCAAAGATTAGAACATTGCTGGACTTTATGTCACGGTGGATGACATGTGGATTTGCCTTTTCATGTAAGTACTCAAGCCCTCTTGCTGCTCCAACCGCAATCTTCACTCGTTGATGCCACGACAAGAGTGGACCAGGCTTTGCTCCCTTCACACCTTTTCTCCCTGAGGAAGCATAAAATATGTAATAACATCAAAAAAATCACTCTCTAAACAAAAATAAAACACATATGTCCCAAATTTTATTTGGACACTGTACCATGAAGAATATCATGAAGAGATCCATTTTGGGCAAACTCAAAGACCAGTATCCGTGAATTCCCATCAACAGAGTAACCAAGCAGCTCAACAAAGTTAGCATGCTTCAACCTCGAAACCATGGAAACCTGAAGTTTCATTTCCAAAACTCAAATGAAAAGTCGAACAATAATGACATAATCCATCAACAAATAACCTATTTATATCAACCAAACCTGGGCAAGAAATTCCTCATCAGGCTGTTTGTTAGAATCTAACTTCTTAACCGCGGCAGGCTGGCCATTCTTTAACACCCCGTGATACACTCTCGCATACGAGCCTTCACCGATAAGAGAATTTGTTCCAAAATCATTAGTAGCTTCTATCAGTTCATCAGCGAGAATAGCAGCTACTTCTATAGGCTGCACCTTCACACTTTGAGCACCTTTTTGTGCAGTTTCAGAACCGTTGCGCCTTCCATCATTTCCTTCACTCCCATCAACGAAAATCAGCAAATTAATTCAAAGAACACATATAAGCAGAAACATGATTATTTGTTAATAGTACCTCCAGATTGTTTGGTCATATTATGAGCTCCATAATCAGCAGCTCCAGGCAAATCATCGTCGCGACAACAGCCAAAACAGCTCATTGTATCTGTAGCGTTCAAAGAGAAACTCAAATCAAATTAAACAGATAACACACAAATTCAAGCCTAACAAAAAACCTTTGAGTATCATTTGCGCATTCTCCGAAGTAAAAACGGCTGAGAATCTACCGAAACTAAACTACGATTGCGAACAACGATCCAAAAAATATCTGAAATCGAACAAACTACGACGTAATCGCATCAGAAATAATGGAGAAGCTTACCTTGATCCAAAATCAAACGAACGAGAGTGTGAATGCGAGAGAGAGAGGTTTCGAAGATCTAAGAAATCGGTGAGGTTTTTGGATGGGACCCACTTTCTTCCTGGACTCACTGTGCTCTTTAAAACTTGACTTAAATGTCAACGTTTGACAGCTAGTCAACGTCTCCTTCACGCCGTTGGACAGACGGAATCACCAAAGTATAATAAACGTGAGATAGTAGTAGTGTCAAATTTGTATCTTTCTTTAACCGCAAAAAAATCCATTATCTACTGGGCCCTATTAAATTGAGAGTCATTAAAATAAAGCCCATTATTAGTACATTTAATCATCGGCCCAGTTAGGATCATTAATTAGAAAATGCGTATCGTCGCAATGCTTCAAGAGTAAAAACACTATTCAGAGAAAACGACAAACCCTAACCTCTGTAAAGCGAGCGGTTAGAGAAATTAGAACCGCCAAACAGATAAAAACACCCACAAAAAGTCGCAACGTTTCAAACACCTATATAAAGACACGAAAAACACTATTTGCCCTCACGCCAACACACATACACATACTGATCTCTTCTTGAATTCATTCGCGCTTGAGTTTCAAAATCATCAACAATGGATTCAGGAAGTCCACCGGTTGACATCATTTCGACGTTATCAGACTGTCTGCTTGTTCTGATAATATCTTTCCTTCCCTTCAAGGATGCACTGAAAACCAGTATGCTTTCCAAGCGCTGGCGATACTTGTACCGGGAAGTGAGAAACATCTGTTTCAGAGAGTCCGAAATGGTGACTTTTGCTGGCAACCATATTGATCAGTATTACCAAAGAGCACAATTGGTTGCCTATATGGTTGGCTGGGTTGACAATTTTACCGGTGGAGTTATTGAGAGTTTCGAGCTTTGTCTCTCGAACTCATATTCTTTCGAACAAAGTGTCACAAGACTGATCGAATTCGCAGTTTCCAAGAATGTCAAGCATCTTATTCTTGATCTCTCAGAGCGTCGCTGGAGAGTCAGAGATGATGCAGTAGCATTAGAACTGGGTTTGATTCAAGTTCCGGAAAGTTTTTACAAACTTACCACTCTCGTGACGTTGAAGTTATTCGGTTGCCGGTTTAATCCATCAAGGCTTGCGAACCCGGGTTCGGTTAAAATCCTTTGCTTTCGTTGGATCCGTCTTGAGAATATCTCGGCTTTGATAGCGAAGGCACCATTTCTCGAGACTTTGATCATGAAGAATTGTTGGGAGATTGGTCTTGAAGCAATAACCGGATTTAACGACCGGGTAAGGAAGGTTGTATTTAAGAACTGTGTTTTCTCGGTGGAGAAATCTACTCTCGACGTTCCCAACATTCAGATCTTCAAGTACTTTGGAAAAGTTCATCACTTTGAGTTCGTGAGTGCGATTAGGGGAATGGACGAAGCTTATCTTGATTTTGGTGAAGCGAGCGAGTACAATGTTGGCACTGGAACCCAACTCTGTACTCTCCTCTATCATCTCCGATCCGCTAGGACATTCACGGTTTGTCCTTATCTTCTCCAAGTGATCCAGGAGAGTGAAGATTCGGTTAGACTGAAAGAACGGATGGAGACAAGACAGTTGGTACTGAAGTCTGCTCTGGAACCCAATGAGTTCATTGGGATAAGATTTATGATCAATAGCTGTCCATGTTTGGAGACTTTGTCATTCCAAATGGTGGATCCTAGGCTTATTGATATGATGGTTCCTCAATTCGATCCAGAGGCTTATTGGGTGGACAATATCAGTCATAAGTGTCTGAAGAGGACACTTAAGAAGGTGGAAGTTTGGAGTTTCAGCGGAGGTTCGTACGAGTTACATGTCCTCAAGTATCTGATTCGCTATGGTCGTGTGTTGGAGAGAGTGGATCTGTATCTGCCAATTGGATTGGATGAGGATCAAATGCATTCGGCACGTGCTGCAGCTGACACTGTGGGAACAGAGTTTGAGGCTGCTTCGAGCAATTTGAACATTTCTCTTCACTGAGGAACCTTCATCTGATTGAAGGATGAATAAAATTTGGATGTGTTACCCATCTTATGTGGTTTTTTTATTTATAAACTATCGAATAAAATGTGGTTCTTGAATTTGTAATCACACATTTGTAATTCCCTTTCATACTTAAAATAAAAAAAGTGACTTTTACTTATTTATTACCGCTTTATTTTCTTCTTTTTTTCATCTACAGCTTTATTTCCTTTACCTCTTTAATAAAAAGAAATTTTTTTAATTAAAAATATATGAGAAAGATAAAAAAAAAAGGAACCACTATATTAACAAAACCTTTTCATCGATAAAAATTGCCCAAAATACGCTCTTGTTAATATATTAAAATTAAAATTGTTAATATTGATGAAAGAGAATATCTTAACAATATTTAACTTAAGTTAAAAAGACAAGTAAATATAAACAGAAACTTATTAAATAGATAAAAAAGAAAACCATAAGTATAACAAAATCCGTTTACATAAATAAAGTTTGCTCAAAGTGATCTCTCTCTGTCACTGATAAAAAATGAGAGAGCAACCATCTACCTTCACACTTAAATCATAATCCAAAATAACGAAAAATTAATTCTCTACGAGAAAAGGTTTGCACCTCCTTTTCGCCAAACGCCTCGAACCGGCAAACCACCGGTCTGATTTTGGTTACTGTTGGAATTATCATCCTTTGATTCTTGTTCAGGATCACGGTTAGTATTATTAAGATCTAGTAAGGCAGCCATTGATCCATCACCAAGCCGTACTCTGTGAAACTTAGAAGTTTTCTTACGTTGCTGCTTGTTTCCGGTTGAAGAAGAAACAGCTCCTGCTACTTGTGATTTGCCTTTGTCTGACCTATAAGAATTCTTATCCTTAGATATCACCTCTTCTTCTTCCTGGGGATTCTGAGAAGATTGTAATCTCCTTACTGTGTCCATAAAGTTATCTGCTAATGTTTCTTTCGGGTCAGCAACTTTCACAGCTTTTCCTTTGTTTTTCTTTAAACTTTGGCTCTCTTTAGGTTGAGAAGAGCTCTGAGCAGCAGCCCGACCATTCTCCTTTGAATCCTCTTCTCTCAAACTGGCATTATGGGTATCAATGAGTTCCTTCTGCCTTTTAGGGTCAGGACACAGTCTAGCAAGATCAATAACCAAGTGAGACAATCCATATCCTTTCACATACTCCAAATAAGTCTTTGCATCAATCGAACCTTGACGATACTGTCCTGATATGTTCCTGAATGCCACAAATACATCTTCATCATGACCAAGTGCAGAACGCATTTTCTCAATCAATGACTTGTTGGCAGATTGTACATCTGGAGGGGGTTGAGTGTTTGACGATCCCTGCGTAGTGGTGGATGATGTCTTACGATTTTGCACAACAGCAGAAGAAACTGGAGGAAAATCTGAATGAGAAGGCTGAAGTGATCTTGTATCAGATAGATTAGGGGCTGAGGAAGAGTGAGGAATCCTGTTCGCATTACGAGTAGCCTGTGAAACTGCAGGAGCCAGCGGTCGAGCCTGTGAAACTCTGGTATGGGACATAGATTGGACTGAAGAACTAGAGGCTTGTACAGGCGTTCGACCTATTGCTGGCCATCCGGAAGAAGAATGATTACCACCACTTGTAATAGATGCTTGCGCTGGGCCTCGGTTAACCACTGGCCATCCTTGAGAAGGACTAGCAATAGCAGAAGCAGTAGTAGTTCGATTTGTTTGGCGTCTTAGACGAGCAGCCATGGTGTTAGTAGGTAAACTCTCTACGTTCTGTCCAGATCTCGGTTGACCAGAAAGAGGAGGAAAAGCAGATTCTCCAAGACGTGTACCACCACCACCAGAGCTTCCTACAGCTTGAAGATATCGTGAAGAGGGCTCCATATCTGTAGTTGATAGAGATTCCATTGGCTGAATAAGAGGATCAGCATCATCCACGTGTATGTTGTTGTTTTCAGAGAATCCGGGTGGTGCACTTGAGGGTGGAGGAGCAGGCTCTTGCCGAGAATACTCAGCCTCAGATAAACGAAGAGCTGCATGAACTGCAAGATTATATTCATCATCACCAGGCTCGCGACGAAATGATCGGGGTCTTCCACGACGATTCTCTTGATCATTTCCACGTCGGTATCGGAAACTTGTTGGTATCTGGCGCAGAATCCAATAGTTAAACACAGGCAAGCAAACTGGACCATAAATTAACAAAGACAACAGGCAAGAGGTGTTACATACCTGTAATGCAGCACTTCGCTGAGACCGAGACATTTTACCTCCATGCTCAATAGCGTTATGCCTCTGAAATAACAAATATAAATTCTCAACAAAAGTTCATGGAGTCAAAAAAAGAAAAAGGGAAATTCTCGAAAAGTGTTTACTTTCAACTCTGATTCATTCTGGAAAACTGTGAACTTCTTAGCAAGGCAGGAGTCGTCTTCACAGAGGAAATGGTCTCTACGGAAATGAATCTGTTAAAAGTACATGTAGAATCAGAACAGATGCAGCCACATTTTAACCTGAGCTTTAATGAAAGTGGTTTATGTTACCTCCAAGTCATCATAGTTTTTGTAATATTCATATTGTCCTGGCTGTGACCTATATGGGATATTGAAGTCAATGAAGGCATTCAGGTTACATACTCTCAACAGTAAGAATTCATAAATATAGATTGCCATTACCTTTGGCATAAATGACATGTGTAATGCTCTGTAGACATGTGAGTATACAATTCATTATCACCATAGAAAGGATTCCTACAGAATTCACACATAGGATGTCCAGCGAAGCCTCCCCTTTCACTCTCACTTCCATCAACTTCAGAGTCACCAGTGTGTATGTGTTGGTTCAGTTGTGCCCTAGTATACAACTTTTGTTCACATATGAATATCTGTCCAGGTAGAGAGAGACACACACAGATGTAAACAAATGCGCAAAACTTCTGAGAAGATAATAACAAATAGGCTGCAGATATGAAGCTCCCACCTTTCGCCCTTCTAGACATAAACCGCACATATGCAATTTGTGCTTATGATATAAATGACCCTTCAACTGTTCAACGCTCTTAATCCTCTGCCGATGATGTCTTGGTCCTCCTTCTCTTGGTTGATCTTCAGCCTTGTCACAAACACCGCAGGAAAGTCTACACATAGCTTTGATCATCCTGTAATGATCCAAGTCATCAAAGAAAGCTTGAGTGTCTTCATGATACCAGAACGCTCCTACTCGACCTTCCCTTGGTGCTGATGGGAAGGTGGAGAAGTCAGTGATCGTCCTCGTATAATCACCCAATGCCTGCAACAAAATTCACACGAAATCCCTTATATAAGCATTAAATTGTGGAGACACAGAGGAGCTAAGATAGACAAAGTTGAAAAATTTACAAAAACTTCATCACTATTAAGTAATTGTAATACAAGGGCAATCAGAAATTCTAGCAAAATTATCTATCTGATGCAATTGAAGAGCAAACAGTGATTAAGAAGAGGAAACCGTAATCACCTTGGTGACAAAGACGATAGGAGACTCGGTCTTGCAAATACAGCAGCGAGGATCGTCAAGGACGAATCGGAGACGAACAACGCATGTGGAGCAAACCTCACGGTGACCACAAGATCCATAGGCAACCCATTCGAGATTGTCAGCGCAGACGGCACAGCTATCATCCATGTCTCTTCTTGAATTTGGGATTGAGATTGAGAAATTGTTTCGAAGCGATGACAATAGAGATGATGATGATGATGATGATGAGCAGCGAGAGAGATCTAGGGTTCTCGAAAGAGGGCTCGCTTATAAGGCAAAGATGAAGAATATCAAAGGTCTCCGACCAGTCAAACAAAATAAATAAATAAATAAAAAATTATCAATATTATTACATGAATTGGTCATGAGGGTTGGACATCAATCGGGGATGTAGCTCATATGGTAGAGCGCTCGCTTTGCATGCGAGAGGCACAGGGTTCGATTCCCTGCATCTCCATTTTTTCTTTTTTTAAGTTTTGGTAAGCTTAATGGCCCAAGAGAAGACTAAGTGAAAGCCCAAACTCAAGCCCAAATAGAATAAGGGTAGTTACGTAATTGAGAAACAAAACCCTAGGGTCTCCTTCTCCTACAAAATCCCCATTTTGAGTTTTTAGTCCAGCCGTTGCCTCAAAAGATGCAGATCTTCGTGAAAACCCTGACGGGGAAGACCATAACCCTAGAGGTTGAATCATCTGACACCATCGACAATGTGAAAGCGAAGATCCAAGACAAGGAAGGAATCCCACCGGACCAGCAGCGATTGATTTTCGCCGGGAAACAGCTGGAAGACGGGCGTACTCTGGCCGACTACAACATCCAGAAGGAGTCGACGCTTCATCTGGTCCTGCGTCTCCGTGGTGGTGCTAAGAAGAGGAAGAAGAAGACTTACACCAAGCCGAAGAAGATCAAGCATAAGCATAAGAAGGTTAAGCTCGCTGTTCTTCAGTTTTACAAAATCGATGGATCTGGGAAAGTTCAGCGTCTGAGGAAAGAGTGCCCTAACGCAACTTGTGGAGCTGGGACTTTCATGGCGAGTCATTTTGATCGCCATTACTGTGGTAAGTGTGGACTCACCTACGTTTACCAGAAAGAAGGAGGTGACGAATGATCTGTTCTAGCAACCGCTAGATCGTTCTTTCTCATTCTCTCTATGATTCTCTCTTATCTTTAAAAAACTGCATTTCTATTTTGGAATTTTGTATTTGTTATCATGGATTCTATGTTGAACATCTTTCGTTATGAATTATGAAAGTTTTAGGATTTTTATGGATATTTATTATGTTGCTCCTTCAATATTTTGATATTATTTGTTGCGACTTCTTTAATCACCTATAATTTAGTGTTACTGGTTTGCAAATTTATAGATGATATGCAATGGATACGTTTGTGGAATTGATGATTTGCAATGGATACGTTTGTGGAATTGATGATTTTGATCTCTTGTTAACTTTTTAGTTAAGTGATCGAAAAATTAACTTTGTTCATATGTGGACTTTAGGACTTGTGTTTTCGCATGAATAATTCTCAATTAGGATTAGTTTTGTGATTTGATTCTTAGTCTGATGAGTAATATAGCCTTCGCTTTTTTTTTGTTCCTAAATGAGTGGCTGATGATTTTTGTATAAATTTGGAGTACTTTAAACTGAAGTTCTTCCAAATTGTCAGTAGATCGATAGTTTCTGCTGCATTACTTAGAAATGATCTTTTTATGTTGTAAGCGGAAACAAAAGTTGGTCTCGAAATGAAGATGCTTGTATGACCTCGGAAGTATCCAGAATTTGTACAATCTTAATTCTATTTACCTCGAGAACATTTTGTCCTCTATTTTTCTAGTTTTTCAATGTTCGTGTTGAATGGAGTTTTATCATTGGTAACTAAATAAAGGTGGCAATCTCTTAATCATCTTTTCTTTTTCACTATTAACAGACAATTAAAAGTATTATTTACACACAAAAATGTAATCACTCTGTGTTCACACAACATATACAAATATATCTCAAAGGAGTTCTCTCAGCTGCTTAAAATCTTTCAAGTTAAATACAAAAGCAGCGTGGGAGAGGCTATTCGTCATCATCAATGGTTTCACCAAAAACTCTACAGTTTCAGGCTTTCAGCCATCCAACAGATTCCTCAAGCTGCAGAAAGCTTCTGGTGTAAGACTAAAACATCTTCTCTTCTCCAATGGCACCACCGGCTTGTCCCCTCTGTCCATTGTCATGAAACATACCACCACCGCGGTTAAATTATCAAATGAGTTCCGCCTCAGAGCCTCCATCACAAGTTCTCGCGCACATCTTGTTGGATCGTTGTGCCGGTTTAAGCCACGTTTAACAATGCTAACTGCTTCTTGGCTCGTCAAGACATCCCAAATCCCGTCGCATCCGATCACAAGAAACTCATCGTCTTCACTTAAAGTTATCTGCTTGATTTCTGGTTCCGAGATCAGTGGAGATTGAGAGCCGTGTGGCAGTTTTAAATCCCAGTCACCGAGAGCTCGGGTTACAGCTAGGACTTCATTTAGGTAACCATCATTATCGATGAAACCGCCGGATTCTTCCACTCTTCTTCTCTCGAGTAGATTAATCGGTTTATGGTCTTCAGACATGTCTATCGCTTTGCCTTTCCTGCATAGAACCGCTCTGCAGTCTCCGGCATTTGCAACCATTAAGAGTCTGCAAAAGACGAGAACAGAACCCATGAGATATCACAGTTAAACCACCATGAAACTGTGCTCAAACCGGATAACCAAACCAGACAATCAAATGCCCACATCTAAATTCAAAGACAACAACAGAAAGAGTAGACAACCGGTACAATCGTGCTCATATCACAGGTTATATACTTATAATCTAGTATATGCACGAGCTCTCTTAAGATCCTAAAGATAGATCGAGAACTAAAGAAGTAACTCTGTAACTGAACGAAACACGTACCTTCCACAAATAAGAGCAGTAAGAGCAGTGGTACCACAAGAAGAGCTGATACTGCAATCCTCTGCCAAAGCTAGATCAGCTTGAAGAAACGCATTTCTCAATGAACTCTGAACTTCTTCCACATAATCACTACTCACTTGCGATGTTTGTGGAAACTGCTCATCTTCAAAGAAAAACCTAATGGCATTTTCCCGTACGTATGCTGCTGCTTCTGATCCTCCATGCCCGTCAAAAACCTAAGCAGAGGAAGTCAAGTCAGAATGTATTCTTAAAAGAGCATCGGATTATAAGGAAGCAACAATAAATTACCGCATAGAAAGCACTTGGCTTTGGCAACTCAAAGAGAGAACCAACTTGAGAAGATAGATCGTCTATGCGAATGTGTTCATCTTCCATGTATCTCTTTGGACCAATATCAGCGAAGCTTCCAGACCGGATGGTCGGAACATAATCCGAGACACTGGGATCGCAATCACCCTCTGGAAAACTATCAGCCTGCTTGGTAAAAGGTATAAACGTTACTAAAAAACACATATCAAATCTCCGAGTCACTAAAACAAGAAATCTTGACCCAAAAATAAAATCAAATCTCTAAACAATCGAAATAGTTACACGCATGCTCAATTGAGTATAGCAACAAACAAAACACAAGAAGTGAAGACAAGACAGTTAACAACACACGATAACTACAACGGGCTTCTCCAGCAAGGTCACCAGCTTTAAAGTTGCTTAATAAAGGCAAAGTTTCAGACAACAAGCAAACATACATGAACAAGAGGTCCTCTAAGCTTAAGAGATCCAAGGATCATGTTTGCAATTATTTCCAATAAAGAAAGTCATCTTATTTGATCAATTGAATGAACCCCAATAGGCCAATACCAATAATTCGGTCAAATTTTTATTTACTTATCAGAACCCAGCTTCTTAAATTCTCTTTAAAAGGTACCCAGAAAGAAAAAAAATCTAAACTTTAAACATGTCGGAAAATTGGTGGAGAAGGACTTACCACAGGAGAAGTCGTTAAACTGCCGGAAACCGACGCCGTTGACTGACAAAAACCCAATTTGGGAGAAGAAACGGGAGATTTAACGGCGGAAGAAACTCCATCAAACAATTCAATCTCCAGAACCGCCGGTAAACTCTGTTGAAACACAACCTCTGCTTCTGCTACCATCTGTCTCTCTCTCTCTCTTCACAATCAATTTCAATTTCAATTTCACTACAACAAAATCGATCCTTTAACTCCCAGAAACTCAAATTCTTTATCTCTGATTTTTTTGTTCTCTCAAATTTGTCACTTGTATTCAACGGAAATTGACAATTATCGAAGTTCGCGTGTGATTTTATTCCTCTCGTGGAAGAAATTTCTGAGCCGCGTGGGCTTTTTCTCTCTGATTATATATATAAGAAACTCGGTGACTGGGTAACCGGTAAATACAGTTGACACGTGGCAGTCATCTGTGGCGAGTCGGTTGCTTATGTAGATTATGATCTCTGTTTAGTTTGTGGATTACACACGGCTCAGACTATCCCCTAATCATGCCACGTGTCATTCCAGCTTTGACGCGCGTACCCTAGAAGAACGACGTCGGATTCCTGAACCACTCCTTTTTAAACTTTATTACCAACTTCCGAGGAAATAACGGGGACGTTTCTGTAAAATGATTAAAAAGTTAGGGGTACTTTAGGAAATCCAGAACTTTCTCGATCAGAATCTCTAGAGGTTTGTCCGTGTTCACACCTGCATTGACGACCTTACCCCCGAAGTATAATCACATGATGGCTTTGCTGCAATATGAATCTGGACCGTTAAACCACCAGATGTCAGATGTGAACTTGGGTTCCAAGTTTTTTTAACTATCTGTCATGCCACGTCGGCAGTCTTTTTATTTTATTTTTGTGGAATCAAGCTTTACACATTTGCATAAATCAACAAGTTAAGTGCTCACTATGAGCCAAAGCCATCACCTAATTATTATTTTCTGTGGTTGTTTTTTTCTTCTCAATTAGACTGTTGGAAAAAACACATTAAAATATCTAAATTGACATAAGCGAAGGATTTTATTATTGCCTTTGTGTATAAATAATGTTTCTTTTGGACGAAACCAAGATGCTTAAGATCTAACGTGTTGCTAAAATGTGAAACGTGTTTCGTGGAAAGTCTAATAACCAATTAAAAATCTATATAAAAAAGTTAATTATAAAAAATATAGATCCAGAAAAAAATATCTAACCAATAAAAATTAACAACTAGTCAGCACTACTTATCAGCATATATGACTCAGTAAAAAGTTGCTGGTGTTATGTACATACAGTTAAACCTCTATAAATTAATACTCTATAAATTAATAACCTCTCTAAATTAATAAATTCTTCCGGTCCCGAGTTGGGACTAGTGTAAAATATGACATAAATCGATAAATTAATAAGATAATAATTTTTTTGAAAATCTCATATAAACATATAGTCCCATCTATATCATAAATTAATAATTGTATTAACTTATCAATATATATATATATAACTTAATATATTTGATATAAATTTATGTATGTCATATATGAATTACCATGATATATATTTATAATATTATATGTAAAAATTTTAATGAACTATGAATCTATTATTCGAAAACAGTTTGTGTTGTTTTTTAAACTTAATAACTGCTTCTCTACTTGTAATTAGTTTTTAAAAGATATTGTGTATATAGAAAAAATTTATTTTTAGATAGAATTTTTAAAAAAATTTACAAAATTAGTAAAATCTCTCTATAAATTAATAATTATTAATTTATCGATAAATTAATACCTCTCTAAATTAATAAAATTTTGTGGTCCCAACATTATTAATTTATAGAGGTTTTACTGTATTTGGGTTTAAATAATATGACACACGAAAATACCGTCACGTTGATGATCAAAGATGACGCACGCATTTAATGGGTCATAATTCAGAGGAAAGCCCATAAATCTTAAAACTGAAAGTGTTCAAGCCCATTGGACTCAGTAGGTTTTCTTGCTCGTTTGGATCATAAGGGAATTAATTGGCCTTAAGATTTCGATTGGAATATGAAAGAATATCAACCTAGACTGATTTTAATCAAGTTAAGTTGCTGTGGTATAGACACGTAGAAAAATGGTCAGCGAGAATGTCTTAATCTAATCTCCGACCATCAAAAAGCGACTTGAAGAGTACGTCGTAGGGGTTGCTTTTAGGGGCGTTGAATCCCAAATTCAGGTAGAGATATGACTGCGAGAGACTTATGTTATTGGTCCAAGTCAGAACGAGAACAAACACAGTTTAAGACAAAGATCTCTTCAAGAAATAAGACATTGACGTAAGCCTAATTACCATTGTAGTCTCACCGATCTGTCAAGTCCATTGGTTTTATACCAATAAAAGATGAAGCAAGGATTATCCATTACTCAACCTTCTGTTCGCCACTAAAAAATATTGAAAATCATTGATCCATCAAAATATGTGTTATTGAGCCTACATATCAATCAGCAAATGGTCATGATAAACTATACATCACCAAGTAAATCGGTCTCTTAACTTGTAGCTTCTCAAAACAAATCTACTAAAATAAAAAATGATTCGGAGGATGATTTGAGTAGAGTCCTTTTTTTTTTTTGTGTTCTATGAGTGAGAACTTCAAAAATGATCAAACAGTCTTAAACTTTGTTCCATCTAATAGTATTTTTTTGATCAAAGAAATATCCAACACTCGTGTTTTACTTTTGTCTTTCCTGGTTGGAATTCGTTTATTAAGTAGTTGACCTTTGTCTTGTTTTGTAGCACATGGAAAGTAATTGAACCACGTAACCAAAATCACTCTCTTTGGACCCAAGACAAAAAGAGATTTGCTTTTGCTTTAGCGTCTAACTTTTCTTGCCGTTCTTTATTTTCATGTTTCCATTAGATATTCTCTCGAACTTTCTTATTTCTTGAACGGCTAGATTATAAGCTGATTTGTTTTTTTAACCCCATCCAATAGAACGCAAGTTAATTTGCTGCTACTGCTACATAAAATACGAGTATATATGTGTTGTGGCCAAAGTTGTGGAACATGTATCGAAGTAATTTGGCTATATACTTTATTCTTAGTTCATGGCTTATGGTTAAATTATGATGTTCAATATGGTTTTTTTTTTCCTTAAGAGGAAAGAAAACCAAATTAATTAAGGACCACTTTGATACCGTTTCGAATTAGTTTGTATTTAAGTTTTATGCCTTTGTTCCACTGAAAGTTTGGTTTCTCACCAAAAAAAAAAAAAGAAGAATCTTACCGTTCACATTTTTGCCTTTATTACATAGTATAATATTTTACGGACATTCCACATGGTACGTAAGAGAGATTTTACAATGATTCGAGATCAAGAGCAGAAATGCAAACATACAGACATAGGTAAAAGAAAAATTCAAGAAAGCATTAGATCCAAGATCAATTAATCAACTAATTTTAAACATAATCTCCTCCGGGTTCATTAAGCCTCCATCATCTGTAAACTCATTTCGACGACGATGATGGGTTTAAAGGACTCGGCTTTGGACTACTTTGCCCTTTCCCGGCGAGCCTAGGACTCATCTCACCTCTTAAATCATTCACTCTAGGACTAAACACTTGAGACAGATTCCGATTATAAACAGGCGTTGAAGTCGAACTGGTAACTTTAGGACTAGATGAGTGTCTAAACTCTCCTCTGCTTCTTGTAATAAATTCATCAAGAATCTCAGAATCACATGGATACGAAGCTGTTGATCCCATCTCAGCTTCCTGCAAAATCCAGAGTCTGTTAACAAAAATCCAAGAAGCTGAAAAAAGGTGGATTTTGATTCGAATTAGTAATGGAGTCGTTTACCGGTACTGCGAGATGGAACGGTAAAGCAGGTGCTTCTTCATACTCTGCTGCGTCTAAGTCCTGAAGATGAACACTTTTGAAGAATCTTGGGAGGATATATTGCCTTACGGGTATTAGAAACATGATCATTAGAGGGAACATAACTCCAGCGATTGGGATCCACGTGAGACCAAAGCAAGTTAAGAGATAAGTTGTTTGGAAAATTGTGAACATTGCGATTGTTTTGAATGGAACGGTTTCCACGAATGTTGCGTGGTTATCTTCAAGGACCCTGCAAATTTGGCGAGTAATTGAGTAATGATTCTTGAAAGAGTAGAAGAAGATAAAAATGATTGAGACTTTACTTGAATCTACGACTTGGGGCTGTGAAGAGAAGTAAGATTCTTTCCCAGAATTGGTTCCCGGGTAAGCTCTCGATTGCCATGAAGGCAAAGTAGCCCCAAAGGACTGATGTAGGAATCATTTTAAGGAGAGGCATAGCTGCAACACATCCTCCAACCATTATTGCTTGAAGCAAGTTGCTTACTCTCTGTTCTTTGACTTCAATTGGCAATAAATCATCGATCTCTTTCTCGATATCAAACAAAGTCTCATCAACTGGAGCATCAAGATTTCCTGTGAATGTTGTTGCTTGGATTGTTGATTCTCTTAGCTCGTTCAGACCCTGCGGAAGAGATAGTTTGTCCACCATTTAGCCTCAAACCATATTAATTCCATCGAAAAATTCAAAAGTTACGCAGAAGATTTTTTACCTGAGGCTGCTGGTAGACCAGTGGAGTCTGCATCTGATTATAAGCATCTTGCATGTTTCCATACAACTGTCCTAAACTCGCATTCTGCTTGATGCTTCTGCGTGCAGTTGCAACTAGTCTGTTCCGAAGCAGCTGCAGAAAGACAACAACAAGCTTAAATCCAAGGCCTAAAGGGGAAAAAGATCCCAAAAAAAAAATCGATGTTGGTAAGGTACCTGATATTTTAGTGTTGCTAAGCTCTTGGTATGCATTGGTGACTGAGGGATGACTCCATTTGATGGAGGAATTCCAAGTAGACCACACATTAAGGTCTGAAAACGGCGAAGTTAGTTGTAGATCGAGGTCAAGAAGAAGAAGAAATTACTAATACCTGCAGATTCTTACCAGAAACCCAAGAAGCAGCAGATCATAGTGGTAAGAAGATGGTTTTCTCAAATTGAATTCTTTCTGCTGCGCAAGCTGTGATGCTACACTATGATCGAAGTAGTAAAGAACTGCAATCATTGTTGCTGGAATGAATGCTCCAATTATGTAGACAATTGGAACTTGAAGCATCTCCTGAAAAATCAAAGTCACTGTTCATTAGTCATATGTTCTTGTTGGGTGTGTTTGAATTTAAAGATAAAGGACACACCTTTACGACAGTCCAATTCTCATAAGCACCAGGGGACCAAGGATTTGGGCTAAAAAGTCGCCGAGGAATTCCTTTTGGAACATCTCCTGTTGGGATGTACGAGACACCGGTCCACACCAGAACCATGAGTGGCACACCATAGTCAGCTATTAAACTTCTAAGCCAGCCTGTTCCAAGAATAATGTTTTTTTAAAAAAGGTAATTAAGTTTCTTCAAGAACAAGGAAGATTTGACTGAGATCTCCCCACTTGTGAGCAATGACTGCTTAATTGATTATTGATTGCTCTCAAGATCCATAGAATAAGGAGATTCCAGATCATGGGAATTAAAGAAAAAGTTGACTAACTGCTTCGTTACCTGTTCCATATCTCCATGATCTGGCTTTTCTGCTTCTAA